CAGAAAATAATTTCTATTCAAAATAGAGCGGCAAGTGAAAGTTGTGTGTTGTACGCACTAGATTCTTTTTTAATCCAGTCATTAGTTTTAATTTTAAATACAATTACCTTAAGCTGCTTTTCATTTGTTACTAATTGTAAGTTCATCATAATTTTGGCAATTTTAGACGAGTTAAGATATTTCAGAAATACAAACTAAATTTTACTTACTTTCTGTACTTGTGGGCCCAAGCCACTTCTCCTTGGGTAGAAGCACAGGCGGATCTACAGAGGGGAGGAGCTTTCAGGCTGCAGCCCCTCCTCCCCCCAAATGGTAAAATATAACCATGTTTTATGTTAAAAAAATATTAAAAAATTATGTCTTTAAGTATTATTGCTCGTTTAATTACATTTAATAGGACTTCAAGTATCACTTAAACACCATTTCATAAAAGGTATTTAGTATATTTATGTTTTTTTAAAGTAATTATCGTTACTTATATGAAAAAAAAACAGCTACCGGGCTGAAGCCCCCTCTCAAAAAAAAATTAAATCCTTGATCCGCTAGTGGATAGGAGAGAAGATACAGTTCTTGAGAGGCCGTCGGACAGAACAGGATAAGAAGAAAATAAAATGTGGATAAGAAGAAATTAACAAATGGTGGAAGAAGAAATACAATTAAAGCAGGCTGTGTGCACAGCAATTTATACCAATGTAACACATAAACTTGCAGCAGTGATTTGTTATGCAGGAATGTGCATCAATTCACTAGCAGATCCAGCCGGGGGACGCGCCCTCCCTCTCCCCCCATGGAGGCTAGAAAAAAATCCCAAAAAGCAGCTACTTCAAGAAAAGAGAAATATAGGGAAAATTCATCCTCATAAACGATGAATTTTCTAAAGTAATATAAAGCAAAATTATTATCGTGACCAGTACTAGTGAATTCTGCCAGGTGGCATTCCCTCTCTTGGATGGAGGGAAAAAAATCCTAATTAACACAATGTTTGGGTTGAACCGTCTGCACTAATACAAACTTTATAATGACTGCTTCCTGAATATGTATCACCCATGATACATTTTTTAAATTAAAAAACAGATAATAATACAATTTATTTTCAGATACTACATTTTAACTTTAAGAACCAATAAATAAACAAAATATAAAACTGTTTAATTGCAAAATATTCAAAATACGAAAATTAATAATATAACAAAAGACAGTAATTCAAAATAAAAAAACAAATAAGTTTTGATGTGGAATCCTCTTTTAATTGTCAAAAATGAAGAATATTTCCAATAAAGAATTTTATAAGAATTTTGGTGGAAAACTCTAATCGAATTAAACCATATACCTACATAAAATATAAAAATCTGGTGCGCGGAACACACAACTTTCACTTACCGCTCAACTTTGAATAGACATTATTTTCTGGCCATGTCGTGCTATTATAAAATTTTTGAATTGCATTTTTAACTGAGCTAAAGCTAAAAGATTACAGATAACAAATCATAAATACTATTAAAATAACAAAAGTCCTATTATATCACCTATTATGGATTGTATGATCCGCTGTTTATGGATTGTACGACTATTAGTTATTAAACTGTTATTTTCTATTGCAAAGTTTACTAAAATGGAATTAAGAGATTTGCATTGTGTGTCATAGACAGATCCAAAGTTGCCACCCTAATTGGAAGTGGAAGTGGAAGATATATTATACCTATACCTTCTGACAAGTATTTCCGGCGATTCATTACCGACGTTGTACAATGTATGATTAATTAATAAATATACTTTTGGAACAAACGTAGGTGTGCTTTATTGTTTATTGCAAAATACACTATCTGTCTTATCTTAATCTAATCAACATATGTAATCGATTATATTATAATTGAGACTGTACATAGAGGTTACAGTCTTATACTACAGACGTGAATAAGCATTTTTATTTATTTTTTCCTTTATTCAATTATCAAATTCTTTCAAAAGTTATATTCAGTATTTTTTCGTAACTCTTAATAGTGAGAGACACGGGCGGATCTACGGGGAGGGCTTTCGGGCTGAAGCCCCCCCCCAAAACGGAAAAATATAACCATGTTTTACTGAATAAAATATTAAAAAAGTATCTCTCAAAGTATTATTATTCTTGTAATTACATTTAAAAAGGCTTTAGGAATACCTTAAACACCAGTTCATACAGGTAGGTAGTTTCTTTCTTTTTTTCCAAAGTAATTATCGTTATTTTTATGAAAAAAACTTTCGGACTGAAGCCCCCCCCCCAAAAAATAAATTCTGGATCCGCTAGTGGTGAGAGACAGTTAATTAGTTAAAATGAACCTTCTTAAAAGTACTTTAGAGGAAGACGAATTTGAACATTAGGCATTTAAGCCCTGTAAAGTGACATCAACTGGAATGAAACCTAAATGATATTAAGGGCCACTTAATTATACTATGATAGGCCGAGTTTAATCAAAATCGTTTGAGGCGTTTTTGAGAAAATTGTAAAAAATGTATTTCAGCGTTGATATAAAGTGGTACTTCCGGTTAGCCGATTTCAAGGAAAAAGTTGCTGTGACATCTAATGTTTATACCTATCTTAAATACGTAATATCTGTTTCTTATGACTTCTTGTTTTTGAGCTGGAGTGTTCACATACACACAGACCATTTTTCCTGACCTTGTTATTTGGACTTAGGCTACTTCAAAACGTGTATTTCCGTTCAAAACTCATTTGAAAATTTTCAAGATTGCAATACATTCCCTTACTATATATTACATATACAGGTAAATGAAAGTGAAAATATTAACTTATCTTAAAGCTATTACTTAAGTAATGTAATGTAATTAGGTAAATAGAATCCAGATGGGAGAGGGGTTTATCAATAAATCCATCGAGAATATTTTTGGATAAATTATTATAAATTCATTATTTGTTCATTTATTGTTAATGTATAATAAAAGATTAAAAACTAAAACCATAATTATGTTAAAATCTGTGAATGATATATTATGTACAATATAAAGAGATAAAACAGGTATTTTTTTTAACCTCTTGATTATTTACAATAAGAGAACAAAATTGATATAAGAAACTGAAGTCAATAATTTTATCGTATTTGTAAACATGAAAATTACTAAAGAAAATGATAAAATGATTATAGAACTGAAAATAAGAAGTGATACATTAAATTAAGATTCAGATAATAAATAATGAAAATGGATGTTATTAAAAGCATGATAAATAAGCAATAAAAATAACAGATGAACCTACAATTAATAAAATAACACAAACATATCTAAATCGTTTCTGGAAAAGATTGATCTGATAAATATTATTTTTAAAAAATTGGGATTCCAGTATAAATACGAATAAAACTATATTTTAAATAGAGAAGTGGAAAGTGAAAAGGATAAAAAAAAATTACATACATAAACTATTACAAGTTGAAACAGAAAAACTATGCATTATAAACAGATGTACTGCATTATTTGAATAAAATGATTTATTTCCAAAAAAATAGACTACTAAAGAAAAATACAAAAGATATTTAATTCATACATATTAAATTAACTTTAATAATCTATTAATAAATATAGTTTCAGAAATACATTTTACCAAGATAAATGACTAGCTAAGAAAATGTGAAATAAAAAGCAGAATAATATTTATTTACTTCATTTATAATACTATCCATAATAATCCATCAATAGACATCATGCTTAATGACACATGCCATTCATTTTAGATTATTAGAAATGGTTTATAAACATAGAATACAATAAAAGAAAATAATGCTGAGAAAGGATTTTAAATAAATTATTATCTTTGACATGTACTGTTTTGGAGTAGTACATTGTATGGAATTTTGAAATGTTATTGACTATTTTTTATTTATAGATCACTTTGTTTATGTTTTGTTTTATATATTTTTTTCTTATCTGAAAATTATGACAGGTAATCTACTGATCTTTATTAATGTAATTAACAGATCTGAATCAAAAAATAAAACTGAAAAAAAAATTTAGAGATTATTTAAAAATGGTTAATATTTTGTTCTTTTAAATCAGAATTTATAATGGCTTAATTGTAAAAATTAAACAAATATGCTCCTTATAATGTAAATAAAAAATAAAGGCGTTAACTAGATCTTAAATATATTTTTAAATTTTAGTAATTCAATTCACCAAAAGGATAAACAAATAATTCCTAAAAGCATTATTCTTCCTGTAAGGATGAAAAAAGTTGTCAGGAATTTCGGTCATAATTTTTTTTTCAATTATTGTCTCAAATTTCTTTAAAAAATTGTGACTGAAAATTCTTAACCATTTTTTTACGTCCTTATAATTGATCAGTCAACAACTTACCAATCAGTATTATTCCTGTAATTAATATTGTTTTCTTAATAATTCCAAGTACTGCTTAAATGATATTTCATATCGTTTCTTTCTTTTTATAATAATAATTCCCGTCTTCCTTCCTCCCCCCTCAAAAAAATACTATAAAATTCTGGATCCATTACTGACTCAGATTATTCAGAATTCCCGAAAGAAACACAATGTTCAGCCATATTTAAAATTTCTAAATAATAACAAATTTACAGTGTTTTGATTTTGTTTGTTCATTTATTCTATTGAAATAGTCATTTTACACTCACACTAAACTGCTAATCCCAATATTAATACCATTACATCCCCCTCAAATTATTCCATTTGTAGATAAGATTTGTTATGAAATACTTTTTTATCAAATAAAATGAAATCAGACAAGAATCTGAAGATATACAAATTTCAATGTATAATATATACTAAGAATTCAAAAGGATCAAAATAAAGAAAACAGCATTGAAACATAATAATTTATTTCAACTAAATAAAAAATAAAAGATTAAATAAGGAATGGAATGATTTTACAAATCAGTCTTTAAAAGAATTAATTTAGTAGGTTCTACATAAATAAACTGTAACATTCCATTTAATATAATTTACAAAAAAATTATTAAAATAAAAGGGCAATTGTCTGTTTATTGCTCCATTTTCTCTCCTTCACCCTGTTTGGATTCTTTGACTGCTGGTTTGTTGGTGTGAGTGATGGGAATCTCCCGAGATTTTGATTCAGGCAAAGCCTAAACAAAAGAACAATAAAAAAACATATGAGAGACCAAAATCATAGAAAAAAATTTTTAAAAACATATGAGAGACCAAAACCATAGAAAAAATTTTTTATGAAAAATGTAGACATGGATATAACTAAAGAGAGACATTACAAGTAAAACAAATACCAAATAAATGAATTTGGAAATTGAAAATTAATATTTACTTGATCTAAAGTTAGCAGATAAACAACATTTATTAAACCAAGAACTAAAAATAAACAGGCAAAAAGAACTTACCTTTGGAGGAGCTCTCAATGTCAGTACACCATCAGAAGACAGACTGGATGCAAGCGCAGCCTCATCAATATTATCTGGAATCTTATACCGTCGTGTGAATTGGCGAGAGATGAAACCATGCTCATCAGAACGTTCTTCATGTTTACCATCAACAACAATGAATCCATCATTAACTGAAACTTTAAGTTCCTCGGGTTTAAACTGCTGTACATCAAGATTTATATGGAGTCCACTTTTGTCTGCTTGAATAGACGAAACTCCAGAATCATCAACATTCATATTTCTCCAAGGTCTTAAGTATCCGCTCCGCATAGGACTCAAAAGGAATGCTGTTGTAGGCTGTAAGATCTCATTATTCCAAATACCTCTTCCAAAATGTTGGTCATACAGGTCACACATTGGATGCCGCCTGCGGTCATCTAACAGCTCATGCAATAGAGGTAATATTGACATCTGAAAAGAAAGAAATTGTTATATTTCTCTGAATATTTGAAAATAATTAACTCAATCCTATGTCATATCCTTGTTTGTTGGTTTGAAAATTCATAATCCTGTTGAAATGTGCTCCCCCTCAAAAATTCAAAACCATCAAAATTTGCCCTCTCAAAAATTTTGATGGCGCATTTTGCACCATGAAACTCCCTTCCAGGCACCCCTGCAGTGCTCTATCCTTTTAGTTCTGAATGATGACAAAGTATTAATATAATGCCTATGGAGTGTTAGTAATATTATCAGGATACAATATTATAATATGAACCCGCTGAGAGTTGGTAGAACTTTCTTAAGATCAAATATTTCAAGCTCTTCAGCACATGAATTGTGGCTAATTTGGCATTGATACCAGATGAAATAATGACATAAATAACATATACTCCATTTCAATCAGCCCTAAAATGATCCACCACTTACTAATTAGACAGAATAGCACCTATTTATGGGTTGAACACTGGTTATATTTAACAAACATTTAAAATAATAGTAATAGTATATTTAAGTAATGAAAACATTCTATGAAAACCCAGATAACTGAGATGATTCGCCATTTATGAGATATTTCTTACTAACTTAGAAAATTTAACAAATCTCAACATTAAGATAATTGATCAGCGTTATTGAAATAACAAAATAATTTTTCATATCAATATAACAGTTTGGATTATATAGTGACTATCGCTAGTCAAAATTAAACAGAAAACTTCCGAATTTACGTGTTATCAGTTACTTGTGACGCATATAACGGAAACTTTGATAAGAACTATAATTTCAAACAGGAAACCAGATTACTACTATTCAGCACTACAGTATTTATTGTCATTACAACATACCTTTGGACTGAGAGAGTACAAAAACTTCAAAGGAAGAATTCACAGAACGCTTTCTCAAATAACTATGCACTGTTTCACACCGAGCAACCTTATAAACTGCTACAGAACGTACTGGACAATTCTCGATCGAGACTTCGAACAATCTAGAACGTTCTAGAATTAATGGTTTATGTTTACGTATAAAAACAATAACGGAATATTATTTTAATCCAAATAAAGATTAATGAGGATTGGTACAACCATTCTGAAATTTAAAAAAGTTGATAACAAACAGCGATAATCTGACCAATTCGTAATAAATTTCCAATGTTGCACCAGTATCTATTTACATATGTACATAACATTTATTGAGAGATTGATAATTCGTTGACTATTATTTAAAATTTGTGACGACGATATATAATCAGGATTTTGTGATAGTAGTTTAAATATGTTTTATTAAGTTTGCCGAGGATTAGATCCAAATATAGCATTTCCAAGTCAATTTCAACCTTTTCCAAATCAAATTCAACGTTTTCCAAGTCAAATTAAACCTTTTCCATTTCAAATTCAACCTTTTCCATTATAGTATTATTGTTCATGTAAAACAAACCAATCGTCTCCCCTTCCTCCCCTCCCAAAAAAAAAAAAAAAAAATTAAATCCTGGATCTGCTAGTAATGCCATCGATGATTTCAGCGGTGATTGAAAGAATCTGCCCCTTCCTTATGGAAGGTAATCCTTTTATTTGTTTAATATAGAGTGAAACAGTTTACTTATCTGTTTAATGAAAGAAACTGTTTAAATTAAACAGATTGCTACTAAACATCAAACCCACTAACCCAGATATAGCATTTCCAAGTCAATTCCAACCTTTTCCAAGTCAAATTCAACCTTTTCCAAATCAAATTAAACTTTTTCCAAATCAAATTCAACCTTTTCCATTTCAAATTAAACCTTTTCCATTTCAAATTCAACCTTTTTTTATTTATTTTATTATCTTTAATTTTTCGATGTGTGGGTCTGTTATCGTATAAGTAGTTTTTAAAAATAACCTCCATTTTAAGATTACGGCACTGCGTTTCGACTTATTTAGGTTTTTTGAATTAATCCAATATAAAGGTCTACTTTTATGTTTCCGGAGCCATAGATTTTGTAAACGACCTCCATTTTATGATTAGGCCACCGCGTTTCGATTTCTTTAAGTTTTTAGGTTTTTTTTTCATATTTTGAAAACGACTTGGAAGTATGTTTACAACGCGGAAAAAATACATTCCATATGTATTATATAGACAGTTACTGTTAAATAAGCTCTAACTCGCATATATAATAACTATTAATTAGAGATGATATAAATAAAAAGAATTGATACAAAATAAACGGTCTGTTTATTACTGTTTGCCATTTATTAATTTAAGTTTCAGAACCAGGGCTTGAACGAAATTTTAACTTTTATTTTTTAACAATTTCGGTAGGACCCTAATCTTTATTTTAAATTATTTTGAAATCTGAACTTTTTTCCTTACAACATTTTAAACTAAAGGTTTTGCAGAACATTTATTTAAAAAAATGTTGTATTTAAAGTTCTGTTGATTTTACCAAAGATTTCATCTAAAAAATTACTTTTATGTTTAGCTACTCAAACGACGTATTAGAATCATGTAATATAAATTATAAATTTAATCTAATCTCAATTACTTCTATTTTAACATAACTTTTATAGAAAACTTGAATAAATAAAAGTTAAACTTTTATCAGATACGTAGAAATTAATTTTAAAAAATTTCTTAGAAGTTTTAACTAAAAATGTTCGCAAAAGTATTTTAAAATAGAAATAGGAAACAACCACCTTAAAAGTTTTTAGTTCTATACGGCTGTAGCAACCCTTTTAAATCTTTTTGAGCTAGAAAATATAGTTCTGTGACTATATTTTTAAAATTTATATTTATAATAACGTAGCTTTAAACAAGATATATTTAAACTACGAATTCGAGAATGTTCGGAAGGTTCAGTCGAGAAGTGTCCAGAATATTCTACGGCTGTTTATAAAGTTGGTTTGTCTCGAAACGGTGCAGTCACTATAGAAAGCTTTCTTTGTATTTGTGCTTGGAAGTTTCTGTATATTCTTAGTTCAAAGGTATGTAGCAGTAGTTTTAAGTACCTATTTACTATTTATTGAACAATATTAGTCCGGTTTCCTGTTGGCATGATTTCTTACCTACGTTTCCGTTATATATGCCACGTCATATACACCATTATTTAATGGCATGATTCCCTTATTCGAGGAAACGATAATCAGTGTTTATTCATCAGTTCCATTGTTTTGTCAAATAATTTATTATTTCAGTATTTTTAAATTTATTACTTAATTGTTGAAATTAAGTTGAAGTCGATGTTTTGAACGCTGAAGGATAATAATCCTATAACAATTCTTCAGGCCATCTAAAAATATTCAGATTATCTGAATACAGTAACTACCCTAACAGTCATTTTTATTTTTCATTCTAATAATTATTTAGTAAACATAGAACGTTTCATATTTACATGTGCAGTAGTCAGTTTTGCTTTTTGTCCAGAAGGTTAATATTTTGTTAATGCATTTCTATTATATATATATATCTATTCTAGACTTAAACCATTAAATCAACTACTACTTTTTAATCGTGGATTGGTGGTTGACGATAGTGAATAATTGAAGAGAAGTTTGGGTTGATGGCTGTGGTAATCAGTAAAAAAAAATAATAGTAAAAATAAATAATTATATTTATTTATTTTATTTTTGCCAAAAATAAATATAAATATTTATTTTTACTATTTTTTTTTTTTTTTTACTGCTCATCCTAACCATACTACGTTTGTAAACGTTATATGTAAAAGGTACAGATATCATTTAGTTCATATACAAAACATTCATTTTCTGGATAAAATTGTCTTATGTGACCATCATTTTAACTCCCTTGATTAGTCGAAGTTAATAAGTAACAACACTACGTCCTCCCAGATAGAGTATGAAGTATTTTTGTTATTATGAAAAAATATCTCATGGCAAGGTATTGATCAACCCCTAGCTATAATATCTCCATTATTTGAAACAATCAAATCTGAAACACTGCTCGTTCCTTATTAATTTTATCTCTTATGATTACTATTTAATCCATAATTAGACCACTTTACGTTTTACTTGCTCTTCAACTACTAGTCCAATAGGCTGTTGTTATTGGACAAGTATTTAGTTTTAAAATGAAGGGGAAAAATATATTCTTTTTTTTTTTCCAGAAAATGTCTTTGTTACCTTTATTGCATGAGCTCCTGGATGACCGCAGGCGGCATCCAATGCATGACCTGTATGACCAACATTTTGGAGGTGGTCTTTGGAATAATGAAGTCTTACATCCCACGGCTACCTTCCTTTTGAGTCCTATGCGAAGTGGATACTTGAGACCCTGGAGAAACCTAGCTGTTGACGATTCTGGAGTTTCCTCTATTCAAGCAGACAAACATGGGCTGCAAGTCAATCTTGATGTACAACAATTTAAACCTGAAGAACTGAAGGTTTCAGTTATTGATGGATACATAGTCGTCGATGGTAAGCATGAAGAACGCTCTGATGAGCATGGTTTTGTATCTCGTCAATTCACTCGGCGCTACAAGATCCCTGATAATGTTGATGAGGCTGCCCTCGAATCCAAGCTTTCTTCAGATGGCGTACTGACATTAAAAGCTCCTTCAAAGGTTAATAACTATTATCTATACTTTCATTGGTTTTTACAAACATTATTGTTAATGCTCTTACTTGAGATATACCCAATGTTAACTTTCAATTTCGGAATTAAGTTATTTTTATTTTATGCTTTACTGTCTTTCTTTTGTTGTGTTCATGAGTTTTCCTAACTATTATGTAATAATTTGTCTTTAATTTTCCCCACTAATCTGTTACTTTTTGTTAATATTTTTTTTAGGCATTACCTGACTCAAAATCTCGGGAGATCCCCATCACCCACACTAACAAACCAGCAGTCAAAGAAACAAAGAAGGTTGAAGGAGAAAAGATGGAACAATGAACCAACTACTTCTCTTGAATTATTACTTTCTTGTAAATAATATTAAATGGAATGTTTAAGTTAGTATAACTTTTTATCTTGATTATTTTGAAGACTGATTTTTAAAATTCTCTCCATTTGTGTATAATTTACTTTTATTGTTTCTTTTTTTTATTTAATTAAAATAAATTATTTGAATTTCAATGTTGTGTAGTTTATTTTAATCCTTTTTAATTTATTTACTAATATTGTTTTTTGAGATCTGTATAATGTGCTCAGATTCTTATGTGGGTTCATTCCAGTTAATATTGTGCTTTCATAACAAAGCTTTAAACTAAAGTTAAAACAATAAAGTAATAGAACAAGTGAAAGTAATAGAAAAGAGTCTCATGTATCCTTTTTTCACATTAAATACTTTGTAAAAAAGTACTATTTTAAGGCCAACAGTTGTGTAGGAAGGTGATTAAGCTGAGATCATCTTAACCATAAGGTCTCCTCTTAATTGATTTTATATGTTTTACTGGTACAGTACAAATAAAGATTTATAATAATTATATATACATGAATAACTGATAAATACTAAAGCAACAAATACAAATATAAAATAATAAATATTTTGAATAATTTATATCCCAAGAAATAATAATAATGTAAAATGAGGGAAATCATAAACAACAACGTGAATAAAACTGACCACAAATAAATCAGACGGGTCATGGTCAATGCTGGATGTTGCAAATTAAAACGGTGTATCCACGCATATCGAGCAAAACTGACAATTTTTCGACATTTGTTCATTAATTTCATAAAATTAATTTTCAATTCAGATTTAGATTGCAAACTTTCAACTACTTGTGGTATTGTACATTTATTCAGTTCGTTACCTTGATATGATGAAATCGGAGCCGATTAACAAATTTTTAAATGTGTCCCTGCTATTATCAATCATATAGGCCAGATAATTCTATAGGAACCAGTAGTGGATCCAGGATTTAGTTTTTTGGAGGCAGAGCTTCAGCCCGAAAGTTTTTTTTTTCTTCATATATATAACGATCACTTTGTCATATAATATATATAATAATCACTTTGGAAAAAAAGAAAGACACAAACTACCAATATGTAATGGTGTTTAAGTGATTCTTGAAATCCTATTAAATGTAATTACACAAACAATAAAACTTTAAAAGATGATTTTTTACCATAGAACATGGTAACATTTTACCATGTTTGGGGGCAGGAAGAGGGGCGAGCGAATCCAGTCTTAAAAGCCCCTCACCCTTAGATTTGCCAGTGATATGATGTTAAAAAGTTCAATCTGTCTACTGATATAAGTAGACAGACACACGCCACATGTCTTTGATTGGACATAAGATATACATACTGGAAAACTTGCATGGAAAAAGTTATACTTCCAAAATAACTGAAAAACTATAAACTATAAAATTTCGAGAGGAACCAAAACTTAAACATTAAAGTTTTTTTCCGTTTCAAGTTCTGCTACAAACGCATCCTTAACAGCCTCTAAGGACTTTTCTGCGATATCAGTCTTTTTTTTTCTTCTTGACTCCGCGCCTTTAAGGCTATACGGGATTTTTTCCGGGCCAGCGAGGTGAGGGCGGAGAATTAATGGCAGAGTTAAAAGACTCCCCCAGCACGCGATATCAATGTCGTCAGCGTATCAATGGAATTGTACGAGATGATATATTAATGAACTAGTGGATGCAGGATTTAATTTTTTGGGAGGGGGGTTGGCTTCAGCCCGAACTTTTTTTTTCATATATACCACGATAGTTACTTTGGAAAAAAAAAGATAACTACCAATATGAAATGGTCTTAAGGGGCGGGATGGCCGAATAGGCTAAAGCGTGTGTAACAGCACCGCTAGTTGCCTGGCAACCGGATAACAGAGATTTGAGATGATATAAAAAGTACGAGTTCGCGTCCCGGTGCCGGAGGGGATTTTAAATATCCCCGCCCTCACCCCCTGGCTCGGGAAAATCTCGTATAGCCCCGGGAAAAACCCGTAAAAAAAAAAAAATGATTCTTGCAGTGCTAGTAAATGTTAGACGGACAATAATACTTTTAGAGATAATTTCATATTTTTTACCATCTTGGGGAAGGTATTCCGCCCGAAAGCCACCCAGCCCCGTAGATCCGCTTGTTTATTAATGTAATCTGGATCATATTATCTATCATGGCCTTCTCGAGTCCCAGGTTAAAAATCAGACGTGCTAGCCCATCTCTCTGTCCTACCCACATGTCTGCAGAAATCTCTCAAAAAATCATTTGCGAACGAAGCATGTCTTTGATGGGACATAAGATATACATAGAGATTGAAAAACTTTCTTTCTTTCTTTCGCCATCAAACATTTTTTTTTTTTATTCATTATTATTTGCAACTGTATTATAAAAAAAATACAACTAGTAAATGTGCAGGCAGGAATGTAATAATATGAAATCGCTTGTTGAGGAACTACCCACTGATAGCACTCAAATAATAAATTTACACAAGAAGATCACGCACGAGGCCACCTTCTTTATAAAAAGTAAAATATAGTATTTATTCCAATGTAAGCAATATTTTAAAAGGCGATTCTGTTTTCATTTTGATTTATTAAACTTTTATTTATTCTATAAATCCTAAGTATTTTAGGACGTTATTGCTATGACTTATCAATTGATTATATCAGCTATTTTATGTTAAACAATAAGTATTGCATGCAAAATAATTATTTCATGCAACATGAGTATTGGAAGTATAATTATTTCACGTAAAAGGAATATTGTAAAATATTCACGGTAGATACCAATATATTGTGTAAAAGCCATGTTTTGTAGTTTGTATTGTAACATCACATTACATTACATTGCACAGATACAGTATAGTTTGTTGCCTTTTTCATAATGACCTATTGTATACATAATTGGCGCAACAACCCGTTACCGGTTCTAGGCCTCCTCCCAAAATTCTCCGCCAGTTGGCTCTATTTGTTGCTGCAGCTCTCCAGTTCCTAACGCCGAGGAGATTGCGTGCGTCCGCTGTGACGGAGTTAGCCCACCTCACATTTGGCCTACCCACTCTTTGCTTGCCATGAAGTTCTTCAGCCAATGACCTCTTAGGGATCTCGCCCTTGCAATGTGGCCCGCCCATCAAAGTCTCCCAATCTTGATCCACTTGATGATATCAGGATTTTTATACAGGTTTGAGAGTTCCTGATTCTTCCTCCTTATCCAGGTGTCTCCCTCTTGAACCAGGCCAAAAATTCTTCTCAATATCTTCCGTTCAAACACCAGAAGGAGGTTCTCACAGACCCCAGTGAAGGCCCAGGTCTCTGACCCATACATAAGTACCGGACGAATCAAGGTCTTATATAGCCCGATCTTGGTCTTGTTGGAGAGGTGTCTGCTTTTGAAGTATTTTGCTAGCGTAGCCAAAATAGCTTCGATTTGCTGCGGCCATTCTTCGGTTGATCTTCTGGGATATATCATTTTGAGTGTTAATTTCTGGGCCCAGGTATACGAAACGTTGCACTCTCTCAAATCTATATGGTCCAACTTCGAAAAAACCTGTCCCTACCTCTGATGGTCCTATTCTCAAATACTTTGTCTTGGCTTCGTTGATGACCTAGCCAAGAATTTTGGTTTCTTGTTTGTTAGAGCCAAGAAGGCTTCTTTTAGGGCACGATCAGATCTGGCAGCTATGTCAATGTCATCTGCATACCCCAGTAACTGGATCGTATTGTTAAATAAGGTGACCCGTGTTTGGATCCTTGATCTGCGTCCTGCTCGCTCCACCACTAAATTAAAGAGAAGGCATGCAAAGGCATCTCTCTGTCTCACGCCGATGTTTGTAGCAATAGGTTCAGAGAGGTCAGATCCGATATGAACCACGCTGTTCGACCCCAACATGGTAATTCTCACCAGACGAATCAGCTTCCTGGGTATGTTCATTTCTTCTAGCGCCTGGTAGAGCTCAGGTCGGGTTACACTATTGTACGCATACTTGAAATCCAGAAAGCGGTGGTGTGTAAGCATTCTGTATTCCTTGGCTTGTTCCAGAATCATTCTCAGGGAGAAGATCTGGTCCGTGGTTGACCTACCCTTTCTGAATCCAGTCTGGTGGTTCCCTATCACTCTTTCAGCATGGTGGGTGAGTCTATCGAAAATGATATTTGACATCAGCTTGTAGGCACTCGAAAGGAGGACAATACCCCTGTAGTTGTCGCATTCCGTTTGGTCACCCTTCTTATGAAGCGGGTAAATAACTCCTCGTCTCCAAACTTGTGGCATCCTTTCTTCTTCCCATATTGTAAGGATGAGGTTGTGGAGTTCCTTCATTGTATTCCTTGTACGCCGTCTAGTCACGGGGCTTTGTTATTCTTTAGCTTCATTACGGGCGCCTCGACTTCATCGTGGTCTGGTGGTTCTACATCGTTTGAGAGGTCTTCCGCCCTTGAGATGATGCTGGCTTCCTCATCTGCATCATCTTGGTGAAGGACTTTTCCAATACTGCCTCCATCTCTCCAGGATTTCTCCCTTTTCTGTCAGGAGATTTCTATCTGAATCCTTGCAGGAGGTGACTCTAAGTTTAAAAACCGACCTCCCTTCATTCACCTTCTGGAAGAATGCCTACTTTCATGTAGAGTTCTGTGGGTCTCAACGTCCACCATTCTTTTGTTCTCCCATGTTCTTTTCTTTATCGTCAAACCACGGTGTCCTGGCCTTCCTTGTTAGAGGCCCAAGCGTCTTCTTCGCTGTATCTTTGAGAGCTTCAGCTATTTATGCCCACTGATCATCCACTGTCTCGGCTCTCTCTCTCAACTCTTCCGCGAGTTTAACTTCCAATCGTTGCTGGTATGTTTTGCACTGTTATATGTCTTTTAGTTTGGATACATCATATTTCTGTTTGGCCGGGCCAGCTGCTACATATCTTTTCGTTGATATTCGAGTGCGGATCCTGGCGATACTCAAGAAATGATCCGAGCCGACTGTAGACTCTAACTCTAATAAGGTTAGATCTGTGGCGTGAGCTAATTAAAATGTGGTCTATTTGGTTCGTGACTGCCCCATTTGGCGATCTCCAAGTAACTTTGTGGATGTTCTTGCCAGGAAACAATATGCTGCCATGACTGGACCTTGTGCTGCAGCAAAGTCTATGAGTCTTTGACCATTCTCATTCGTGCTTTCATGTAGACTGAAGGCACCTGTTGTTGGATCATAAATAGTTTTCTGACCAATTTGAGCATTAAGTTCACCAAGAAATGATTTTGTTATCATTTCCGGGGCAGTTCCTGAAAGTGCTTGCCAATGCTTCGTAGAAGATATCCTTATCATCGTCTGATGAGACTTCAGTTCGTGCGTGACAGTTTATAACAGATAGATTGGAGAACCTTCCCTTGATACGCATATAACACAGTCGGGGAGAGATAGGCTTGAACTTAAGGACAAGCTGCTGTACCCTTCCTTTAACTAAATATCCTGTGCCAAAGGCGTGTTTGCTTTCATGACAACTATAATGTACTGTATGGAATCTCTTTTCTAGCGAGCCACATCCAAGCCAGCGTACCTCCTCGATTGCTGCAATGTCCACGCGGTATATGTCAAGTTCTGCAAGGAGCGCCCCAAGGGCTCCTGGTCTATGTAAGGATAAAATGTTCCAATAAACTAGTCTTAAGTCATTATGGCGGTTCTTTGGCCTATTCCTTAAAATCAGTCCGGCTTCCGTGCTTTGTAGAGGTTTCGTGATAATTAAATATTAGGAGAATGGGTTATCGGCCCACTGCCTCCGAGTCAGGTGGAGGGGCTGCCTCCTATGAGCGCCCTGACGCACTCTCCCATCCTGGGCGGCTATCCAGGGGAGGTGACCCTGGGGCGTGTACTGTGATTGAATTTTGTCTGTAATGAAAGGTGTTGTAGTGTACAGTTATTGAGTACTGTGTGCATGTTAGTGTGAGTGTTTCCTCCAACTTCGATGAGCGGTGGCTGGTTGCAGCCTTACGGCTGGGCGATGGGGCCACCACATCCCTATGCCACCCTATTGTATAAAAATATAAATATATAAAGTTGAATGTAATATATATAACTAGCAGGCCCGTGCGAAAAATTCGCACAGCATATTGTTATCAAATGCCAAATTAATAAGAAAATGAAATAATGGAATTTATCAAAAGATAAAGAAATCAAATGTTACTTCATCGATTTATCGATATAATCGACAAAGGAAACAAAAATTAATTTAAATCTTCATTTTTGTTTGGAACCAACATATTTACAAATTTCAGTAAGCTGTATCTTTGCTAAAAAATGTCCGGTTTCGATGATTTTTTTTCCTTTTGTAGGAAATTTAGTAATGTTTTATATAATCATGGGCACAACTAAGAGAAAATGTGTAATTTTTTAATTATTCGCAAATAAGGTTTGTTTCCTTTCATAACTAGTTTGCCTTAATTTTCGGGGTGATTGGACTATTTTTTCCGCCTGAAGGAGAAGGAAACCTTCGAAATTGGTGGCTCAATTTTGAGACTTGGTGAAAAATTAACGATGATATGGCTTGCCGTTCAAAAACACCATCGATAAATAATATAAATTCCTCCTCTCTCTCGATCATAGAGACCTCAAGTCGACGAAATGAGACAATGTATGCAATGACAGTACTACAATTAACGTAAGTTTGTGTGGATGCGTACCCTATGTCTTGCATTTTCTCGAAAATAGTACGTTTTCGGGCTAAAAAGCGCAGGATCCAATAGTTCCGAATGAACTATCCGGGTGTTGCTGTACGCATCAAAATCTTCAAGGTCCAATTTGTCCCGCATCGATCTATAGACCTACCACCGTTCCAGTATTGAAGCCTAGCAAAATGTTTGTATCGACTTTTTTCATTTTAGAAAGAAAAACAAAAGTGGAGAATACGATTCGCTAACCCCCCGTGAAATTCTGAATCCAACGTTACCCCATTCATGGTATTTGAGCATGACAGGAGCTTTTTTTTTGTTACAAAACCGATTTCGAGACCTGTAATTATATATGTGGTAATAAATATTTTTTTTTAATTATTTTTCAAAACAGTTGTATTTAAATTCTCTCTATACATATTTTTACAATTTATCGAGAAATATGCTATTTTTATATTGTTGGAAACTTTTAGATAAGTTTAATTTCTACAGTAAATTTTTTGATGGATATTGTTTGTGCTGGTTTTGGCAGGCTCGTTTTGGCCGTGCTATGGTGAGGGGAAGAAGGGAGGACATTGTATGCAATTAGATCTAATTTACTACAGCGCCAGGCTAAATTTCTTGATATTGATGATGTTAAAGTGATTTATAGTAAAATTCTAATTGAATTGCCCATTTTGCCCATATATGTAGATAGCGATTCATGGGACTCAGATTTTTCTAGTTTGGCAAACTTTCTATTAAAAAACTCACAAGTTTACTCGCTAAAAAACATTAAATTTATTTTAGCTGGGCACTTCAATGCCCTTAATTTGTGAGATCTCATTTATAGACACTCCAGATGTAATGTCCTACCCATTTTGCCACAATTGGTTTGGATGGATAAATGTGCAGATATTTATAAAAATTCCTTGAAATTAGCGATTGAAGAAATTTCGTACTTTCTTCCTAATCCTTAGTATTAGAAGCTCTTCTCTTTCGTATACTAAGTATTCTCCATACATTAGAAACATCCGACAAAATATATGGTTTGATGGACAGTGCCTCCGCTCAAGAAATAAATATAAATTATTCAAAATATTTATTATTTTATATTTGTATTTGTTGCTTTAGTATTTATCAGTTATTCATGTATATATAATTATTATAAATCTTTATTTGTACTGTACCAGTAAAACATATAAAATCAATTAAGAGGAGACCTTATGGTTAAGATGATCTCAGCTTAATCACCTTCCTACACAACTGTTGGCCTTAAAATAGTACTTTTTTACAAAGTATTTAATGTGAAAAAAGGATACATGAGACTCTTTTCTATTACTTTCACTTGTTCTATTACTTTATTGTTTTAACTTTAGTTTAAAGCTTTGTTATGAAAGCACAATATTAACTGGAATGAACCCACATAAGAATCTGAGCACATTATACAGATCTCAAAAAACAATATTAGTAAATAAATTAAAAAGGATTAAAATAAACTACACAACATTGAAATTCAAATAATTTATTTTAATTAAATAAAAAAAAGAAACAATAAAAGTAAATTATACACAAATGGAGAGAATTTTAAAAATCAGTCTTCAAAATAATCAAGATAAAAAGTTATACTAACTTAAACATTCCATTTAATATTATTTACAAGAAAGTAATAATTCAAGAGAAGTAGTTGGTTCATTGTTCCATCTTTTCTCCTTCAACCTTCTTTGTTTCTTTGACTGCTGGTTTGTTAGTGTGGGTGATGGGGATCTCCCGAGATTTTGAGTCAGGTAATGCCTAAAAAAAATATTAACAAAAAGTAACAGATTAGTGGGGAAAATTAAAGACAAATTATTACATAATAGTTAGGAAAACTCATGAACACAACAAAAGAAAGACAGTAAAGCATAAAATAAAAATAACTTAATTCCGAAATTGAAAGTTAACATTGGGTATATCTCAAGTAAGAGCATTAACAATAATGTTTGTAAAAACCAATGAAAGTATAGATAATAGTTATTAACCTTTGAAGGAGCTTTTAATGTCAGTACGCCATCTGAAGAAAGCTTGGATTCGAGGGCAGCCTCATCAACATTATCAGGGATCTTGTAGCGCCGAGTGAATTGACGAGATACAAAACCATGCTCATCAGAGCGTTCTTCATGCTTACCATCGACGACTATGTATCCATCAATAACTGAAACCTTCAGTTCTTCAGGTTTAAATTGTTGTACATCAAGATTGACTTGCAGCCCATGTTTGTCTGCTTGAATAGAGGAAACTCCAGAATCGTCAACAGCTAGGTTTCTCCAGGGTCTCAAGTATCCACTTCGCATAGGACTCAAAAGGAAGGTAGCCGTGGGATGTAAGACTTCATTATTCCAAAGACCACCTCCAAAATGTTGGTCATACAGGTCATGCATTGGATGCCGCCTGCGGTCATCCAGGAGCTCATGCAATAAAGGTAACAAAGACATTTTCTGGAAAAAAAAAAAGAATATATTTTTCCCCTTCATTTTAAAACTAAATACTTGTCCAATAACAACAGCCTATTGGACTAGTAGTTGAAGAGCAAGTAAAACGTAAAGTGGTCTAATTATGGATTAAATAGTAATCATAAGAGATAAAATTAATAAGGAACGAGCAGTGTTTCAGATTTGATTGTTTCAAATAATGGAGATATTATAGCTAGGGGTTGATCAATACCTTGCCATGAGATATTTTTTCATAATAACAAAAATACTTCATACTCTATCTGGGAGGACGTAGTGTTGTTACTTATTAACTTCGACTAATCAAGGGAGTTAAAATGATGGTCACATAAGACAATTTTATCCAGAAAATGAATGTTTTGTATATGAACTAAATGATATCTGTACCTTTTACATATAACGTTTACAAACGTAGTATGGTTAGGATGATTAGTAAAAAAAAAAATATAGTAAAAATAAATAATTATATTTATTTTTGGCAAAAATAAAATAAATAAATATAATTATTTAGTTTTACTATTATTTTTTTTTACTGATTACCACAACCATCAACCCAAACTTCTCTTCAATTATTCACTATCGTCAACCACCAATCCACGATTAAAAAGTTGTAGTTGATTTAATGGTTTAAGTCTAGAATAGATATATATAATAGAAATGCATTAACAAAATATTAACCTTCTGGACAAAAAGCAAAACTGACTACTGCACATGTAAATATGAAACGTTCAATGTTAACTAAATAATTATTAGGATGAAAACTAAAAATGACTGTCAGGGTAGTTACTGTATTCAGATAATCTGAATATTTTTAGATGGCCTGAAGAATTGTTATAGGATTATTATCCTTCAGCGTTCAAAACATCGACTTCAACCTAATTTCAACAAATAAGTAATAAATTTAAAAATACTGAAATAATAAATTATTTGACAAAACTATGGAACTGATGAATAAACACTGATTATCGTTTCCTCGAATAAGGGAATCATGCCATTAAATAATGGTGTATATGACGTGGCATATATAACGGAAATGTAGGTAAGAAATCATGCCAACAGGAAACCGGACTAATATTGTTCAATAAATAGTAAATAGGTACTTAAAACTACTGCTACATACCTTTGAACTAAGAATATACAGAAACTTCCAAGCACAAATACAAAGAAAGCTTTCTATAGTAACTGCACCGTTTCGAGACCAACCAACTTTATAAACAGCCGTAGAATGTTCTGGACACTTCTCGACTGAACCTTCCGAACATTCTTGAATTCGTAGTTTAAATATATCTTGTTTAAAGCTACGTTATTATAAATATAAATTTTAAAAATATAGTCACAGAACTATATTTTCTACCTCAAAAAGATTTAAAAGGATTGCTACAGCCGTATAGAACTATAAACTTTTAAGGTGGTTGTTTCCTATTTCCATTTTAAAATACTTTTGCGAACATTTTTAGTTAAAACTTCTAAGAAACTTTTTAAAATTAATTTCTAGGTATCTGATAAAAGTTTAACTTTTATTTATTCAAGTTTTCTATAAAAGTTACGTTAAAATAGAAATAAACAATAATTGAGCTTCGATTAGATTTATAATTTATATTAGATGAATTAAATGATTCTAATACGTCGTTTGAGTAGCTAAACATAAAAGTAATTTTTTAGATGAAATCTTTGGTAAAATCAACAGAACTTTAAATACAAGATTTTTTAAAATTTCGTCTCCAGCCCTGGTTCTGAAACTTAAATTAATAAATGGCAAACAGTAATAAACAGACTGTTTATTTTGTATCAATTCTTTTTATTTATATCATCTCTAATTAATAGTTGTTATATATGCGAGTTAGAGCTTATTTAACAGTAACTGTCTATATGATACATATGGAAACACAATAATAAATAATGTAGGATGTTGCCATACGCTGAAAGGTAAATAGGAACTTATCATTGTGGCTTTTATAGGAGTCAATCAACAATCGACCAGATATTCCCCTTCTCATACTTCTAGAAAAAACTAAGGAATATAGACTGCCTACACATAACATGTTTGTTGATTTTCAACAAGCTTATAATTCCATCAATGGAACAGTAATATATAAAGCGAAATATCGAAATATATAAAATGACTGAAATGAATTTTCCTCTAAAGCTAGTCCTTTCTTTCATAATTCATGCTTCATTCGTAATGATTTTTGGAGAAATGTCTCTGCAGACATATGGGTACGACAGAGAGATGGGCTAGCACGTGTTGTTTTTAACCTGGGACTCGAGAAGGCTATGAGAGATAATATGATCCAGATATCTGGTACATTAATACACAAGCGGATCAACGGGGCTGGGGGAATTTCGGGCGGAATACCTTCCCCAAAATGGTAAAAAATATTATAAAATTATCTTTTTAAAGTATTATTGTCCGTCTAACATTTACTAGGACTGCAAGAATCACTTTAAGACCATTTCATATTGGTAGTTATCTTTTTTTTTCCGAAGTAACTATCGTGGTATGTATGAAAAAAAAAGTTCGTGCTGAAGCCAACCCCCCTCCCAAAAAATTAAATCCTGCATCCACTAGTTCATTAATATATCATCTCGTACAATTCCATTGATACGCTGACGACATTGATATCGCGTGCTGGGGGAGTCTTTTAACTCTGCCATTAATTCTCCACTCTCACCTCCCTGGGCCGGAAAAAAATCCCGTATAGCCTTAAAGGCGCGGAGTCAAGAAGAAAAAAAAGACTGATATCGCAGAAAAGTCCTTAGAGGCTGTTAAGGATGTGTTTATAGCAGGACTTGAAACGGAAAAAAACTTTAATGTTTAAGTTTTGGTTCCTCTCGAAATTTTATAGTTTATAGTTTTTCAGTTATTTTGGAAGTAGAACTTTTTCCTTGCGACTTTTCCAGTAAGGTTTTATAGAACTTTTATTTATTTTAAAACTTGTATTTAAAGTTCTACTGAATTCACTAAAAAGTCGATATAAAAAATCATTTTTATTCTAAGATACTTAAAAAAAGACAAGTAAGAATCATATGTAATTAATTCAAGGCAAATTATAAGTGTAATCTAAGCCCAATTACTGTTTATTTCTCATTTAACGTACCTTTTTTTTTTTAAGAACTTAAATAAATAAAAGTTAAACTTTCACCGTAAATCTAGAACTTTATTCAAAAAAGTACCTTAAAACTTTATATCACAGGAACTGTTAAAATGGAACTTTTCCAAAAAAGTCCCATAAAAGTTTCAACCCCTGATTTATAGCAGTGAAGAATTAATGGAGCTAAAACGTGGGTGTTGATTAACTTTAATAAAACCCACAAGCGAATCTAGGGGCGGGAGGGAAACACTCCTGAATTCGGTATAAACATTATGTCAATATTGTAAAGCAATCAGTGAAGGAGTTTCGGAGATTAGCGGTTTTGAACAAATGAGTATTAACGTTTTTATTAATATATATATATATATATATATATATATATATATATATATTACTTGCTGAAGCCCCTCTCCAAAATTAAATCTTGGATCTGCTAATAATAGAAGGGCAGGTGATTGAAAAGGTTGAGCAGTTCATATATCTTTGACCACAGTTGAACCAATTGAATTACATAGGTGGGAAAATCGAAAGAAGAATAGTAGCCGCATGCAGGTGCTATTTTGCACTACTAAAACATCTCAGAAGCAAAATTAAATTGAAGTTCTCAAAAATACGTGTTTATAATGCTCTTATCCAAGTGTTATTAAATCATGGATCTGAAACATGGATCCTCAGTAAATGTCAAGAAGCTTCAATACTACGTTATAGTAAAGTTCTCAGAAGTGAGAAAGTTTTTTGGGCCGTGTCAGATAAAGAAAAAATCAATGGTCTTATGGACTTTATAAAGACACACCAATGGACCATTGTACATAATGCATTACATGGGCCTCAACAAATCACACAATAATCCTTTTAGAGATAAAAATTTCATATTTTTCTTGACACCTGATTAGCTGAAGTACCTGTGTTATAATTTAAAAGTAGAACATATTGTTTAAGTACTAAGTTCAAATAACCCATATAAAGTAATATAAACCAATGAAAAAAAATTAATTTTTCTATATGGTGAAGGCTCGAGTCCGAAACTCAAAAGCCTCACTTTGAATCCGTATTTGATTAATGCTGAGGAACTCCACATCAGATGGTAAAAAAGGATCTAGTGTTCCCTTTATGACAATTAATAACTTTGGATAGCAATATTTTCAATTCAGAAACGCCAATCCTTATTAAAATTAATAAGATAAACTTATCGATGGTGCTCGTTCGCGAAGATTACATTCCATCATAATTTATCCAACTATTGTGTATATCGTTATTTTTGTTTATATATCATTTAAATTGTATGTTTCATAATTTAGACATTTGGTCCTAATGGATTTATCATTCAAATTTTCATACTCTAACTTTTCATAGCGTATTACCAATTTATTTTAAAACACTTTTTTTCTCACAAGTTCTTCTCTTATCATAACTTAATAAATATGTTATTAATCATTATCATATTATTATTTATTTTTTGAAATTATAATGTGTAATTTTTTTTCTTTTTTAATTTTGTATATTTACCTTTTTCTGTTTAATCCGATTTAGTCAGTTTATATTATTTAACCCTGGGCCCACACTACAGGCAAACTGAAGCAAATTCCCGCAATTTACGTCATTTTGTAACAGTAAACTAGAAGGTTACAAACTCCAGTGAAAAGCAGTCAGTTTATTAGCACTCGCCGATTGATATGTTATCATATCAATTAAGATGGATTTGTTTTTTTCCATTATCCTTTAATTTTAAAAGAATGAATGTTCGGTTAATGTTTCTATTGAAATCACCGATTCTCGCAGAATGTTCCAGAATATTCCAGGACCCTGTCTGGAAGTATCTGGTTCATTCTATGGCTGTATATAAGTCTGCTCAGAGTTGGAATCCTGCATAGTTATTTCATAAAACTGTTGTGCTTTTAAAGTCTCTGTATTTTCTTAGAACGAAGGTATGTTGGAATATATACTCTACATAGCCGTGTTTCATATTTCCAATAATAATTCTCTAGTAATTAATTTTAATTATTACTAACTAGTGTTAGTTGGCTGTTAATTTTAATTATTCTGTTAAATACTCTTAAAAATTAGTCTGTTAAATACTCTTAAAAATTAGTCTGTTAAATACTCTTAAAAATTAGTCTTTACTGTTTTCACAATCCTTATATCAGATGGCAGTAACTCAAATTGCTGACCATTCCATACCATGTAATCTATAATCAGGGTGCTTTAATTATACATAAAGGTTTACCCATAAGTTGTATCCTGTCTTTAACATTGTGTAAAGAGCAGTAAGACTGATAAATTCAATGTTTGATAATATAGAATAACATATACTCTCTTTTCAGATGTCACTCTTACCTCTATTGCATGAACTACTGGATGATGAGAGGCGAAATCCTTTGAACGACCTTTATGACCAACATTTTGGAGGTGGACTTAGGAATAATGAGATTTTACAACCCACTTCATCATTCCTTTTGAATCCTATGCGTAGTGGATATTTAAGACCATGGAGAAATCTTACTGTTGGCGATTCCGGAATTTCATCTATTAAAGCTGACAAAACTGGGCTCCAAATAAATCTTGATGTACAGCAGTTTAAACCTGAAGAACTTAAAGTTTCAGTTACTGATGGATACATTGTTGTTGATGGTAAGCATGAAGAACGTTCTGATGAACATGGTTTCATTTCTCGTCAGTTCATCCGACGGTACAAGATACCAGATAATGTCGATGAGGCTGCCCTCACATCTGGCCTGTCATCTGATGGTGTTCTAACATTGAAAGCTCCTCCGAAGGTGAGTATATGATACCTGTTATTGTTTAGTTTTCTTGGTTAAGAACGGTTGATGAGTACTGTTATTTCTGTACTGATTTCAATGAGTTATTCAATCAGTTAGTTCTTAATTTGTATTTAAATGAATGTATCTGTGGCCAGAAAGTGTTTTCTTAATAATTAGCTTCTATTTATATAATCTTACTATGAACTAAGTCTAAACAATGACTTTTTATTTTTGTTTATTTTAGGCATTGCCAGAAACTAAATCACGAGAAATACCTATCACTCACACCAACAAACCAGCAGTCAAAGAAGCCAAACATAGAGGAGAAAAAATGGAACAATAAACAGTTTCAGTTTGATATGTATTATTCTGATGGAAATAATGCCAAATGTAATTTTAGTCAGTATAATATTTTTAACTGAATTCCTAACATAGACTGATATTTGAAATAATTAATATTACAATTTGATTATCACTTTTTTGTTTTCTTCATTTGATATTATTTTTATTTTTAATAAAGTATTTTATTTGATCAATTGTGTATTATTCTTTTTAATCCTCTATCAATAAGTTTTTAAATTATGAATACTATAATTTCACTCAACCGAATTCTAAAATAAATATCTTCTACTGATTAATATTTTCAATGGTTTATTTAATTCAAAACTTTGTTCTTAGATTCAGTATTAATTTTTGTCATTTAAAAAAAAAATACATTGAATTACTAGCTAATGAAAATTAAAAATTAGAAATTAGTTTTAATTGTGTTTTCGGAATATTGTACAAAAGTCTAGAAATACGCGTTTGGTTTTAAATTAAACAAACCCCAATCAAGATACACACAAATAAGGAGAAATGCCAAAGTTTACCCAATTACAACAAGTATTTCACATTTATTGAGTTTTGAATTTTTAAAGATTTGAAATTTTTGGAGGCAAATTTGAGCTATACCATTTCTGAGAATTTTGGTAAATAAAAATGTTGGTTATTCTAAGATGAATCTATTCAGAAAGTTTTAGATGAATACCAATAATTTGATAAAAGGAGGTCTGTAGCACGGACTATATATAGTATATAAATTTAATGGGCAATCAAATAATATAAGTATGCTTATAGTTAAGTTATTTGCTCAATATTTTTTTTTATTGGATCATTTTTTCTTATATAATAAGTAAATATAATTTCAATGTTATGGTTTATAAATTGAAAAATAACACCAAAATGTCTCTTCAGAAAGTGGTCTTGCGCCTCGATTGAAATACTTTTCCTGTGTGTCTCCCACTCACTCTTGAAAATAACAAAATCATCGTTATCTCCTAGGCACTACTTATATCCTCTTAACATTCCTCAAAATCTTCTGAACAGAGGAAGTTTGAGGCAGCTAAAAAACTGTACATCTGTTATTTATGCCACTGTCTCCAGATGCCCAAATACAACCTTCATTTCTGAAAATGAATTAACTTTCCTTTCAAATGATGATATATTTGATATTGGTGGATTTTAGTGTTTTAGAGAATTAATCTTATGAACACACTTTATTAAGATTGCGATTTATGACTTCTTAAAACTTACTACTTAGACAAAAGACTTACCTGGAACATACATACTAAATTAAAAAGACAAGAACTGACAAGACGATATAACCAACTCTAGCATCTTCTGGACTACAGATCTTCATTTAACTAACGAAACAAGCGACTGATTTACAACACCATACTGAGGCCAATTAGGACATACGGAGCAGAACTTTTGGGTTCAGAAAAACAAACACACATTAATAAATTACAAACACCACAATAAAAATTCTACAAAAAATTGTCAATGGGCCTTGGTACATTTAAAATAAAACTCTACATAACGACAAACATCCCAACAGTAAAATCGTACATCATTCTTCTATTCCCAATCATCCAAATCCACTTGCTCTGTCTCTTTCTTCCTCCCGGGTTCCTGATCTACAGACTAAAAAAAAAATGGCCAAAGGACCTACTCCTACAACAATAACTAAATTATGTTGATCAAGCAAGCTTGCAGTCAATGCCTAATTCATCAAATTTACTAGGTCCGCTGCAGCACAGTTGCCAATGGATTAAAATAAATAAATATTCATAATTAGGTGTATTACCCATCCTCCTTATTACATTCAATTTTCCCTATCTACAATAATTTTTACCATTTACTTACTTCAGTTTAGGAAAGTAATGGCTCCAAATCTTCATCTTCAAACTTTTTTGGGCACCAAGGTTGTCATTTCCGAGATCAAAATCATTGTTTTTAAAGCATTAAAACCATTAAAAGGATTTAAAATAGACTAATAACCTGAGTGCATAGGATTAGCTTTTGAATAAAGTTGGTTTCAGTGTTGCCAGATGCATGTAGGTAAACAAAAATTCTCTAGATAACATTTCTTTTTTAATTAACATCTGAAATATATTTTTTAATTTTGAATGTTAGTCTATAAGTAATTAGTAAGCAGATTAAGTAATTATTAAGCATGAAGTTTTTTTAAAAATAATGTAAATAACAGAATCACGAAATTTTCATCATTTCCTAAAGAAAATTATTTCTATACAATGATTCTTTAATTATTGTCTAGTGTGAAAAACATTTAAACATACCTAAAAGTACGATGTCATAAAAATGACTAAATAAAATAACAAAACTATTGTTTATTACAATGTGTAATTGATACCTTAATACCACATGTGTGAAGTACATTGAGCATTCTCTAATCATGAAGAATGCATTGATTCTATAATAAAAACTAACGAAAAAGGGTATAGTTATCAAAGACTAAATACATAGATAGATTATTTATATTTAATAAAACTTTTCATTTAACAAATGATTCATTTTTAGTTCTACATAAAGATAAAATTTAAAAAAGAAAATACATGCCAAAAAGATGCAAGAAATTAAAATATGAAAATTAATGAAGTTATACTTCATAAAAAATAAAACATCATTCTTGGTAACAATTTATCACAATTAATGGCACACTTTCAAAAATCAGTGTAACATTACTGTTTATTTATGAAATTCTCGTAGACTAAACAAGTATTAAACTAAAATAACTACATAAAACATGTTATAGACTTGTGCATAAGAATTTATACATAATGATACAAATTTTTATCACATAAATTATCAATGAAAACCATTGAAATATACGAAAAGGGAATGGATCAAATAATCTCAGTCTCTTCTTCTTTATACATTCTTTCATTTCCTCACAATATACTCTGACTATTGAATAAAATCAAACGATTGCAGCAGAACAAAACGTCTTTGGTCCCTACTCGCTATCCTAAAATTGTTGGAGGCTGATAAAATCCTAAAATTAAATCATTTTAGTTTTGTTTTTGTTTATAAGCCGGCCATCTGCAAATCGGACAGTGGTGATTATCCCTTTGAAGCCAAATTAGAATGCACTTGTGATGATAATTATGTCCACAAGGAAGACCACATAAGCTGACATTTGTACGATACTTTTCAAGACAAATAGCACATTCAGTTGTTTCAATGACCAGAGGAAAATCACCTTTTGACAGAGTTTTAACAATTTCAGCGTTGCTACTGTCCATGAGTGTTTCTATCGCTTCAGGACTGTCCTTCTTAATTTTCTTAATGAACTTCCATACTCTCAAGTTCTTGATATAATCAGGAGAAGTGACAGGAGTAAGCCAAAATGAAGGTACTGCTAGACGCTCAATAAGAAGTCCTTCTTCCAATTCAAAGTGTCCGATAGTTGGCTGAACAGATGGTCGAAAAAGGCAATCAATTTCCCACCAACTGTCTCTATTTGCCGAACGTGGAAGTTTAAGACTTGCCAGCCTTCCAAAAATAAAAAGGGAAGATATGAATAAAGGATAAGAATGAAGGAGGTAAATCCAGTCCGAGCGAACCAAGCTTCCTACATTGGAAAGTATGAACCACCGTAGCCAAGATGATGCTGATTTTCCAAAAAAGGATAGAACAGGCCACCTCAAAGCACCACAAACACAAAGCCAGCAGGCAAACAACAACAGATTATAGGTTACTATTGTCCAAATACTGGCTACAATAATTCTCCACCAGGAATCTGTAAATACCTGTAAACAAATTACAAAAATCAGTATTTTGAATAAATTATGGAAACATTAAAAAAAAAAATACGTATTAGGAAAAAAATTCAGTACATAATTGAAAAAATATCCCAAATATTTTTTAAATAACACAAGTTGTCCACAACTTCATTCACATAATCTTCAATTTAAAGAACTAATATATTTGTTGTTGAAGAGAAGATAGTTGGGAGAAGCAGTCAAGTACAAAGTAAAAATAAATTGCATTTATTGTTAAAATAAATACAATTTATTTTTAGTTAGTACTTCCAATGACTGCTACACCCAACTATATTCTCTTCAACAATATCTTCCAACAGTTAACGATTATCACCCATAATAATATAATTGGTATGAATATGCGACATTCGTCACATACATGCGACAACCACTGAAAGGAAGATATTATAAAAGGTTTATAAGCATAAAATTTCAGCTTCATAGACATTTTCATTTTTGAGTCAATCTAACAGTTATATCATTCTTTTAAATAGAGAGCTTATTAATTTATGCAATATAAAAATATTTCCCACATACTTGATCGCAGCTACTCTTACAAGTAGTTCTATTTTGTTTAAACTTTTACTATAGAAAATATTAATCACACTACTATTACACAAAATATTTATATAATTTAGCTTTATTGCAAAACGTTACTAAGTACACTTTTGATAGAGGTAAACTTTCAAGTACATATTTATGAATATCATTAGTTATCGACAAAAAAGTTCTTCAAGGGCATCAAATTAATACCGACCCTATTTTACTTGTAACCGATTTCAATCAAATTTTTTTGGTTATGCTTCATTGAAAAATATTAGACATATGTCCTGGCATTCATTCCAATTAGGCTTAGGAACTGAGAAAGAAATTATTTTATGTATTAAAAAAAAAATTATATTATTTCTTTTTATCTTTACGTTGCTTAGATTTCTAGGTGATTGTAAACCAAATGATTTCTTTTATTGTGCAGGATAAGAAATATCATAAATAGTATTAAAGTATCATAAATTATTAAAACCAGCTGCTTCAAGCAAAGTTATGAAAAAACAAATAAATTTGTACTCATTTTAGTGTCCTTTAAATTTTTTTAATATGAATTTTTAAAGAAATCAAAAAATACAAACTTTAGCCCTTGATTTTCTTGTAAGATTTTTTTTTCCTGGCCATTGATTAAAACATTCATAACTTTTCAAGTTTTTCTACAAATTCAACATTGATACAACTGTTGGACAGCTGAATTAATACTCTTCCAACTCGTATCAATAACTTTGAGATTTTGTTCCTTAATGATGTTATTATACCAAGTCTGACAGTTAATAATTCTTATTTCTAATTTTTTTTTTTTTTTAACGTTAAATTGGGAGAAATGTAAAAGTTGGTTTATTCAAAGAATGCGCCATCACTAGACACAAATTTCCCCATCTCTCTGGAAATCGGTAGATACCCTCCTAGAAAAACAAAACATCTTTTGAGGTGGTACGATCATCAAACCATTTTTCAACTCTGATATCATTGAAATGTTTCATTTGAGACACCGACAATAGGTAGTCAGAAGGGACCTGCTGAATACAGCGGATGGCGCAAAAGTTCCCAGCCAAATGTAGATATGGTGTCTTTGACCGCTTTCGCTATATGTGATGGGGCATTGTGCTGAAAATATGTAGCAGGTTCCATCCAAGACTGGTGTAACAGTTAAATAATTACCTGACACAGCTGAACTTATAACAGGCCCCAGAAGTAAAAGCTTCTGATTCATTAAGGTAACTCACTCTGATAAAGCAATTGCATTTATAACTAACTTAAAATTTATGAAAATAGTTATAATAATAATAATATTTTTTATTTATCATTTTCTTTAATTTTTTGTTTCTCTTTATATATATTTTATTTATTTAATTAATATTTTGATCTATTATTTTATTTCATTTATTTCTTTTTATTTATCAGCTAATTATTTTATTGATCAGTTGCTGATAACCTAGACGTTTTGTGCCTAACAAATCAACCCAATCCTTTTTTATATTCAATTACTCTTACAAGAATAAGTAAAATCCCTTGATATTAGAACCATTCAAAGAAAGTACTTATATGAAAAACTAACCATCACACTCATGGAGGTTAATTAGAAGCCAAAAGAGATGTAGTTGATTATAAAAAAACATTAAATCCTAAATTGATAATAATCATAAACTTGAATAATCCAATGTAATAATTGAATAAAAATTACATTGGAAGAAAACCTATAAATCATGGTAATCATTATATAAAATGGCTGATATTACTTACCTGGGAGAAATGTAACATAGCAAACATGTTGACAAGTACCAAACTACATAAGAATATATCATTTATTTCTGGCTGAATACTTTTCAAAAAAGCGTTCATAGAAATAAGATTGAATTGTTCCTTTCTTCTCCTTCCATATATTGATGTTTTTTCAGGAGTGATAATAAGATACAGAGGGATTCTTCCAATTTTCTGATCATCTTTTTTTACACTAAATATGCCAAAAGTTATTCTACCTGTAAGCAAAAGAGTGATAAAATAATCAATTATTCTAAAAAAAAAAATAATTAAATAATAAATAATTCGGGATTATTCTTCTTCAATGTATATTTCTGGGCTAGAAAACATAAGATATTTAGAATTTGTATTTGTATAACAAAAATCTGGTGCGAGAATCACACAACTTTCATTCTGTACTTTGAATAGAAATTATTTTCTGACAATCTTAGACTATTACAAAATTTTTGAAATGAATATCTAACAGAGCTAAAGCTTAAACTTTATAGCTAAAAACTTATTCATACTACGTTTCTTCTTCTCTCCTTGCTAAATGGATTGCTTGGTCAGCTTTTACATTTCCCGCAATGCCGCAGTGGACTGGCGCCCAAACGAACACTATTGACATTCATAATTGGTAAATGGTTGACTGTTGTGGATAAAGAAGAGAAGAATAGTTGGGGTGGTCAGTCAAAAAAGAAGGCAAAAATAAATGATAATATTTATTATCATTAGAAACGTCGGCATATGTAAAAATAAATATTATCATTTATTTTTGCCTTCTTTTTTGACTGACCACCCCAACTATTCTTCTCTTCACTATTGACATTCCTTTGTTTTTTGCTTCCCACCATACATTTAATATTTCTTTAATAATAGAATTAGTTGGCGATGGGTTGCCGATAGCGGCTAACACATTCCATGAGTCAGTTACAATGACCCAGCACTTTTCCACAGAATCTCTTATGAAATAAAGACCGTTCATGACGGCAGTTGCCTCTCCTGTAAAAATGGAGCATTCACCTGGCAGTTTAAATAGCAGTTGATTTTCCTTATTTGTTACAGCACATCCTACATTGTTTCCTTCCTTGGATGCATCTGTGTATATGAATTCGAAATTTGTATAATTTTCAGTCAGTTTTAAAAACAATTTCTGGATTTCAATCGGGTACGTTCTTGATATTTTGGCCATAGATCTTTTTATCACTGGTCTAATTTTTTTTCCAATAAGGTATTCTTAATTCTGGGATGGGTCTAATAATGTTTGTGTCCATGTTTATTTTACTTAATGTTTTAAAAATTTTCTGTTTAATAGCTATTTTCGATTTCTTTAAGTCCACATCTTTCGGATCCTTCTTTAAAAAAATATGAAGTAAGAGGGTGGTGTAAAGAGGATTTCAATTTGGCGACATATTTAAGAGATAAATATTTTCGCCTCAAGTACAAGGACGGTTCTCCAGATTCGGCATAGATACTGTCGATTGGGGAGGTTCAGAGTGCACCAGTACAGATTCTTAGGGCTGAGTTATGTACAGAATCTAATATTCTTAGCAATGTTTTACTGGCTGTTCCATATATTTGCGCGCCATAGTCGATTTTAGTTCTCACTATATTTTTAATAGTCTGTCTATCGGCTCCCCAGCTGGAGGGTGAAATACATTTCAGAATTCCAAGCCTTTTCGTGCAGTCATCTCTCAAATTTCTAATATGTTTTATCCAGTTCATTCGCTTGTCTATTGTTATTCCTAGATACCTATGTTCTTCTACATAGTTAATTATAGAACCGTCTAGTTATATTTGTGGGTTGTACTGGTGGCACTTTCGCAACCTACAAATGTGCAAACATTTAGATTTAGAGGCTGATATTTTAAATCCAGTTACTTTTGACCATTCTTTTATTTTGTCCATAACTTCTTGTAACGTCCATTGGATATAGAGTATGACTTGAGTTAGGCTGTGATTATTATATCGTTCGGCAAATAGGAAACACTTAATCAGAGTCTTGATGCAGGACGATATACCATTAATGGCTAAAAGGAATAGAGTGCACTAAGAGGAGATCCCTGCAGAGTACCTCTTTGTAAGCTATAGCTTGAAGAAAAAGTATTTCCTACCCTTATTAAGAATTCTCTTTCGCATAAAAAATTTCTGATGTACGACCACATGTTTCCTACTATTCCCAGTTCCACTAAGATCTTCAAAACCCGCCCTCTTGCCATTGTATCGTAAGCTTTCTCGAGATCTAGAAATATTGTAATTAAGTGTTCCTTGCGTGAGAAAGCCTCCTGTGCTTCTAAGCTTAACGATTGTAGAGAGTCGATAGTTGAACGGTTTGGCCTGAAGCCGAATTGGTGTGAATATAGGATCTTTTTAGTTTCTAGTGCATTACTTAATCTTGTGTTTACCATTCTTTCCTGTATTTTCGAAACACATGAAAGTAAAGAAATGGGTCGAAAGTATTTGGGAACGATGCTTATTTCTTTTTTTGGTATTGGTACAATGATAGATTTTCTACAGTAGGAATTTCCCACTTGTCCAGATTTCATTATACATGTTTAACAGATATGCTTTCCCTGCCTCTGGTAATTGTTTAATGAATTTTCCTGGAATTTCGTCCAGACCTTCCCCCCAGATTTTCCCTTGCATGCATTAAGTGCAGAATTTAGTTCTTCGAGTTGAAATGAGTATTCTTCAGAATAGTTTTGACCTACATTACATTCTTGGTGCATTATATCAGTATCTATTGTTTCAGAGCTGCAGCTTGTAGAAGATACATTACGGAAATGCTGCGCTAAAGCTTCAGCGATTTCTTCTGGATCAGTTATAATTCCCTCGTTAATATTCAGTCCTGAGATTATGTGTTGCTTCCTTATTCCTTTGATGGCCCTGATTTTGTTCATTCATACCTCGTTCATTGGAGTTTGACAATTCATGGAAGATACGTATTGTCTCCACGATGCTTTTTTACTTTGTTTAATAATTCTATTAGCTATAGATCTCAATCGCTTAAACTCTATAGTATCTTTGATAGATCTGCTTCTTCTATAATGATTAAGAGCTCGTTTCATTGCTCTTATTGCTTCATCACAATTTTCATTCCACCATGGTACATTTTGATGTTTTTTACTACTTTTAGCAGTTGGGATAGTTTCTTTGGCAGCCTTAAGAACTACATCATTGAAATAAAATATTTTGTCGTTCAAATTCAGGCCATATGGTATGTTTTGTAGTCCTTCAATAATCAATAATGAAATGATTTATTTACACCTAATAATGAACATATGAACAGATTCATGTAGGTAAAAATGAAAGAAAATATGGTATCACTGAAGCTCAAATACAAATTAAAATCTTACCACAGCTTATGTTGTAGAACTGAATATACTTCAGTTATTAAGACTTAGCATTTGTACTTCGTGAGTATAAAATATGTAAATTTCCTATTGAGGAAGTAAAGGCAGGACATTTTCTTGGACTTAACCAAGCAGCAGTATATTGACTTATCATAAGGTAAATTTTAATATTACATATTAAGAGGTAACTCTCTAAAGTCTACCAATCATAGTGTCCATTAAGAAGATTTTTGACAAATGCTAAAGTTACTCTGCTATTTTTAAATTCCTGAAACCTGCTCATAAATGCTTTATTAATAATAATTAATTAATAAGACAGGACAACGGCAGAAACGGTAGATAAGACAAAACTGTTCACACTGCAACTGCTGTTCTGTGATGCCAATTTGTACCCCCCTACTTTAGAAAAAGTATGCGAGCGCATGCTTGTGGTACCTTTGTATCACACCAGAGTACGCCGAAAATATATGAACAATTTCAGCCTATAGCTTGTACATGGTTTGTGTTTACGTTTACGAAAACTAATAAAATTAAACTCGATGTTCGTTACGTATTTTTATAATATAAAATTTTAATTACCTATCTATCTGTTAACTTATACAAAAAATTATACCTTTTTTCGATTTATAGAAGAATTTTAATTTATCAAAATAAGATGTAATTATTTTCTTACCAAGTTTTTTTTAAATGAAAATATTATTGTGCCTTCTGTGGATAGTTGTGCCAGAGCCGCACTTAAGGAGCCAAAGAGCCACATGCGGCTCTGGAGCTGCACTTTGTCAACCACTGGTTTAGACCATTGAAAGAAGACTATTTCCATATATTTTTTAATCAGTAAACAATATGTTGTAAACAAAACACTTTACTCAAAAATAAATAATTTACTCACCAGTAAATTTGATACTGAGTGCAGCAAGGAAAAGAGGAGGGTGCAACAGGTGAGTGAAAAGCAATACTTTAACTGCAAGGTTTGATTCAGAAGTTGAGGTGCTATTTTTCTTTCCAGGACTGTCCAACCACTCATTTTCAACTTCTCGTAAACTTGATACTTTTTTCACTCTCACAGAGAGTTCTTCACTCAACCATTCAATTATTGCCTTGAAACAAAAAATAAATAATAATAGTTTCTACTAAATCTCAATAAGAGAAATATTATGAAGGAAGTACAGGTCCTATGAGGATTTAATTTCTAACTTCTATTATTCTAAGTTAACAATAAAATATATATATATATATATATATAATATATACATACATACTTCCAAACAAGATTAATGACATCAGTTCGCAGAAATATAATATAAATAAAAATATCATATATATTTTTATTTATTTTATATTACTGCGAACTGATGTCATTAATCTTGATTGGAAGCATAAATCTACATATTTTAATGTTAATTTACACACGCTTGGTTCAATGTTAATTTACACACTTGGTTTTGATTAAAGAAAATTATATAATTTCTATTCATGAATGCAGATAGCTTTCTCATTAATTGCATCTGATCAGTCAAGTTGAGAAGAGTATTTGATAATAGTGATCAAAAGCAATGATTAATAGAATTGGAGCAAGTAAATTCTGATTACAAGACTAGGCAATGCAGTTAGGTATTAATGAGTGTGTGAATAATTTTCCTCTCTTTGTTATCTAGAGAATTTTTGATTACCAATGTGCATCTGACAACACTGAAACCAACTTAATTCAAGAGCTAATCCTTTGTACTCGGGTTATTAGTCTATTTTAAATTTTTAAAGTGTATACAATGTTGTTCATATCTCTTCAAACACGGAGAATTTTGTATCCTCCGGTTTTGCAGGAAATTTGATTATAATATTTTTTCCAAAGGAAAACTGCATGATAAGGACATATCATTCTTGTGGAAACTTACAGCAATCATGCTCTATATCAGAGAGAACATGCAGAGAATGGTTTCAACGCTTTTAAAACAATGATTTTTGATCTTTGAGATGATGAACGTCCAGGTGCCGCAAAAAAGAAGAAAGCAAGTTGTTTAAGCCCCGAAACGATCATAGGCCATCTCTATAGCCTACAATTGATACGTTTGAATTAAACCTGAAACAAAAGGGACCGCAATACGAGCAGAGACACAGGAAGTTAATTTTACTATATTATAAAGCTCAAACTTCATGTTGCGAACCTGGTTAAACCTTACTAGGAAACAGTGAAATGAGAAGTTCTGTCCCACCCGCTGTATTCACCAGACATTGCTTCTTCCGACTACCACTTTTTCCAATTGCTGAAACACGGCCTGACTTTGCAGGGCTTCCATTATTATGAAAAAACTAAAAAAACGGGTCAATGACTGGATTGCGAAAAAAAAATGTTTCATTTTTTCAACTTGGAATCTGTAAGTTACCTGAAATATGGGAGAAAGTAGTGGGTAGTGATGGACAATATTTTAAATGACCTGCATCGGAACATTTTTTATAAATAAGTTTTCATTTTTATAAAAAAAAAATCTGGTGAGTGCAACACACAAATTTCACTTACCACCCTCTTCTTAGCAGAAATAAATATTTTCAGACAAAGGGAAGTGAAAGTAAAAATTATAGACGCTATATTTATTTATATTTCATTGTGGATATTTTCATTTGTATAAGTACTCTCATATATACAAATTTCAATATTTATATCGCTGTAATCTATACAATTAAATATTACACAATACCAACAATAGCATTTATGAAAACGACATATGTATATTTATATAATATTGTTGGAGTCCATATTATTTTAAGCTCATGTTATGTATGACAGCGTGTTCTAATCTTTCGTATTCCTTTGGTTCCTCAATTACAACTATTTTCCGTTACGATCTCTTATTGCTGCGTTAGTTAATTATGAAATTCTTTCATATCTAATATTTAACTATTTTTCAAATTAGAGATCTATGTGAAATAATCAATTGTTTCAAATAAAAAAAATTAAAGGTATTTCAGAGGAAGTTGATATTGAAAATTATCCATTTAAGCCCTGTTAGAGAACATCAATCAGAATAAAAATACATTTCATTTAAAACTGCTTACTTTTACACTGATATGATGAGTATAATAAAAATTATTAGCAGTTTTCGAGATAATCATAAAATTGTGTTTAATCCTATTAAGTCCTATATAAAGTGCCACTTCTGGTTACCCGATTTTGACGAAAAAGTTGCAGTAACATCCCTAGCATATAAAAACCTTAAATATGCAATTTCTCCAGCCAGCTGGTTCCCAAGATGCACTTGCATCCTCGGTGCGAAAGCTCTCTTTCTATTACATAGTCCAGTGTTTAAGATGTATGCATCCTGCATCTTCAGTGTGAAAAATGCCTTAATGTCATTGATAACTTTAATTTTTGTCTCTTTTTTTCGAATGACCTCTAGGGTAGAGGCAAATACAAATGAAAAAAATAAAATTAAAATGACTTTCAAAGCAATAATGTTTCAAAATAAAATCAGTCCATAAAAGGTTTATTAGCAATAAATAGTTTTCATACAATAACTTATGAAGAATTTCTCATTACATTCTAATCAATGCAATATTAATTCTGGAATGATATTTTACCTGTGGCCTATTCAAGTGGCATGTCCTAAGAATGACCTTGTCTTTGGGTTTAGATCCGCGAGGCATTGCAAGTAATAGCAAAGGTTCCTTCCATCCCTTCCTTTTACAAAGCCTAAGAATAAAAACATAATTAACCAATCTTTCATTATCATTCCAGTAAATCACCAACATTTCATTTATAAAATTACAGCTGAACTTCAATAAACCAAATTTAAAAGATTCCTTTAAAAATTCAAATACATAGAAAAATAGAATTATTTTTCCATAAACAAATATTTATAAATGATAAATTCTAAAAATAATTATCAGAGCTTAAAATGAAATTTAAAATTTAATTTTTAATAGGTTTCGGTGTATATGGAATAATTATTTTTATTTATTTATTTTGGGACTAGAACTTTTCCCTTCGAAATTTTTAAGAAAAAAGAAGATAATTGAACTCATTCACAACTTATCTATTGTAAAATCTTCATCCAAAATTGAATCCATAAAAAATGACTGAAAGGGTGTATTTATTTGTTATGTTATTCACTGAACTTAATTTGATGATGTTTCATAAGGAATTTTTTTAATAATAAAGAAAAATCCAAATTATAACATGTTTTTAGAAAAATAATGCATGATAAAAAGTATTCAAAAGAATAACTTCAGATGTCTTGTTTTTACTTTCTAAAAAAAAAAAGCTAGGAAAACCTTGTATTCATATGAGATGTTAGACAAATTTGGTTTTCTATTTATCCATAGTCAAGCTCATATCATATAATGAGCGTATGATCTACTTCCGTTGTAATTTATTTGAATAAGAATTCAAGTAATTCTAATTCTGTAAGAGCTCTTAATTTGTTTTAATGCACACAGTCAAAATAAGGGTGGTTATAGACTTCAATTTCATTATATAATAAATGAAATTCGATGATGCTTTGAATAGATAAGTTCAAATTTTACAAGATAATCTATATGGATGAAAAGTTTGTCTGCATTCAGGCCTTAAGCATCTTATTATAATCATAAATTAACTCAAATGTCTAGTAAGGAAAATTTTCTAAGTATCAATTTCCATTTGGTAAGGGCGAAGAGAAGCCATAACTTAAAAGCCAAGCTACTTTTACTAATCCAGATAATATGGGAAGAGGAAAGGATAGCAGAGGCTTGGAATACAAGGCTAATTAGCCCTATCCCAAAGAAAGGCTCCATATATGGCAACAGTAATTACAAAGGCATAACATTATTTCCTATTGCTAATGAAATTATGACCAATGTCCTACTAAACGGGATATATCTATATTACGGAAGTATAACAGGTGACCAGTGAGCTGGATTTAGGAGAGGAAGGAGCATGCTACACCGAATCATGATCCTAAAATAACTTCTTAAAAACGATGGGAAATAGCTAAGAATGTGCATACCTTATTTGTTAATTTCAAAGCACCTTATGATTCCGTGAATCATTTTGAAAGACAAAAACTTGTCCTCGGAAAATTATGATTGAGCTGCGAGTCTCTGGGAAGTTGGTGAGATTGACAAAGGTATGGACAAATGATTCTAAATAATGAGTCCTATAACAAGGAAAAGTATCTGAATCCTTCAAAGATCAAACTGGCTTCTGGCAGGGAGATGAACTCTCACCAATGTTGTTCAACTTAGCAATGGAGAAGATGATAAGAACACCACGTGAAAATGGAAGGGTGGGGTGCATGTTGATATGAATCATAAAATCCTAAGATATGAAAATAACCTAGCTGTCCTTGGAAAAAGAATGTGCATAGAAGTGATGTTGTTCTTCAGAGTAGATAATTTCAAATACTTCAGCAACATAATAATCTCAACGAATGACCAACAGTCGGAAATAGACCAACTTATAACAAGAGCAAACAGAGCTTTCTTCTTTCCTTAAAATGTATTGAAATCATGAAAAATCTTAAATTAAGGGTGTACCATGCAATGATAAAGCCAATTCTGATTTTAGGCTGCGAGACATGGACACTAACTAGTACCCTAGAAAAAAATATTGAAAGATTTGAACGAAAAATCCTCTGTATCTGGGATCAGTGTACTAACGCATGGAGGAGAAAGAACAATAAAGAACTGCCTAAAGAAACTTGTCAATCAATATCCCTTGATATGAAGGCACAAAGGTTCAAATGGGCATGGTATGTAGCTTGGCGTAATCCATCAAGAAGCCTTTACATAACAATGAATGCCTCGATAATAGACAAGAGACCATATGGAAGGCCAAAAACCAGATGGATAGATCAAATCAATGAAGATGCAGTAAAGTTGCATATAGATAACTGGAAAGAAACATACCAAAATAAGCAGAGATGCTGAAGGATGGTTAAGATGGCAAGGCAAAAGATCTAAATGTCAGTAGTGGCCAATACAAAAAAAAAAAAATTAAGACCTTTGAAGGTAATCGAAGTGCCAGAAATCCTATGTATAGTTTCTCTTTCCAATAGAGATTCTAAAAGAAATTGACTTAAATTTACTCATAAAATTGATTAGTGTTCAGAGGCTCCTAAGAATTGTCAACTGGATGTTGGGCTGCCATCTGTGCTGACAGAACAGAGCCAAATGGCGGAGGCTTATTGAGGAGGCCAAGCCCACAACCCACTCAGGGTTGTAGCGCCACAGAGATAGATAGTGTTCAGTTCAAAGGCCAGATGTATGTTCATGTATGAATTATTTTTATTTATTTATTTTGGGACTAGAACTTTTCCCTTCGAAATTTTTAAGAAAAAAGAAGATAATTGAACTCATTCACAACTTATCTATTGTAAAATCTTCATCCAAAATTGAATCCATAAAAAATGACTGAAAGGGTGTATTTATTTGTTATGTTATTCACTGAACTTAATTTGATGATGTTTCATAAGGAATTTTTTTAATAATAAAGAAAAATCCAAATTATAACATGTTTTTAGAAAAATAATGCATGATAAAAAGTATTCAAAAGAATAACTTCAGATGTCTTGTTTTTACTTTCTAAAAAAAAAAAGCTAGGAAAACCTTGTATTCATATGAGATGTTAGACAAATTTGGTTTTCTATTTATCCATAGTCAAGCTCATATCATATAATGAGCGTATGATCTACTTCCGTTGTAATTTATTTGAATAAGAATTCAAGTAATTCTAATTCTGTAAGAGCTCTTAATTTGTTTTAATGCACACAGTCAAAATAAGGGTGGTTATAGACTTCAATTTCATTATATAATAAATGAAATTCGATGATGCTTTGAATAGATAAGTTCAAATTTTACAAGATAATCTATATGGATGAAAAGTTTGTCTGCATTCAGGCCTTAAGCATCTTATTATAATCATAAATTAACTCAAATGTCTAGTAAGGAAAATTTTCTAAGTATCAATTTCCATTTGGTAAGGGCGAAGAGAAGCCATAACTTAAAAGCCAAGCTACTTTTACTAATCCAGATAATATGGGAAGAGGAAAGGATAGCAGAGGCTTGGAATACAAGGCTAATTAGCCCTATCCCAAAGAAAGGCTCCATATATGGCAACAGTAATTACAAAGGCATAACATTATTTCCTATTGCTAATGAAATTATGACCAATGTCCTACTAAACGGGATATATCTATATTACGGAAGTATAACAGGTGACCAGTGAGCTGGATTTAGGAGAGGAAGGAGCATGCTACACCGAATCATGATCCTAAAATAACTTCTTAAAAAACGATGGGAAATAGCTAAGAATGTGCATACCTTATTTGTTAATTTCAAAGCACCTTATGATTCCGTGAATCATTTTGAAAGACAAAAACTTGTCCTCGGAAAATTATGATTGAGCTGCGAGTCTCTGGGAAGTTGGTGAGATTGACAAAGGTATGGACAAATGATTCTAAATAATGAGTCCTATAACAAGGAAAAGTATCTGAATCCTTCAAAGATCAAACTGGCTTCTGGCAGGGAGATGAACTCTCACCAATGTTGTTCAACTTAGCAATGGAGAAGATGATAAGAACACCACGTGAAAATGGAAGGGTGGGGTGCATGTTGATATGAATCATAAAATCCTAAGATATGAAAATAACCTAGCTGTCCTTGGAAAAAGAATGTGCATAGAAGTGATGTTGTTCTTCAGAGTAGATAATTTCAAATACTTCAGCAACATAATAATCTCAACGAATGACCAACAGTCGGAAATAGACCAACTTATAACAAGAGCAAACAGAGCTTTCTTCTTTCCTTAAAATGTATTGAAATCATGAAAAATCTTAAATTAAGGGTGTACCATGCAATGATAAAGCCAATTCTGATTTTAGGCTGCGAGACATGGACACTAACTAGTACCCTAGAAAAAAATATTGAAAGATTTGAACGAAAAATCCTCTGTATCTGGGATCAGTGTACTAACGCATGGAGGAGAAAGAACAATAAAGAACTGCCTAAAGAAACTTGTCAATCAATATCCCTTGATATGAAGGCACAAAGGTTCAAATGGGCATGGTATGTAGCTTGGCGTAATCCATCAAGAAGCCTTTACATAACAATGAATGCCTCGATAATAGACAAGAGACCATATGGAAGGCCAAAAACCAGATGGATAGATCAAATCAATGAAGATGCAGTAAAGTTGCATATAGATAACTGGAAAGAAACATACCAAAATAAGCAGAGATGCTGAAGGATGGTTAAGATGGCAAGGCAAAAGATCTAAATGTCAGTAGTGGCCAATACAAAAAAAAAAAAATTAAGACCTTTGAAGGTAATCGAAGTGCCAGAAATCCTATGTATAGTTTCTCTTTCCAATAGAGATTCTAAAAGAAATTGACTTAAATTTACTCATAAAATTGATTAGTGTTCAGAGGCTCCTAAGAATTGTCAACTGGATGTTGGGCTGCCATCTGTGCTGACAGAACAGAGCCAAATGGCGGAGGCTTATTGAGGAGGCCAAGCCCACAACCCACTCAGGGTTGTAGCGCCACAGAGATAGATAGTGTTCAGTTCAAAGGCCAGATGTATGTTCTTTTTATTGATGATTTGAAAGCGGGACATCAAATGGGTATGTTTTCATTTTGAGATAACCAAGTGGACAATATGCTGAATACTATATTTTATAATATATAATATACACCCCATAAATGTTATTTCAAGAAGGCTCAAGTTTTTCTTGGGATGGTGTTTCTTCTAAAGCCCACATAGAATTAGAACTTTTGTAGAACATGCCCTTAAATGCTCAAAAGTACATGGAATACCCAGAGGAACTTTTCTGTGTACCATTTACCCGCTACATTGGAAACAGTTACTGCTGAAGCATGAAAACAAACCTGAATATTATTGAGTACTTCTAGAATATTGGTGTCACATTCTGTAATTGGCCATTAAAAAGTCTAGATCTCAATTTTAATAAGGCATATTTTGGTATGGCTTAAGCTCCATGTGAAAAAAACATTATTTCTACTACACTTGATAAGATAGAAGCAGAAATCATACAAAAGTTGGACAATATATCCCAGAAATAAGTTATTTGAGAGCAGAGGAAGACAATTGATGATTATAATTTATGCCAAAGGTAGTGGGATGAGCTTATAAGTTCATTTTTAAGTATTAAGGTTTAGCCTAGAAAAACAAAATTCAGGTCACATTAAATTAAACATCATATATTGAACTAAGGAGGCTGAAAAGTCAAGCAGGAAAATGCATTGACTGGGAACCTGATAACTTGAAGGTCTAGTCCCAGTGCGGGGGGCATATAACTCTAGCATTATTCCCTCACCCTCTCACCTGGTCCAAGAAAAACTCCATACAACAGAAAAGGAGAAGTAAGCGATAAAAGAAAAAAAAATATATTGAACTATAGTTTAATGTTTTAAAAATAAATATTAAATGATTTTAATAATAATGTAATACTAGATCAATTAAATTCTAAAAATAAAAAAGGAACTAAAATACCTAGGGTCATGATTACAATTAAAGACTCCAGTCCTAATTGCAAACGGTGCTACTTTCTTTCGCACTACCCTCCAAGTGTAGTCATCCAAAAGTGTGTCTTTACCAACTACATGCACCAGCCAAACACTATCTTTAGTGTCTTCGACTTCTTCATAAAAATGAGAAGCACTGGTAAACTGTGATGGATCTGGGGTTGAAGTTAACTTTTCTTTATCTTCGATATCATCGCTAAGTTCCTCTAATTCTTCTTGAAGAACATCAGCTTGAAAAAAAAGTAATAAAATACCATAATTAAAAAAATACAGAGTTCAACACAATTGTGTAATTAGAATTAAAGAATTATTAACAAAACAAGATTTTGGGTTCTTTTCATATTAATAATAATTATGTCAAAATTTAATAATAGTTATTAACCCTATAACAATATAAAACGTAGAATATAGCACAATTTTTATGATAAATTTAACACAATCAAATGTTTAAGGCATTCAAGCAGGTTATAAGAGATTTTCTATATGGCTTTGAATCTATTCACTTTAATTTGTAACAGTAATGGAAAATTTGTATCTAAAATATGTATTAAATGGTTAAAGAATGAATGTTATGATGCCTCAAGGATTCCTTAACCAATATGATGTAAGGGTAAAATCACCAAGTAGTCTTTGAAAAGTTTTGCTACTGGTTACATAGGTTTCCCAGTTATGTGGTTTAGTATATGAAACTGATTTGTACAGTCATTTGGTATTAAAGTAGAGGGCATAAGTATGGTCACAAGTCATAAGTCACATCGATCTTTGAATAAATGTTCTCGCTTATACTCCTCACCCAAGGCACACTTAAGCAAAAACTATAAGATAATTATGAACAAAATTGCATGTCTTTCACACAGAATTAAATATTATGAACAATAATGTTAAGAATGAATTTTCCATTTTCCATTTAAGAGTTTATTTTCCATTTTACATAAAATAAGGTGTCACAATATGAATGAGCAATCAGTGGGAAAAAAAATGAATTAACTAGAGCAGGGATCTTGACAGTACGGCCTGCGGAAGTTTCTTTGATTAGATTGTAAAATTTTAAAACTATTTAAAAAATACAAAATTAAGTAATTCACTCAACCAGGAGGTTTCTACACTATTTATTCCATGAATTGTTTATGATAGAGGAAGGAGATGGTCCAGGATGGCGGTCATAAACAGACTAAAATAGTGGAAAACTATTTTATTTAAAGTCAATTATTTGACCCGACTTTGCAGGTCTTCGTCAGTGGGGGTGCATGTAGCATGGAGTTTCAGTTTAACATTTACACATAGAGGTTCAATATGGTTTTTTTCAGTTCAAGTTATTGAGTGTTCAGACTACTCAGATTGTACAGAAGTTGAACAAGGTAAACATTTAATTATTCTTTCAGAATAATTACAAAGAAAATGGGAGAAGAAAGTAGTAACAAAATAGCTAAAAAGAAAATCAGTTAATTAAAGGAAATTACTAAGGTCATCAAAGTTAAAAGTCTCAGAAGTAACAGGCATCTCTATGAAATTGAATGTTTGTACCAATTTGATTTCATAAAGAAAATAAAAAAGTTTGATATGAAGGAAAATAGGTTTCCATTGGTTATCTTGGGGTAGGCAAAAAGGACCAATAGACCCATTTGCCTTTCTTGTTTTCCCAAACATTACCAGCACTTGATTATAAAAAAGCAGTATCTTTTTAAAGATTTATCAATTTTCTACAAAAAAAAAAAAAAAATCTCGATTTCATCAAAAAACAAACAATGATTAAATAATATCAAATAAACAGAAGTTTATTGACTATTTATTTTATTTTTTTATAGAGCTATAATTCTAAATACCTATTAATATCTGAGGTTATTGAAAATTCCGTGAAAATGAGATATCACTATTTATAATATTCATTTTCTCCCCTAAAGAAGATATGCTTTGGTAAGTTCTTTCAGATTTATTTAATATTACCTGAATTTCTTAAGTAGTTGAGAGATCTGTGAAATAAATTATTTCAACATTTGTTATTTATAGTAGAAACTATGCAATTATGACAAAAAGAATAGGGCACATAAACATCATTTAGTGAACAATGGATTATGAAATCTCTCAATTAAGCAATGACCACGTACTATGAATAGTGTATATGCACATAAAATAAATAATTTTCCATAAATAAAAAACAATATCAATTGTGTGATACCAGGACAATTAATTATTTTGTATGCATATAAACTTTTAAAAAATTATTTATCTATTCATTAGGTATTTGATCTTTTTGTTATCAGCAATTGCAGAAGTAGAAAACTGATAAGGCACATCAAACATGTCTTAACAAATCTAGATTTCTCTTTTGGAAAGTAATATCTTTCTTCCAAATAACAATATATTACATCTAGTTTCAATGGCATTAAAAAGTTATGGAAAATATAGTTTAGGAACAAAAGGTTATTATTTTTACATCTCATAAGCCAAATATTTACATATTAGTTATAAATAAATAAATATCCTAATTTAATTATTCTAGTGAATTACATTATTATTTAGGTATCTATAAGTTAGGAGAAGTAAAAAAGTTAGTAGTACACAACTAAATCAGAATGAAATAAGGCATAACGGCAAAAACATTGGAAAATACCTTCATTTAATATTCTTATTCAAAATTATAATATAAAAAATACCTGAATCTTTCACAAGTTCAGCAAGTTCCTTTTTTTCCACATATCCAGTATAGCTCACTCCTCTTACTTCCAATAACTGTTTAAGCTGTTTCACACTCAAAAGAAAGGGGTCTACAATAGTTGTAGAGGGTAATCCATACTGGCAGAAGTAAATCAAATCAAGAATTCGAAATGCAATAAAAACTATCACTAAATATAAGAAAAGAAGAGCCAGAGCTATCCATCCCGAACGCATTTTTACAAAGTGAATGTTGATCTTTCCATCTGAAAATCAAACAAATTATAAAATAGGCACAAGAACAACAATACATTTAAAGAAACTATGATAGTAAGTTCGTTGGAGGCGTGTAATTAGTTATTCAAGGACTTCCATAAAAGAGGAAGCAAAAAAAAATGTCAACAACTCTAATCCAAAACTGAACCTTTTAATAATTTACCCCATGTATAATTTCTTTAAATTTTCTTCTTAAATTTGTAAATTCTGAAGTGTCCCTCGCTATCAGCTGTCAAACCATTTTTAGTGTTGACAACTACAAAGGCTACCAACACAAACAACACTGAGATCGGGTTCAACGGGGCAACACCTCTACCTGACTATCGATTTTTAACCTGCAACTATCGAGAATCAATAAAACCATAGATAACTGATTAACCTTCCCTGAGGTTGTTTATTGTTATTTTCTAATTGTCCATCCAAAAAAAAACTGTTTTTTATTTTAAAGAAGCACATAATGCCTTAACTTCTATTTGTAAAAATGGAATCAAAGCACGACAATAAATCACAAAATTATGAGTTATTTATTCAAGAAATTGAATCAACTGATGATTATTGGGGACCAACTTTTAGGTGTGTATGTCATAACATTAATAAAACGGTATATATTCCGCGATATGGGGTTCATAGAAGTTGGTACGCAGGATCTTAATTTATTGATTAATCTGGATCAATTGAGGTTTCTACAACTTAACCTGCCCACAAATAAAAATTTTAAAAGCTAATTCTTACTTATTTCTTTTAACAAGATCATTTCCTTTCTTATTTATTTTCAATAACATGAAAAGATCTCTAACTATAGAATCTCAAAAGTGTTTTGCACTTCAAACGAGACATGAACATTTTATAAATGAAATTGAATCAACAGACACTACTAGTTTGGGCTTAGTTATAAGGTAGAAAACATTTTTTATAAAATTAAATGAGCTTGTTTCATCAATGTAAACTGCAGACCCTACATATTTGTAGCAAAACTGGCTGTTATAGTGCTTCAACAAAGTATTTAAAAGTACACAAAGTGAATTAATTGCATGTCAATTATATTTAGAGTGATTTTTTATGATTACAAAGACCATAGCATTCTAGTCTTGAAAACGTTATTATTGCCAATTATCGCAATGATTAAAAACTACCCATAAACAAGTAATTAGGTATTACTCCACATTATAATTTTGTTATATTTCATTCTAATTTTTACATAAGTCAATAGAATATATTCTAAATCACATTTAATATTTTAGACAAATTATCTTTAGATTATTTTGATTTTGCTTTTTAATATTAATCAATTTGTATATTTATTTCCTGTCATAAACAGTTTATATGTTCCACTTTAATTTAGTCGAAATAAACCTGTCTTCTGTCTGTATTAAAATTTTAGAATAATTTTGAAAAAATCTTCAGTACAAAAGCATAATCACTTGAAAGCTTCATTTTAATATCATCTAGTTCTTCATTTTAACTTATTTATTTTAGTAATGTTTATTGCTGTACTGATATGTTGCACACTTTATTAATTGGTTTCAAAGATGCTAAGATTCTATTGCATGATTACCAATTTTGTATCACGCATACATTTTATAATTTAAATGCATTAGTTGATTTATATTGAAAAATAGCTTACTTCCAACAACTTTTGTAGTTATGCCATTCACCCATTTACTTACTGTTGACAGAACAAAATCTTTTTGAAAAGTGCTTATCAATTTACTGATATCTTATCATTGTTGAACCAGTTCCTGGTACTGATACATATTTTGCCTTTTCTGTTTATTTCCAAGTATAAATATTTATATGTAATGGACTTAATTCACCTTATTTGTAAATTATGTGACATTCCTTCTATTAATCTCAAAGAGTGAGATTTTATAATTCCCTATTTGATATGGATTTATCTTATCTGATAGTAGTTAAATCCTTTTATCAATCTGTCCACTTTTTTTTCTACAGGGCAATTTATGATGGCGATGAAGAACAAAAATTTATGGAACTCTTGGATGGGAGAATCAAGCAACATGACAGAGATATTGAAAAAATGTGCAACTACCATTACCAGGGATTTATTGATTCCATTAGGGAATTACTCCAAGTTAGATCTCAGGCTCAAAAGTTAAATGTAATTTAGCTAATAATTCTACCAACTGATTTTATTTGAGTATTTATGAGATATGTTAATCAGGATTTTTTTGTAGACTGAAATTGTTGAGTTAAATACATCTCTTCAGCAATCTTCTGAAAGGGTTATGGAAAAAACTGAAGAGCTCGTCAAAGCTAGGAAAGTTGAAGCTAATATTGCTGCTACCATTCAGAGCCTTCAGTCGTGTCTTCCAGTTTTGACTACTTATTCAAAGCTCCAAAAACAAATGAAGGAAAAGAGGTACTGATTTCTTTTAGAATTGCTATCTTCTTTGAGTTTGATTGTTATACTTCTTAAAATCAAGATGATGAAGTGATTTACAGAAACCATTCCATTCATTTAGCTAACTCACTCACTGACTAAATGGTGTTATAGTCCATTAAGAAGCTCCACTCTGCTTTATCCATAGCCTTGGTGCGCCATTGTCTGATGTCTAGCTGTAGTAGGTTCTCTTTCGCATTATCCTACCATTTTTTGTGAGGCTTACCTCTTCTTCAAGATCCCCGGGGTAATCATACAACATTTGTTTGGGTGATCTCGACGTAGGTATCCTTTCCTTATGTCCAAGCCAGCCCAGTCTTCTTTTCTTAATGACTTGCACCATGTCTGCTTGGGGATATAGCTCTTTCATCTCAAAGTTTGTCCTTATTACATATCCATCATTTTCTCTCTCAAGCCCAAATATTTTCTGCAGTACCCTTTTCCCCTATATTCTAAGCCTGTTCTGACTAGCCGAAGTCATCACCCAGGTTTCACTATTGTATAATACTTTGGCCCTAATTACAGTTTTGTAAATCAGCGTTTCTAGAGAAATTTTTGTATGTTACAGCCTTACACATGGCATAAAGATACTTATTGTCAGCAGCTATACATGCCTTCATGTTTTCTGTTGTCTCGTTTTTTTTTAATGACAGTCCCTCCAAGGTACTTAAAGAAGCTGCATGCTGAAAAGTAGTGCTCACCTATCTTGATCACTTCTTTTTTAAAAATCTTTTCACCATCTCTAGTTGTCTTTTGATTACAACATCATCGGTATATGCCATATTGTTCTTCTTTTTCTTCTTTTATTGGCACAATAGGTGCATGAAGCTGTCCTTGGCCTGCTCAACATCCACCAACTATCTCTCTCTATCTTCTGTAAGAGTAACAGGGATCCTAAGTTATTGTAGATCCTGCCCCACAGCATATCTCCATCAGCCCTTGGGCTTACCTGTTACCTCGTCGGCGCACATCATCTGGAAGTTTAATGTACAATTTATGAGTCACCTTTTCCTCGCTCATCCTCATCACATAGCCAAGCCACTTAAGCCTCTGTATCCTGCTATGCGAGGAGATGCTATATTCCTTATATAGTTTAAGCAGTTCACTATTTTTTCTTCTTTGTCAATTACCATTCTCACATACGGGCCTTAACATTTTCCTCAGAGTTATCCTTTCAAGCCTGTCTAGCAGGTTAATGCTTTTATTGCTTAGCGTCCACGTTTCTTAACCTTATGTGACGATTGGCCTTATCAGCATCTTGTAGTGCATAAAGTTGGTGGTATGGCTAACATTTATGCCATATGCTGGGTTAATCTGTTGAAGATGTTTCCTCCTGGCTTAGTTCTAATTTTCCTGATGGCATATTCCAAGGCTAGATTATAAAGTACCGAGGAAAGAAGATCTTGTGTAGACCACGTTCCACTTTGAATGCGTAGGACATGTGTGAATGGATTTTAACTCTGCATTTTGTGTCTATTAGTCATTTTTATCAGTAAGTTTTTTAGCCATATGCATCTTTTCAGTGCCAACAGCAGTTGTTTCCTGTCAATACTGTCAAATGCCCGCTTAAAATCTATAAATAAGTGGTGAAGTGCTACGTTATACTCATATGAATTTTCCAACATTTGCCTTAGTGAGAAAAGGTGATCAGTTGTGAATCTTCCTGGCCTAAAACCACTTTAGTATTCTCCAATCGTTCCTTCGGCTCTAGTATTCACTCTTCGACATAAGGCTATTGACAAACCAAAGCCGGTAAATTCCTTTATATAGTATTGACCCCATCTATCCAGGACTCTTCTTACATATGCTATAAGATTTCCCTTCTCATCCAGCATGTAGTTCGAGTGCGATTTGAAAGCAGTTCTGATGCTCTTTATACCTTTCTAGAACTTTGTGCTTTCTTTCTTCTCATAGGCGTCGCATTCATTTAGCTAGAACCATTTAACAAAATATTTATAATAAATTTATTATTTATTCTGGGACAGTTCCCTAAGGAGTAACATTACTGAACAATAAGAGGCAGGCTGTAGGAATTTAAAGGCAAAGAAATAAAATAATTAACATCATATATCCTATGAAATTAAAATATATAAAAAAATTACAACATAGTAAAAAGGTGTTAATAATATATGTATATTTATAATTTCATATAAATGGTAGTTAGACATCTTTTTATAATGGTTGGGAAACTGTATATGAAATTGTCGAATAGGTGAGATTTGAAAGTAGGAACAGTATTGGAGGGACAGATGGAAACGGGGATGGGATGTACAGGGATGAGGATCGGTTAAGGAAAGCTACAGTTCTGTGTGCTATTGTATATAAATCTGAAGCTCAATAATGGGTTTTGATGGAATGTACAGTGGACTTGAATTGGAGATTAATGATGGATGACAAGACTGGATAAATTGAAAGAGGATGGATGGCAGGAAATGCTTTCGACAGCAGGCATCTTAATGCATTTTAAACTCAGGAGAGAGAAGTCCATCTGGATCACAAACCAGCTATATCTTCGTGACTTGAGTTCTCAAGAGACTGTATAAAAATCAAGTTGAGGAAATAATAAGGAAGTAATTAAAAACTCAAGTAGTGTGAAATCCCCAGTTTTTCTGTACAGTTGTTTTGGTAAAGAACACATTTACTTTTCGTCAAATTGCAAGATATGAGTTGATATTTATATGTATTTAACTTTTTCACCTAGGGTTCATTGAGAGTGAAAGAGGGAGAGGTGTACAATACATGATCACAAGTGGTCACCCAGCCTCTCCATCCCAGTTTCACTCTTACCTTCACGTGGTTGGCCCCGTTAAACTGAGCAATTTGGGGGCGGGGTGGCCGAACGGGCTAACATGTGTCCTCATCACCGCCATTACCCGGCAGCCTGATACATGAGATAACTAAACAAAAATAGTCTCGAGTTAGCTTCCCGGTGCATGTGCCGGCAACGGGGAGTTAAATCCCTGTCCTCACTCCCTTTCCCGATAAAAAAAAACTGGGCAACCCAGTCCAAGGTGGTGGTAATCAATCCCTGAAGAGAGCTGAGTAGATTAACAAAAGAGAGATGGAAGATCTTGACAGGGCTGCCTGTAGCCAGGCGTGTCAGGACAATGAGTGCTGGCAGTAGGGCATGCATAATTGAGATGGTGTTGGACTAACCTAGTCTTCAGAGCCTAGGTAAAGGCAACTCCCTAGTGATTAAGAACCCTATAAATCAAGCCTCCTTGCACTTCAGATTGGTGGTTGAGTGGAGGTATCATGAGCACTGACTCTTAGAAATAAATAAATGGAGATGCCTAATTAGCAACATCAGTTAGAAATATGAAAGGTAAAGACCTAGTATGAATTGGATACTTAAATGAATTTTCAATTTTTATTGGATGGTGAAGATTAGGTTGTAACAATAAAACTGCAAAAATTCCTAAATTGCTCTGATGCATAGAACAAAGATAATTACTGCAAAAGAAAAGTGATGGAGATAGTGCTACATCAAAAGAGTGAAAACTTGGCTTCATCACATCCTGTAAGTGCCTAGCTCACACCGTTGAGTTTCTTATACCTTTTAACTTACAATGGCAGATTAGGTCGCCGATTTCTATAAACTTTTTATGTTATGGTGATCCTAGCAAAACATTATACCCATGCCCGAGGGTTCTTGCCAATGTGCCATAGGAACCGAGAAAAAAAAATTTTATTATTTCAATCAAAATTAATGTTATTAATTTTTGCATTTGCTTTGCCTAGATTTTCAGGTTATTATGTACCAATCAATTACTTTTTCGTGCAGTATAAAAAAAATATTGATTATAGTATCCATTGAGTTATAAAGTATCTTAAATAACAAACACCAAAAGGTGCTTCCAATAAAGTAGATCCTGTAAATTTTTGCTATGAAAAAGAAAGTTACATTCGTTTTTAGTGTTTTTTAAAACTTATAAATAGGAGTTTTTATATATATCAAAATTTTCAAATTTTAGTACTTGATTTTTTAGGGAGCTTGTTATTTCGGCTGTCTACTGAAGCATGCATAAGTTCTCAAGATTTTATCCTAATTCAATTACAGTACAACTGTTGTAAAGATGAATCGCTCCTCTTTCAAACCACATCGATAGATTTTGGAATTCATTCCTTTTTAAGCTAGAAATTTAGAAAAACTTCTCAAGTATTTTTATTATATATCTTTGGTTCTAATTCCACTTATTTATTTTGTGTAGTAAACAGAGCTGTAATTACCTATTAATTTTCGTACGATTCGGTGAAGTCGTTCTGAAGTTATCCAAATTATTTTGGTTGGCATCGAAATTTCAAACGGTCTAGCCCGGACAAAAATTGCATTCAAACATTTGAATATTTCGATTGCTATGAAAATTCCTACTTTAGAGTTTTCCAGGATGCAAAAAATTAATATCAACTTTGATATTAACGTTTCTCCCTAAAAAATATTTACCCCCACATAGCCACATCAGTAGGTGAAATTTATTCCCATATGATAGTTATCTGCCAAATAAAATTTTTTTTTTCTAAACTGGCAGGTATCTCGAGTTAAAAATTTTTAGGGAGGAACAAAGTTGATATTTGTTTTTAAAAAGGGGTATTGGACATTTGAAGAAAGGATGGATGTAGGCTGAAACGTTTTTTAATGTATAGCCACATGACTTATCACATTAGTGATTTGTATCAGAATGAAAATTATATTAATTGCCCCTTCTCTTTTTTTCTTCATTGCTTTTATAAACTGTCAGTTGTAAAAATCTTCTTAATTTTCCAGATATTATCCTGCCTTAAAAACACTCGAGCAATTGGAACATCAATATTTACCTAGAGTCGCTAACTATAGGTTTTCTTCTCAAATGAAAGAAAGTATTCCTAAGTATGTTAAATTATATTTACATAGATTAAAATATAACCATACCAATAACAGTACCAGTGTACATTAAAAATATTTCAGGTTAAGAGAGAACATTAAGGAAGCTTCTATGTCTGATTTAAAAGATTTTTTGGAAAACATCCGAAAAGTTTCAGCCAGAATTGGTGAAGTAGCAATGCGTCATGTATGTTTAACTTTTCACTTATAATACGAATTATAAATCACTACTATTATTATTTATTCAAATCGTATTGTAACAGACCTCTGAACAGCTCATCGTTGATCCAGGAATCATTAAGAAAAAAAAGAAGAAAGCACCTCATCCTCCGAACCCATTTACAGGTTTTTAATTTTTCTATCAAATTTATGTTGATGTAATATTAATGGTAAATTTTTGGATTAGTATTAATAAAATTAAAAGTAATAATAATACACTACCCATAATGGTACCTCTTTATTTGCTTCATAACTTTGTTACACTTAACAATAACTAATTAAATATTATCTTGGAAAAATAGGACTAACATTAATAAGTCTTAAGGACAGGAAAAAAAATGGGAGGGAAGAAAGGATGAATTCTTGCATAAGAGGGGAGGGGGGAAGTTTCGATGCAAAATATTGTTACATCCTACTTTCTACAGAGCTCCTTAGAAACAAATATTATCCTCTTGTCTACCGTTCTGGCTGTTGTTGATACTGATTACTTTTCAAATCGGTAATCTTATAAGTTATTACGAAAATTCCTTTGTATATTCTTTTTTTGTGAAAATAATTATTTGAATGTTTTCATTGAAATAGTCATTTATTGGTATCACTTTTGTTATTGTCATTTAAACAGTTATCTATATCATTATTTTTATGATGTGGGAGTACCTAAATTGTTGAAGAGGCAATCATTTTCTTGTTTGGAGATAAATCAATTCCACATTAAGTTCTGCCTCTGTCCTTTTTTATTTCGAGCTGATATATTCTGAAATTTAAGTAACAGAGGAATATTTGTTATTATTTTCTCTTTGTTTCAGGAGAGGTTGATAAAGAAGAAGGATTGGATGTTGATGATCTCAGTGCCCAGGATCTGATAGATTTTTCACCTGTCTACAGATGCCTTCATATTTATTCTGTTCTTGGTTCCAGAGGAGATTTTGAAACTTATTATAGAAAACAGAGAAAGCAGCAAGCCACCCTTGTTCTACAGCCGCCTACCAATATGGTGAGTAGTGATTATTATTAGTGAAGCACATATTTTTATTTAATTAACTATTTTATTGTAATAGTAGGTTATGATAAATATCAAAGTAAATACTTGATGAAAAAGTTGTTAGTTCATATGTTTCAGTAAGTAAACTAAGCATAACTTTATCAAATGTGTTTAACATTTTTTTTATCAAAAGCAAATTGGTAATGTATTCTTTTTGATTTATCTGTGATATTTATCAGTTATTTTATGTTATATAATTTTCAAACTTCTTCCATTTATTAAGTGCATTAAGGAAGATAATTATACTGAGTGAATTGCATGTAATGAGTTAAGACATTAATACTACAAATATATATCTTTTGTTACAATGTTTGTATTTGTAACTATTATGTATATTATGTAGCTATACTATTATTATAAAAAAATAATACAAACAAGAAATAATGGAACTCTCACATTAGTCTCCCAAATATTTTTGAATTATTAACTTTATTAGGAAAACATTTTTATTCATATAAAGAACATGTTATCAATAAATTATATTTAAAATACAATTAGTGGAGTTCTTTACTTTATATAACAATGTTGTTTACTTACTAAGTTAATAGTGTGCTCTACTGGAAAATATTTCTTCAGTTAAGCAATAAATCTCAGCTATCTCTGAAGTCAGCCGAAGATTAAGAACTTCTTTGCTGCTATGGCAATGTTGACAGCCTATAAAATTAAAATATGATAATTTTTATTAAAAATTTCAAAGATTTTCTTTCTATATAATTCAAGGTATCTAAAGATATCCAGTCTAAATAACAGAGATTTATTAATATATTACTGGGGTTTTTAGGTGATACACTTAGTGTTTAAAAAGAAAATAAATTATTATAAAACATAAAGTTTTATAATAGCTAATTCTAATGGGAATGTCTATCATTAAGTAACATTACATTACAAAATATTTTATAAAAAAATGGTCAATAACCACACTTTTTCTTAAACCATTGTGGAATTAAAACGTTTGTTGCATTATTTTAATTTGACTGTTATCTATTTTATTAAATTGAAGCACCTAAATGTAAATTATTTTAAGTTTCTGAAATGTATATCCTGTTATTTTTGTTTCTTTGGATAAATTTATTTTTATGATTTCAAAGCATTAATAACTTTTTTGTTTGTTATAGCATGAGTCTATTGATGGGTATAAAATGTATATGCACAGTGTTCTTGGATTTTTCGTTGTTGAAGATCATGTTTTGAATACAGGAAATGGTCTAATTGACAGGACTTATCTTGATGAATTGTGGTCATTTGCTGTTGGAAAAATTGTCAACACTCTTAGAACCCATTCTGTAAGTAAATTTGCCTTATTATTTAGCTAGAACTGAAATTAAATATTAAAATATCACTTTGTCCGATTTATGATATGGGTATACACATCTCCACACTTCTTTTATGGACTTTTAATATTTTTTTATTTCCATTTGTATTAACATTCAATGAAGTCAATATTTTTATTATGGAATTATTATTACATGGAAGTTGTTTGTGGAAAACTTATTTATTATTAGCATTAAAATGACTATTTTATGTTAGAAGGGCCTTCTTTGGACCATCTTATTTTTCAGACACTTTAGAGGATCATTGAGAATTGATCAGAAACATAGGTTATGGATTTATGGGTATGGAGTTTGTAATTGAAGAAAATATATTTTACTATCTTCAACAAATCTTATTTTAAAATCCTTATGGATAATTTCGTTTCCATCATCATTTTATTAGAGGTATAACAAGGGGCATTGAGAATTTGCTGAAGGATTTTAAATTGTAAGGATTCGGGAATTTAGAAGGAATTAGATTGTTTAACTGAGTACAGAAGCTCTGTATGTCTGACTTATATTTCTTGGAATCACATATTAAAGCTTTTTTTAAAAATAAATTGAAGCATTTTTGCATGTTGAATGTAGAATTACCGACTCTGTGGGCTGTTTCTTGTTTAGTTCTTGTATGAGGATTATAACTTAGTTCCTTGTCAAGGTTAAGGTAGTATATTTGTTTAACAGTGATTATTGGAACATTATTAAAGGACATTGTAAAACATGATGTTATAGGTTTGTGACAAAGTTAAAAATTGCGGTGTATTGACATAAAAATCGACCACTAGGGGAACACTAGTATTGATAAATTTAACAATAAAACGAATTTACTATTTGATATTTTTTTTTAGTTTTCATTTTAATTTAAAAAAAATATCATGAACTAATGAAGAAAACATTCTTTAAAAAATTGAAAAATATACCATTAGTCAAAAAATAATAATACTTTTAAAAAATGTAGTTTGAAAGATATTTTCGTAATTCTGCTTGAAATGTGACAGATGATTTAATTTGTTCTATGTTTTGCACGCATCTAATTTATGAAAAATACTTCAAATATAGATTCTAGTATCACTTAAGGAAGTGAAATTACCATTTCAAAACAGAATATTTTTTTTTCATTTGTTAGCCTAAGACTTCCATTGAAGTCCTATAATGCCAATAGATATTCCTTGGAGATTCCTTAGGACGTCTTAGGAGTAGTTCACTACCTTGTTCTTGATGTCAGGATGTTACATCATGGGATTGACTTTGTTATTATAGCTTTATTTTAATATATACTAATTGTTTTGATAAGGTTATTTATTTATGTTTCAGGCATATTGCACTGATGCAACACTGATGTTAAAAATAAAGAATCTGATAATGCTTTTCATCACTACTCTGAGAGTAATTATTATTTCTTGTTATTTTTTATGTTATAAAATTATTTAATATGATTAATTTTTAGTATTAAATATATCAAAATTCATTCCATTGGTTGCATGAATGATTAAATTATACTATTAGTGGAACATCATGTTTTTAAAATAAAATACTTCCTGTTTCAGTCATTCAAGAGCATACACTCTGCTCTAGCCTTAATGTATTCTCTGTAAAAAAAAAAAAAAAGAAAAACTTGTTTGTTAATTCCTTTTTTCTGACAAATTTAGGGAAAATAATCACTTGTGTAATTTGAATAGATTTTTTTGTCAATACATACTAGAACTTTTAAAATAAAAGTGTTTATATTGGGATATTGAGGGATCTCTTTACTTTCAGATTAGGCTTTAATTTTTATAGTATCCTCACTGCTCTAGAGGGTCCAAGATGAGTTTGCCAGTAGGGGAAGGGAGCTCGTGAAGCCTTCCCATCCAAGTTCCACCAAAATCCCTCTCACTTTTCTTTCTCACCATAGCAATCCCCTCATTTCAGGAACATGTTCAAATTTTACAAAAATGTTCATTGAAGGTAGGGATTTTAAGTAAAAAAGAAAATGAAACAGTGGTAAGGATGGTCAAATAATCAAAAAAAAAAAAAAAAAGTGAATTTGTGAAGTAATAGTAGTAATACTACTACTATTACTACGGCCCGGATCTGTAAAGAGTGGAGGATTGGTGTGAAAACATTTTGTCATTACTCATCTCTCTCCCCCTCTACCCACTGGCAAATTCATCTTGGATGCCAAGTTATTCTCTTCTAGTCTGTCCAAATCCGAGGCTACTCTCTGTTTTTCTTTGAATCGTAGTTACTATCTTATGGGTGATTGGCCTAGCTAGAAAGGCCCATATCCTTGGGACAACTGGTTGCTAGACTACACCCTCCCCCAACCTTTGTTTTTTTCCAGAAAAGATGGCTCTGTGGTGTGTACAGTATATGACCTTGTGTATGAATTAATGTACAGTGTTCTGTTGTATCCTTTAAGAGAGCCTTGTACTGATCTCAGAACCCCGTGGGAGTGTTAATCCCCTCTAGTCTGGCACATAGACTAGTCCCGGTGGGAAATTATCGACTTGATAACTAATTATTGTTGAGAACGTCAGATAATAATTATTTTGTGAGCAGGGCGGTCGAACGGGCTCACATGTATGCACAGCATCGCCATTGCCCGGCAACCTGATCTATGACACAATGGATTTAAAATAGTCACCGGTGCTGGGGGAGTAAATCTTTTATCGTTTGAATCCGTCCTGAGTGGATTTTAATTTATTTTGTGAAGGACCTATGGAATGAATCTCGATATTTTCACTCTGATTAGAATAGGTTTTGTTGTACCTCTAAATGGTGAGTTAGGGGGTAATAAAAAAAACTTATTTCATTAGTCTTATAAAGTTATATGTTTTCATTTTTTTATAAATATTAGTTTTAATTGTTTTTATTTTTAGAACTATGGCTATTCAGTCAACCAAGTATTTGAAGTTCTTCATGAGATTAGAGATCATTACAACGAAGTTCTAATGCAGCGGTGGGTTGGTGTTTTTAGAGAGATTTTAGATGAAGAAAGTTTCCTCCCCGCTGAAGTTAGCATTTATTTAATATTCATAACAAATGTGCATTGAAGAAATTTATATTAATGAGTTATTATTATATATTAATAATAATAATAATTCATTTACAGGTAGAGACCCAGGAAGAATATGATGCAGTGGTATCTGCTTTTCCTTTCCATGACGATGATCTAGATAATTCTCCTTTTCCTAAAACATTTCCTTTCTCTCCTCTTGTTCCTAATGTATATCAACAAGTCAAAGAATTTATTTATGCTTGCTTAAAATTTTCTGAAGACCTTGGTTTGAGGTAATTAAGCTTTACATATCTAACATGTTATGGTAAATATCTACTTTTTTATTATAAAAATGACTTCTTATTATTATTTTATATATATATATATATATATATATATATATATAAATGTTTTATATAAAATAACCTCATTAAAATACAGGCATGAAAAGAAAAATAAACTGGACCAAGTCCAAAGTTTTTAGTGATCTCAATATGCTCATTTTGGATTACAACTGCACCAAACATAATCTTAATGGATTATTACAAATTTGCTCAAATGAAGAAGTCATCACATCCTGCTTTAAAGGGAAAATGGCTCTTCTGATTTGATGACTAATAACAAGGGGAATATTGACTTAGATGAATATTGGATATTTAAAAGCATACCTTCTTTTACGTTGTTTCATATTGCTATTATTAATTGTATATGATTGTGTACATGTAAGTAATGGAGCTCCCATAGGCCTACTAAGCAGGCAGAAATATATAAAAGCAGCTAGGCGATCAACGACATCTGAATCTTCTAATTAGACCAGATGAAAACTCCTTCAGGTCTTGGTCTCTACTTCTGACTGACTCTCATAAACGGAAAGGAGCCATTACATGACAAGATGCCATCTCATGGGGGAAAGGACTGTTGGTGGTGTTTATAGAATTTGAAATAGAAGTAGCTTATTTCCCAATCAAAGTTTAACAGATTTGCAAGCTAAGTCATTGCTATAACTTTATATGTAAAATGGTTTCATTTTAATATTTCTACTTTATCTCTAATACTATTATTTTATATGTACAGTAATTTTTATTACTGTACTTTTTCTAAAGAAGGCACAATAAAGCTAAAGGATAAATAACTAATTTGTGCCTGAACAAAGTTACTGTTTAGAAGAGAATAAAATTTAAATTAAAAAACAAATCATAAGACCATTTCCTATTTCTTTAACAATATGGAGAAGAAAAAAAAATCCTCATGGCTAACAAAACATTGAAGGTAGTTCAGTAGTTTAGCTGATAGATAAATCAGTTACAACAATGGAGATCTTATTCAGGGGTAACTGAATTTTTTTTTTGTGATAAATGAGTAGATAAGAATTATTAATTTTTAACAAAAAAAAGAACTGAATTAAAAAAATGAATAGGAAATAAAATTAACATTAAAACATGTTATACAATAAAAAAAAAAGAACATTAACTAAATTTAAACAATTTAAAAGAAAATGTAAGTAAATAACTAAGGAACTTGAAAATATTTCAAAGTCTATACTATTAGGGCTGTCACATGGGTGGGGTATAGAGGCTAAGGGGGAATCAAGATTCAAGGACAAAAATATAAAAAAATAAATAATCTTGAAAAGAGTTATTTAACCTTCATACACGACTAGTTGTCAGACTTATTACTTATAAATACTTATCCATCATTTGTGGAAGTGTGTGTCAAGAAACAATAAGTATTAGTAAAAAATATGAGAAAATAGGCTTCTGGCAGATTTGGAAGAATTTTAGACAGACACCTGATAAAATTGTGAATCAATCACCTAAAATTCACACGACAGCCATGTGTACTATTATATAAAAGATATCCTGGTTTTCACTTTTAACCTCTTACTATGAAAACTACTCGACCAATTTAAACACGTTTTTTACATATAACTTGAGCTATTTTGAAAAGGTTTTAAACTAATTAAATCCTTGATATGTGATCAGTAGGAGTTGAAAATAATTTTAACTTGATATTTGAAAAATCTTCAGGCATACTCAATAATGTTTAATCCTGCTTTTACATCACCTATTATTTTAAGCCTTGTTAGAATCGCAATTGACTATTATTAAAAATTCCTCCAAAAAGACAAAATATTGGTCATCCCACAAATACAGCCAATTAAAAATGAGAATATAGACAATTTTTAGTGATAGATCCTTTTGTTTTTCCTCATAAATTATGGAAGTCATTCAGCTCCTCAAATGTACTTACCATGTATTCATCAGGTCTATGAAATAGGCAAGTGTTATTCAAACCGTGGAGGCACAACAACTCATAATATGCATTGTGTTGTATTGCAAATTCATAGTTCCAAAACTAGTATAGTTTGACTTGTGCCATTTTTTATTTTTTTACCACTTTTTTGTATAATAAAAAGTTAAAGATGATAATGTTCTATGGGAGGTATAAACGATTTTTTTTTGGAATAAAATGTTATTAAATGGTGAGAATTTTTGGGCTAAAAATTTTTTTCATAGTGATATTAAAAGATCTCTATCTACCAAAAAGCCTTATTCAAAATGGGAAAGGAAAACAAGGAGGAAATTGAGAAATAATTGTCAAGAGTTTTCATTTAAGTAATCAGAGGATATAATATGTATAAATATAAATATAATATGTATAAATAATATGTAATACACATATGTATAAATATTTTGATAGTTATTTAAATTAAAAAAAAAAAGTTATTTGAATTTATATATTTTAAAATGATTTATGTTTTGTATTCCTTTTTTGTTTTTTAGTCAAGGAGAAGTGGATGATATGATCCGTAAGTCAACTAACCTCCTTCTGACAAGAACATTCACTGGCTGTCTTTCATCAGTATTCCGAAAACCAAGTCTTGGCTTAACTCAAGTCATACAAATAATAGTTGATACCCGGTACCTTGAAGAAGCCACTGTTTACTTGGAGGAGTTTGTTTCAAATATTACTGGGTGAGTGATTGAGTAACTTTTTTATTTGGTCAGTATTATGATAAATTATCAATAAATGTTTCGAAAAACATTGTTCAAAAATCAGTTTTTCATGGATGGATTTGATTTCATTAATCATCTACAATCATTATCTTTCAAATATTTTTTATATTTATTTTTAATAAGTTTTGGCCTGTCTTAGTAAATTAAAGAACATTTTATCTTAAAATTGCAATGAAACTTTTTTTTTTTAATTTTTACATTAGTCTGAAGGAAATTATTACAATTATCATTTTTCTTTCATTTTCAATGAATGAATGGATAAATTAGAATTAATGGTACTATAATAAACATTCTAATAGAATTCAGTTTACACTTAGGTGTCGTAGTGAATTATCGCTGAGGGCTGGAAAAGAAGCTGGTGGCCACCTTTTTGGTGTAGCTCGGGATGATGCAGAAAAACAAATTTGTGAAAAACTGAAGAGAAAGTTAGATGAATTTGTGGAACTAGAAGCATACGATTGGCTTCTTGTCGAGCCACAGGGCCACGCTTCCAGTTTCATTACTGATCTTATAGCTTTTCTCAATTCCACTTTTACTTCATTCACTGACTTACCTGTAAGTATTCTAAACTTGATTAAAAACAAAATTAAAGTATGAAAATATTAGTGAGTATAGGCAAAGGTAAAATTCAATATGTTAGTTTTCAAAAATACTTAATTAATCCTTAAGTTCTTAATTTCTGACATATGAACATTGATATTTGAGGTGCAGAATTTTTAATATTATTTAATTTTCTTTTTAATATTTTGTTTTCTGACGATTAGTATTGAGACATTTTTTTTTATTGTAATTTAAATTTGAATTTTTTGAAGGAACAATAAAAATAAAGGATTTCTATGAAATGAATTAAAAATAAAGGAATACTGTAGGAAATTTTTTATTACTTTTAAAAGTGATTCTATACTGTTTTTAAAAGAAATCCCTTTTGACTTTTTATTTTCATTTATGTTGATATTCTTTATGACATGTTAAGTCAACTTGTCTCGTTTCGAGCTGAGTAAGTGACTTACATTAAAACTATTTGATTCAATAAGTTTTTTTCTCTTAGGGAACTCGTTTCCATGCTGCAGGGCCGTTTATATTAATTTGGATCAGCTTTTGACCAATTTGTTAAAAATCAGAGTTCGTGAACATGCTTTTCTACCGTACTACCTAACCAAATTACTAAATTTAGATACTCGTTCGATGCACAATTCTTTAATTTTTTAAAAAGTAAGTTTTATTTGCTTCTACCTACTGTTTTGGAACTATAAGTGAAAAAATAAAATAAAAAAATATGGCTGTTTTGGCTGCAGAAAGTTTTCCCTTGGATGTTTGTATTATCAATGTTGTTTTCTACATGTTTTAACTCTTAAATCAGCTGTCTTTTTTTTAAAAAAGAGCAGCTCTGGAATGTCAGAAAAGGTCTATTTTACTTAGAATAACATACTCTTCAGTAATTTATAACATAACCTTGATCCATTTTTGGACCCTGGCTCTGGGACTAATAGCACTATCTTTCATGTGTTTAAATAAAATTAGATTCACTTCTTATTTTTAAATTTTACTTGTTAATTAATATAAATGAGTAAAAACCTCATCAAGAGACAAATTAAATGTTATAATTGGTAATTGGTTGACTGTCGTGGATAATGAAGAGAAGAATAGTTGGGGTGGTCAGTCAAAAAGGAAGGCAAAAAATAAATGATAATATTTATTAATATTAAAGTAAAAAATTAAATGTTAGTTTATAATTTGAAAAATCTTAACCGCTCGGCCTTGTGTCTCTAAAATGCAGATAAAAACAAACTAATCCGTACACATTTTTCCTATTCAGGTGTCACCAGGATATCACATTACTTCAGGGATCGTATCACTCTATGACATCCAAAAACATACTTCCTAGACGCATACACGTTCTAGAGTATGTATATGGATGTCATGGTTGATGTGATCTCGTTTTTTTTTTTTTTTTTTGTCCTGATGATGTCGGTATTGACAAAGCATTGACAGGTTAGTTTGTTCTTAATTGCATTTTAGAAACACAAGGCTATGTGGTTCGAATTTTTCCATTTAAAATTTTATTTATTTTTATAACTATTACCCTAGGGAGAAGTTGCACAAGTTGCTTGCAAATCTGCTTGTGAACATATAGCAAAGTCCTTAATGGGAATGGTGTTAAATGATGAGGTGAAACAGATCTCAATGGGTGCTTTACAACAACTCAATTTGGACACCATTCAATGCGAGCGTAAGTTAAATATAAAGTGTTAAGTTACCTTGATCTTTGTCTTTGGTGACTTATTGTTGTACAACCTTATAATTAAGCTGTTCCAAAATAGCCCCTGAGTTACCAGAGGGGAGCTAATGTATGATATTTTTGGGAGTTAACTCTGTCCTACAATTGCAATTAAAAATTAATGTCAATTAGATTTTTCTGTTTTAACTATTTTTCCCATCCCTTAACAGTTGATTAATTTTTTATGAACAGAAGATTGTATGTGCCAAGACATGGTTTTTATTGGATTAGTTCAGTGTATGAACTCGTTACTGTAATGTAAAAATTATATTTGTGTTTGATTATTTGGCTTAACCTACTTATTTACTCCCAACTAGGACAGGAAAATAAGCTAATCTACAAGTTACCAACATACTCAAGCCAGAGTGGGAAGGTCGATATTCATTATGTAGGTTTATCATGAAATAAATTTCAAGCCTTCTTGGCTGAATTCAAACCGCTGCCACTTCTGGCTTGAAAGTGCTAAAATGGGCAATGGAATTTCACCCAAAATAAAATAAATATAATTATTGACTACATTATTATACATAATACAACAATCTTCTCTTCAACAGTCAACATTTATCTAACATAATAAATATATAGAATGAAAATGTAAATAAAAACAGTGAAGGAAAAATAAAACTTAATATTAGGTGCTAATGAAATAAAAATTAAGAACTGAAAATAGAAATTAATTCTTTTGCAGTAATAAACAGTGATTAAGTTTATATTATGATTAAGTTAAATAAGGCTCAGATTTATATTTATTAGAAGAGAGGAGAATCATAATTAAAAAGGGTAAAATTAACAGCTAAGTCAGTCTGCTTTAAAAATTATTTATTACTCTTTTTGTAAATGAATACATGACTGATTAAGATATATATCTATATTACCATGGGCAACTAATATTAATTAAAATTATTAATATTATCATAATTGACAAAATATTAACTATCATGATTTTCTTGTTTCATGATAGAATTCGCAGCGAGCGAACCAGTTGGCGGTCTTGAAGAAGGCTCATTACTGTGTTATTTTACTGATTTAAGGCAGCTTTTGGATCTATTCATGTCATGGGATTGGCCGACTTACTTTCATGATTATGGGCAGGAGAATAGCAAGTATCAGCATGTTTCTCCGAATACTGCCATAATTCTTCTTGAAAAGTAACAACTCCTTTAAAATTGTTTAATTAAAAATATTATTATTTATTGTGTTCGTTTATTTTAATATTTTTTTTTTTAGAATTAGGGAAGCTGACAAAAAGACTGTTTTCTCTGTCCTGAAAAAAAGTGAAAGAGATAAAAAGAAGTTGCTGGAGACGGTACTGAAACAGTTGAGACAACTTGCTTTGACAGCGTCGCAGCAACAGCAGTAGAATTGTTATTGTTAATGCAATAATTATTACCATAAGATATCTGTCAATAACTTATTTATAATAATCATGATTCTATAATAGAATGGCACTTAAATGTAAAATGTTTAAGTATCGATTAAAAGAAAAAAAATCAAATTGGACCTATATAAGATAGATTTACAAATGTATCAGAGGTGGAAAAATTTTCATCCTAAAGATGATTGTCTTGTATTTAGAATTAGTTATTTTTAATTATAAAATGAAAATAAACATGATTGTAATAGGTAATTATTTTATATGATTATTATTAAATGGCACTACATCCCAATTATTTGGGACTTGGCCTGCTCCAGCATGGATCTCCAGTTCTCCCGGTTAGTTGCTGCAGCCTTCCAATTTCTGACACCAAGTAGTCTACATGCATCAGCAGCCACACAGTCTTGCCAGCGCAAATATGGTCTTCCCACTCGTCTGTTTCCAAACACAGGCTCATTCATAGCTCTCTGTGGGGGTGCATTCATATCCATCTGTGCATCATGTCCCGCCCAGTGTAGTCTTGCCAGTACGATGAATTGGCTCACATCCAGGTCATTAAACAATATCTTTATTTCCAAATTCGTTCTCCTTCTCCAATTCTGTGGTGTTTCCTGGACCCCTCCAAATATGCGGCGTATAATCCTCCTTTCAAATCTATTTTATATGATAAAGTATAGAATCTAAACTTGTAATTTTTTATTTTTCTAAAATTATCATCATGATATGATTTTTATCACGTTATAATTATTTTTACCCGGGATGATTTCTTAAATATATAAAGTCCAGTTTTGTTGAAAACAAAACTTTATCAATTATTGATCTGATTGACATTTGGGGAGAGGGACGAGTGAGCTATCGCCCCTATATATGTGTACAGCACCATGTGTTGCCGGCAACCTGATAACCAAAGTTATAAACGATAAAATAAATAGGAGTTCGCGTCCCATTGCCAGGGGCTATTTTAACTCTGGCATTAATCCTCTGTCCTCACCCCCTGGTCAGGGTAAACCCGTATAACCTAAAAGGCGAGAACTAATTATGAAATAAATTCTTATTTACACAAACTGAATAGTCTTCCATCTGATTACACCCTTTAACATTAGTCTTTGAGAAACTCGGGGTAGGGTGGCTGAATGGACTTAGGCATGAGCACAGCACCGCGAGTTGCCCAGCAACCAGATAACCGAAGTTATGAGATTAAAAAAAAAGTACGAGTTTGCGTTCCGGTGCTTGAAGGGATTTTAAATTCCTTGCCCTTACTCTCTCGCCCGGGAAAATCCTGTATAACCTAAAAGGCGAGGTAGGGAAGTTTTTGTTAACATGTAATTTTAGAAGCACAAATTATTATGTACCAGTTTTTAGTTTATATGCTAAATAATATAATTTAATTAAAATGTTTTGAAGGCTTTTATCCTCCACTCCTGAATTTGTTTGATGAAAGATATTTATAGTATTTGGTCCGCACGATTAAATTCTTTGATGTTTCATATATCATAAAGACCATTGCGGAGATCATGCTGAGGGTGGCATATGTACCGGAGCCTTTACGTCAGGGGCGCACAATCTTGGTATACAAGGGTAAAGGAAATAGCAACAGCATATCATCATGGCGACCCATTACCATTTATTCAATTGTGCGCCGAATTATTGAGAAGGTTCTGGACCATGAACTGAGAAAACAGATCACCTTCAGCAAAAATCAGAGAGGCTTCATCAGAGGCCTACCGGGAGCACACGTAAGCGCCAGAATTATCGACGCAATCATAAAAGACGCCAAGAATAAAAAGAAAGATTGCGCGGTAGTGTTTTTGGATGTCATTGGCGCTTTCGACAACGTTGGTCACGAACATATAATCGGCTCACTAGAGGCAAGAGGAGTGTCACCAGACCTGAAGAACGTAATTGCGGCTCTCCTAGGTTCAAACCAAATCAAGATTGGGATCGGAGCCCACTCGACTAGCTGGATCAAGGTGCGGCGAGGAGTACCCCAAGGCGGACCCTTGTCGCCCTCGCTGTTCAACCTGGCTATAGATCATCTGTACCACGACCTGTGTGAGCAAGAATTTGCCAACCGCTATGGATATAAATTAAGCAGCGACCAAGAATGTGTGGTCCTCACAGGCTTCGCGGATGACCAGGCTGTTACAGCGTGTGACAAGGGTGCTGCAGAGAGGATTGTTAATGGTGTGCAGAGGATCCTTGCCGAGATAGGTCTAGCAATAAATCCGCAGAAAAGCGTGGGCTTGATAGTCGAAAAAGGAGAGCTGCAACAAACAAAGCTCTCCCTAGAGAACGGAGAAGTGATAGCATCAACAAAGCCAGGTGAAACTATAAAGTATTTAGGATGTGCGTTCTCGGAGAGCTGGTATTAAATGAGGAAATGGTGACAAAATTAAACAACAACTTGGACAAATTGGTTAGCTCTTGCCTTCTTAAGCTGGAGCAGAAGATCAACGTTGTGAACCAGTACGTGTTCCCGGGACTTACTTACCCTCTTCAGACGGCGCCCCTCACAAAGATACGTCCTGCGATATTGGAAGGAATTGATACAAATATCCGCAGGAGTGTCAAGGCCATTATCGGGCTCCCTGCTAATGCATCAACGGCGATGTTTTATGCACCGAGGAGGTTTCGTGGATTGGGACTGATCCGCTGTCAATGGGAGGCTCCTTTGCAGCATTGGTCCATTGCCCAGCGGCTGTCTAATGTGCCGGATTCCCTGTTCCAGTCCACATTTGATTATAATGCGGAAATCGCGGAATGTGCGGAAAGACTGGGAGTGGATCAGGGCCACCGAAGCGTGAGAGCTCTACGACAGTCGCTGAGAGAAAATTCTTTTGAAGAGTGGGCCAGCTGCAGGTGGCAAGGCGTTGGAGTTCGACACTTTAAAGAGACCCCGAAAGCCAATAAATACATATGCCAGAAAAAAGTGCTTTCGGGGTCGGAATGGTCCAACGCATTAAAACTAAACATCAATTACGCACCTTTACGCGGAGTCCCAGGAGCCAGTGGACAGTCGAAGGAAGTTGGGTCCCTCTGTCGTAAATGCGGCAGAGAGTCGGAAACACCAGCCCATGTGCTGGGAAAATGCCCCAACAATTCCCTCCTCATAACACGCCGGCACCATAGGGTAAAGTTCGAGGTGATGAGGCTCCTTAGAGAAAAGGAATTCACCTGCTTTGACGAGGTCTATTGCATAGACAGTGAAGGCTCTACAAGATATGTGGATATTGTCGTGTTTCCCAGAACAGGAAGGACAGCGCTAATCTTGGATCCAACTGTCCGCTTTGAGAGCAACGACCTCGATCAGGCGGGTGAAGTGGAAAGGGAAAAGAGGAATATATACGAAAAATGCATCCCTTTCCTAAAAGAGAAATTCCGCGAGACCTTCGGAGAGAGAGAGTTCACCGTGAGAGGCCTCTGGTTTGGGTCTCGCGGAACGATCCCGGAAAGAACAAGGAGCTTTCTCGAAGAACTAGGTGTTGATGTTGGGGAGCTCGCGGTATTGGCCGAAAATATTATTTTGGACTCCCTGGGAATCATCCACTATCATATTTATACCGATTGAGGACATCTGGTAATAATTGTTTATTAAATTTTGAATTGATCCGCTGTCGTCCTGTCTTTTTGTCTGCACTCTGGGAATTGCTTATGAGAATTTGTTATGAGAGGAAAGAGGAAAAAGAGAGAAAGAAAGGAAAGATATGACATATATATGTATAAAAAAATAGAAAAATGAAATATAAAATTAATGTCCTTGTAGATTGATAGGTATGCTGTGTACGAAGCAACCCTATGTAGTAGGGCAGCATTACTTTTAATAAAGTATTTCTCTCTCTCTACTATCATTACTTTCACAGTTAAAAAAAAAAATTGTTATTAACTTGAAATTGTGATTTAATATTTTTTTAATGTTGAAATTTATTATTAGTTATTTATTCTAATTTTAGTAGCAAATAAGACATTATAAGCTATTTATTTTTATATCATTAAGTAAATGAATGTAATTATGTTACTGGAGTCAAATTAAAAATGTTATATTATCTTCTTAAACTCCAAAGACTGTTTCACTAATATAGCTATATTGAAAACTTTTGTTTTGTTATATAACATTAACCTGTACCTAACATTGATACACACTTTATATCCTAAAATCTAATATTATCCATTTCTATTACAAATGTTGGCAGCTTTAATTTCACATCTAACATTATTATAGATAGAACGCATAGTTTCACTAATATAAGCGAAAAACCGAAAAAAGTAAACTTTTTGAATCATAAATTCAATTTTTTGACTTGAAATCCACGGTTATTGGGTAACTGAATATTATTTCATGTCTTAAGATTGTAAATACTATAAATTGAAAGGATTGGTAGCATTACATATCTATAAGCCCTCTATGTATATGCTATACCTATGTAGGATTTCTATCTATCTTCGCATGGCCGCCATTTTGTATTACAGCAACTATATGCTGGCAGAAGTGCATTTTTCTCATCGGCTTGTATATATGGTCAATTATACATTTTTTTGCCATGGGTTCCAGGACTATTATTATTTTCTTTAAGTAGAACTAGATTGTTGAACAAATTTCAGTTTTTTAATTTCTAATACGTGTCAGGTTGTTGGCAAATGCCCATGTTGTCCTGCCCTGAGGTCGGCACTGGTTTCTATGTAACTAGACGAAGCAAAGAAGAGAGTAATAAGTGGGATTGTAATATTGCATGACTTTCGAAGCCTCCTGGCAAATGCTAAATGAGCTAGACCTGAAAAAAACTGCAATGTCTGCCTAATTCATCCGAATAAGAAAGTGAGACAAAGAATTGATTTCTGTGATTGGAAAATATAACACAAGATGAAAAAAGAACTCAATTTTTGTTGTAGATTGATATTTTCAAACCAAAGAATGTTCGAAATTGCAAGAAGTTCTGGAACAAAGCAATCTGCACACTAAGAATTTGTAAATCAAACCATGTCCATATAAAGTTAAGTATGATGATAACTAAACTCTTATGGACGGCACAAGGGTTCCAGTCGATCCATCCCTACAGTGAATGACACCTGTGATCAAATATTCACTTTCCAACCAAATTTTTATTTGAAGTATTATTCTCTACATTTTGGAAACTGAATGTCTCTTCTGTCATGCTTTGATCATTATTAACAAAGTTACAGGTGGTACTATAATAAATTTGATTGCTTTTATCCAAGTAATACCTATTTTTAAAGTATGTGGGTAAAAAGCTATAAGTCAGAAGTAAATTTCTTTAAGTTATAAAAATGCTTCTATAAGATCATTTTGTAGAAATGCAAACAAAAAAGTTACATGAAGAATTTTGTCTTTGAGCTAAGAAAGCAAAAAAAATTGAACATAAAATATAAATTATGCAGGTTTTTAGACTTCTGAATATATTTAGATTTTATTCAAATAGGCAGCGTGGTTGTTTGTGGATACATTTTTTTATATAATAGAACAGCTGAATTGTGATAATTTGTTGTAATTATTTATAGTGGAAAAATACTTCCATTGTAATAATATTTTTATTCATTATAACATAATTTATCCTGTTTTGAAGTTCTCCATTTTCAAGGTTCTAATCTAAGAGAAAAATAAAATATATATTATAATTTAAGATATCTTCGGTATATATATATATATATATCTTCCTTTTCCAAGTCTTCAAAACCAAAAACCCTCCCTACATCCTGGAACTCATTCTATGTTCCTCTATCCACTCTCTTAATACCAGATCTAAACCTATAGACATGTATTCTCTCCCATAAAACTTCTTCCTTCAACAAATCCTTCGTCATTCGTACAACTTCCTTATGGAACTCTCTTCCTACCTCCATATGTCAATCCTCGTCCACAAATTCCTTCAAACAACTGTTGTTCTACCACTTAGTTCACATTCAAACTTCCGTAAACATGTAAAATTACTTGCATCTGTACACTGTTTAATTTCAATCTACTGCACAATTAGTTAATTAGTTTATATTTTTTATTATTCTGGCAAACTAAGACGCATAAATTTGTAACTCTGTTATTACTCTTAGGGGACAGCAGCCCAGAATAAAATTGTTTTTTCATTTCATTTCATATTATAATTTACCCTACTTAGAACATAAAACATAACCTACATTCACAATTTTTAACTATTGACCCAAAACCATTATTGTATTTACCATTGGTTGTCATATTTTTCATGGCCCAAAACCCATATACAATATTTTGTTACAATTAAATAAAACAATGTTGGTGCATAAATGATTTTGGAAAGTTTAAAAAAATAGGATGTAAATGTAGTTTATTGTGTTTTATATTTTAAGTGTTGTTGATTACTATTATTCAAATTGCTTTGTTTGGTATTTTAATTTTATCTTAGATTGGAATCCCGAAGTTGGAGAAGAATTCCAAAATATTAGTTTAATAATTTATAATAAATAAAAACATTACAATGGAAGTATTTTTCTCACTACATATATATACTCATATGGCATATTTATCAAGACTTCAAATAGTTAATAAGAAGTTTGAAATTACATAATATATAAAAATTATTATCTTCAAAAATCTATGATAAATATAAACCATTGCAAAATAAAACTTGGCAGTAATATAAAATATTGAATTAAATATATTAATATTTTTTAGATATGTACATAGATACAATTAATAAAGAGTGGATATCAATGTAACAACATGAAAAATTTCTTTTTAAAACATTTATAATAAAACAAAATATTCTGCTCAAATAACAAAAAAAAAAAAGGAAAGAAAAAGAAAATACAATATAAAAATAATTTAATTATCTCTTAAAAATATCTTCTGTAAGTATTTCTTAATAGTGCTTATATATACTACATATTCCATCAGAAATATTAACATAAATTAATGTGGTTTTTACATTAATCAACAATTATATAGCAAAGAGAACACTTTTATTAATTCAAATAAATAAACATTGCTTTTAAAATTTGAATAATCAAGTAGATGAATTCCAATTTTGATTGGATAATTTATATTTATGTTTTTCACCCATATTACATACAATTTTTTACCAACAAGAATTAAAACAGTGACACCAATTTTTATAGAAAATAAAATTGATATAAAAACACCAAAAGCTATTAATTTTACTAATTCTAAGTGCACTATACATAACAGATAGTAAAAGAAGAATTTTGTGTTCTCATAGAACAACATATAATTATTCAATCATACTTAAGAAAACTTATACCAACAAGCAGTTAATCTCTTAACAGCTGATGTATATGAAAACAATAACTCCTACTTTCATGGTTTTTCTCTCAAATCTTAATAATTATTATAATTTATGTGACATTTCATATAATTTTTAATATGTATTTCTATTAATACATAATAAATAAATAATCTAATAAATAAATACATAATCTAGTTTTCAATGAATAGTTTTTTTCAAATAATAAAATTTTACATGACCTTCAAAATAAGAGGAATGTTACTATAAAAGCTGTGGTTTTGAAAAGAATTGTCTAATTTTTAAATATAGTAATTTTCTACATATAATGTTTGTTTTTATAGCAATAGTTAATTTTTGTTTAATTAATAAATTGTTTTGTATAGTTGGTGCTCAAATCATTACTATCTCATTATAAAAATGAAAAAAAAAAATTATTTTCACCCCTTTTTTCCAAACCCTTAAAGCAGAATTTAGTGTGCATGATAATTTTCTGTTTTGAAGATTTTACAAAATTGACCATTTAATACAATTAGAAAAAATCCACACTTTATCGAAGATTTTGAAAAAGTTATCCACATCAATTTAAACGAAGTCTTTCAATACCATCAACAATGCCACGTACTCCAGATTATTGTCTACAGTAATGTGAATATAAACCAGCAGTTTCAGACAATATTATAGAGTCATATCTGGTATAGAGTCAACCATTAAGACAAAAATTCTTTCTGAAATCAATAACTAATTTCCAAAGTTATCTGATACGATTACATGTTCTGACAGGACATTTCATGTCCTAATAATCAAACATGTATTCTTTGAAACAGAATTTCCACTGGTTTAGCACTGATAAGGCACCAAGGGAGAAAAAAAAAAAAGGAAAAGGAAGGTAAAACAATAAATATAAAATTATAAGTAATATATCAGGTTTAAGGAGAACTCTGAAAAATCTTCATATTTAAACCAGAAATTATTTTAAAACACAAATGAATAATATGACTTAAAGAAGCAAGTTTAATAGGTAGATAAAAATGGAACTGTACTGTTTGGTTCCAACAATTAATATTATATTAGAATTTTATTGGAAAATAAATTTCTTTTAAATATTTGAGTATACTACTTTGAAAAATATATATATTGTTAAGGTAAATGCAAAAGGACATAGCAGTCACGATCTCATAAGTAATATGATTTTAATTACTCTACCCAAACAACTTAAACTTTTCCCTTTCATGTATTTGATATCAATTATCTTTATTAAATAAGATGGAAGTCACTATTTGATTATTATTCATATAAAAAAAATTGTTGAATATTTTTCAAAAGGATTTACAAATTAAACTAGAACTAATGTTAGACCTTCAATTTAAATTCCTTAAACAGTTACAATTACAATCAGTTTAAATAGTGAGATTTCTTAATTATTTTCATTTGATTGAGCAAAAAAATATCAAATGGATAAACAAAAAATATCATTGGCAGATAGATTATATGTGTAAATATAAAATCACATATTCAACACAATTATACAGATCGTGATCTTGATCAGCTTCCTGCAGAATTTTTTTTTGTTTCTATTTTGTTCTTGTTTGAGTTAGCTTTAAGGACAGGAGTACACCTTGATGATGGAGTTGATACCGATTTGGATGATGGAGTTGAAACTGATTTGGATGATGGAGTTGATACCGATTTGGATGATGGAGTTGAATTCATATTATTTATTGAAGCTAAAATATGCTTCGGGGATGGTGTGAAAATGGAATCTACATTTAAACTATAATCTGATGAATTAGGCGTTGAAGGAGCCTTAGAAGATGAAGTAGAATTATTTTCAGACATTAAACTTGATTTTGAGAGAGTTGATCTACTTTTTGAAGCTGAAACAGGTGCTAATGGAACTAAAAATACACCATCATCACTTTTCATAGTACTTGACTTAGAAGCCGGAGTGGACAATTTAGATGTGGGTATTGTGCTCAATTTAGATGCTGATTTGGAGTTGAGTTGATCAACTGGTTTTACCCTTTTGCCAGATAAGGAGTTGGAAGAAGATCTAGAGGATGTCGAATCACTTCTTGTTGTCACTGGAGTGACATTTTCCACAACTGGTGTAGATCTGATGGGTGTTCCAATTTGCACAACTGGTGTAGCAGATGCAGACAGGGGTTTAATTAATGAACAATGTAGATGACTACTCAATTCTTCTAAAAGGGTCTCCCCAACTTTTATGACATCTCTAAAAAAAATAATAATAATAAAATAAATAAATATGAACAATAATAAATATGTAAAACCATTTTATGATACTGTTTTACAGAATATATACTACTTCTTACTTTTAAAATATAAATGAAGATGACGGTTAGGCTTATAGTTAGAAATAAAACAGTTAAGAAATTGACATTGAGGGTGCTGACATTTCAGCCTAAGGTGTAGGCCTTTTTCAAGGCAAAGAAAAAAATATAGAATAACAGAAATGAGAAGAATGAATAGAGTGGGATTACATATAAAGGAGCAATTATTTTCTCATGACCATGACATTAAATAATTTGTTATTCCAATAAATAATGCAAATTCAAGTTGACAGCTATATAATCTAAATTTATAAATATTTATAAAAATATGTAGAAACCAGGCAAGTGCTCATTTCATAATTATGTTGAACAAATTATTTCATAGATTAATAAATGAAATTCCTGTTGTCTTTTCTTCAAACTTTTTAGGGCAAATTTTCATAAAACAATATTTGATTATTTTTTTCCATGATGTGACCTGTTGTAATTGCTAGAGAGTTTTCAATTTTGTTCACACTCTAGGTCTATAGAAACAACTTTCTTCACACAAAAACAAATTTTCTTTAACTGAAATACACTCAGGAAAAAATGCTTTTAGAAAAGTTTACATCAATTTATAAAAATTAAATATATGAAGTGGTGGTAAATCCTAAATAAAAATATACCTTCTACATTAAATAGATTTGATGCTACTACTGGATTCATTCAATGAAAGGATTTACAGCTATATATAAAGAAACCATTTTAAATTATAGATAATTCTCATCTTAACACACAACTCGTCAGTTGGTTGAAAGACTTTTCTTTATAAATGAAATATTAAATTAAAGTGGCAAAATTTGACAATTTATTTAACCAGGAAAGATGACAGCTGTGTCCCTAAAAGAGAATCCACCATGTCTGACAGTGTAGGCTGTTTCATTTGAAAACTGATACCATCAAAGTCACAAATAAACAACACTGAAATATAGTCTGTGGGCCAGACCCCCTTACCGTGCACCTCCCCCCCCTCCACATCCCTATAAATTGCATATCGTTGTGTTTCTTGTAACTATTTATTTAAAAAAAAGCCAATGTTCCCACAAAAAAAAGTGAACGCACAGCCCCAAAATGGCGTCCAAAAATGGCGGATTGACGAATTTGACTTTAGTTAGTTTTTTGGTCACTGAGAATTTGAATTTGACTTAATTTCCTCATAGTTGGTCTTTTATTAAAGCTGAATAGTGATAGAATAATAAAACATGAAGAAATATTAAAAAATAATTGGTTTAGGCTATGAAGAACACCAGTAAAGTCAATTTTTTTAACAAAAAAATTTTCAAGTTACAAATCAAGCGTCGGTTGTAATTAAACGGCCAACAATAACGCAAAACGTGCTAAAATAAAACATCCGGAGAATATATTTCTCTTTCTAAAACGCAGATTATTTTTTAAAAAAATTTAAGCAGTTCCGTAGAAAATGCACATATGCGGCAGAAAAGCGGTACTGGCGTGGGTTCCTGCAAGCCTCTACCACACCATTCAGTACACATAAATGGCTTAGTTATAGTGACATAATAACATTTATGGTACATTATAATGGTTTTATTAATATTATTATTTTTTTTTAATTTAACATCCTTTATTCTATACGTAGATCGTATAAGAAGACCTCAATTGTAAATATGATATAATTATAATAATAAAACATAATTAAAAAATACTTTGCTAAATATCTTGATTGTTTTTTATTTAACGTTTGCAATTTAACACTGTGTTTTGTATATTTACTGATTCTTAGAGGTAATTAAAATTTTTATATACTTCCCAGGAAATGAGTAATATTAATACCTGTTTTATAAACTAAAATAATATATACCTAATCTGAACTATATATAATGAATAGCTACCGGGTTGTTAAGTAAAACTCATATATCACTAATTAAATTTTTATTTCCTTTATTTAGTGCAGAAGTTGGACTATATCATAAATAAATAGGAAATTTTAATATTGAATGAATTATTCTCTATGCACAAAGAAAGATAGAAAGGGTGACGCTATAAGTTCTTCTATAAACCAGAACTGATTGTTTGGATTTGGTCTCAAAATGAGGAAAAACACGAAATTGAACCAGAAAATTGGAAAAACACATTAAGCGAACGAGAAAGGAAGTGTCAAAACCTCGGAATAGATAAAAAAGACCAGTATCCATTATATAGCTAAATGAATGTATAGTAGACAGATGAATAGAATATTTCAAGATGCTGCTAAAAGGGGATCAATTGCAGTTTGGATCATATTAAGTGGACGATGTAGGTTCATTATGGTGAAAACCACTTTATTTTCGATTGTTGAAGGTGCACATCGGGAATATCTTCACTTTGAAGCAGGATATAGAGAGGTATATCGAGAAAGTTATAGCTCATAGCTCTCCTTCTGTTTAGGGCATTTGCAAAAGATTTTTTAATGTCATTTTTTGCCCGGGGTTGAAGTTAAATAAAAGTTAAGTATTACTTATACACACTTACATGTTAATACTTGAAGTTGAAAAGTTACTATCCTCTCCTTCTGAAGCTTTTGTTTTTTCCTTTTCCTTATAGCTTGATAAAATCTTATATGCTTCTTGAAGGACTACTTCCAGCTCAAGTCCATCAAGCCTAGTCTTAGATGCATGTACTACAGTAAACATGAGACTTAAACAGCCTAATAATTTATATCCTTCCTGAAAATAAACAAATTATAATTAAAAAAATTTAATGAAATTTCTTTCTAATAGACAAAATATAAACAGATTTCACCTCATGATATAAGTTCATATAAAACAAAATAGCAGGCAACAGGTGTTTCATTAAGGATGGAACTACTATGATGTATTTGAGAATAAGGGAAACAAAATATGGTTGTTCATCAAATGTTTTACATCTGATAAGTTCATCTTCCTATTAGAAAAAAAAAAATCAAAATTATAATTATAATATTAATATTAATAAGATAAAATCAGATCAATTCAATATTACCTTGTAAATCTCTTGCATGACAATTTGTACGCATGCATTGATATACATTCTAAATGCATCATCAAACTGTGGGTGCTTGACTCCGTACAATGATATAAGTGTCTTCGGGAAGGTAAACAATGCATGCTTCATAGCTGTTAAGTCCTGCCAAAATAATATAATTAATTAAATAAATGTAATGACAGTCATTTTTTGCTGTTACGAACTAAATAAGCCAAGGTGATTAATGGCTTGATATTAAGGTCATGATTTATAGATATAAAAGAGGCTGAGGTTAAATAGGCTTTCAGATGAGCCTATCTTTTTTAATATAGATTCACGTGAGATTTAATCAGTTCATTCCAAATAAAACTAAAATTTATTTTATTAATATGACCAATGGTATTCCTAAAAATACCAACTAAGGCCCTTATGACCAAGCACCTGGGATTATGTAATTATGATTGAAATATATTTGTTATAATAACAAACTGCTCATTTGCTGTAACAACAATGTTGCAATTCAAAAATTACAGTTTTTGAATTAATATCACAGAGACTAATGCAATGATGTGAGCTTTAGACTGAAGAGTAGAGTTATTTCTGAGCTTTTAAGGCCAACCAAGCAACTTTTAAAAGTTTGTATCGAAGCTTCACAGAATTTCATAGAATATTTAAAAATTCAAATAAATTTCCTGAAAAATTATGAATTTTGAGGTATTACAATATCGCAGCAAATGACAGATATATTGTTATATGTTAAATAAATTTATGTTATATTTAAAAAACAAAACAAAACACTTACTTTAAAATGCAGTTTCGCAGATGATGGGGTAACCTCTAACATAGACATAACTTTTAATGATTTCTCTAATAAACATGGTATCATATTTTTTATTAAAAGCCAGTCATCATTTGGAGTTTCATCAAGTGAATAGTCTGTAAGGACTTTAATTGTATGTATTACTTCCTCAATGAACCAAACACAATCTGAAAGTATTTATTATATTATATATATTAAATGTGCATTAGAATAGGAATGTTTAGGAATAGGAGCAGATTATACCACAAGAAAGGAAATCCAGAGGATACAAACCGTAAATATAGGGTAATGATAATACAGTGAAATTCAATAGAAATATAAGATGAAAAATGTTTTATTTCGTATTAATTCAATGTATCCCATGAAGAGATACCTCTAAATGGTATACAACTGATACAATTTTATCAAATATTTATAAAATGCTCAATTACTTCTTAGGTCTTGTACAGTTAGATCAACAGGATCCTACAGGCAATAAACATATTGGTAATCTCAGATTAAAACATATGTTATTAGTATCTTGCATAAGTATGGAAGGCGTTCTAAGAAACATTAAATATTATATCTCATTATGTAGGAACTAACATTAATGACATGTAGTTGGCAGCAAGAAGCTACTTGCATTAATTCTTTGATTTTGTAAAACAATCAAAGAATTAATGCAAGTAGCTTCTTGCTGCCAAATTTTAATTTTGACAGAGGATTGAGGCACACACTTGAAGAGAGCCACCAAATGCAATTCTATACATTTTTGAACTAGTGAATGAACTAGAAGACATTAAGCCTTAAAATAACAGAATAAAACCATTTTTTAAGGCTGGAGATAAGATTTGCAAATAACCTTAGATGTGAATTCTCGAGAGTTGAGACATGATAAAAATCTGAGAAAATGTATGGTTATCATTTTTAGTGATACAATTCTAATGATTTAATGGTAGAAATGATAATTAAAAATGTAGAATAAAAAAAATCTGGTGTGGTGCGCGCATCACACAACTTTCACTTACCACCCTCTTCTTAGCAGAAATAAGTATTTTCAAACAAAGCGAAGTGAAAGTAAAATATATAGACTCTATATTTATTTATATTTCATTGTGGGTATTTTTATTTATATAAGTACCATCATATATACAAATTTTAATATTTATATCTCTGTTATCTATACAATAAAATATTAAATAATACCAACAATAGAATATATGAAAACCACATATATATATTTATATAATATTGTCGGAATCCATATTATATTAATCTCATGATACGTATGGAAGCGTGTTCTAATCTTTCGGGCGAGCTTGAGTGGGCTCGTATTCCTTTGGTTCCTCAATTACAACTTCTCTGTAACGATCTTATTTCTCCTTTAGTTATTTATCAATTTTTTTCATATTTTATATTTAACCATTTTTCATATTATAAATTAATGTGAAATGGTCAATTGTTTCAAATAAAAAAAAAATACAGGTAATTTAGAGGAAGCTAATATTGAGCCCTGTTAGACAACATCAATCAGAATAATAACCACATTTTATTTAAAATTGCTCAATTTTACACTGATATGATGAAATTAATCAAAATCGTTAGAGCAGTTTTCGAGATAATCAAAAAATAGGTTTAGTCCATTATATAAAGTGCCACTTCCGTTTAGCCGATTTTGACAAAAAAGGTTACTGTAACATCTCTGGCATATAAAAACCTTAAATATGCAATTTCACTTTCATACGACTTTTCGATTTTTGAGCTAGACTGTAAACACAAACACACGCAGGCAGGCACACACGCACGAAAAAGTATGTTGCAAGTCAAAATCAGAGGAAACCACGTAAGTTCAAATATTTTTATAGTATATAATATTTTTGGATGCTTAAGTACTCTCGGTGGAACCTGTCCACTAGAGCGCGTCTTCTGGGTGGCAGATGGGGATCCCTCTTTGGAGGGATGGTCTGAATATACAGAATAAAGACCCGTGGACCAACAGGTAACTAGTGCTGGAGGGTATGGCCCAGCCACCTTTTCTCCTGAGGGAACACAAATATTCAGAACACCAGTTGTCCCGAGGATAGGGGGCCTGCACTGCTGGGCTAATAACCCGCATGGTAGTATAGTCTATTTAAAGTCAACAAACCAGCCTCGGATATGGACAGATCTCACAGAAACAACCTGGCACTCATAGGGACTTACAATTTGGAAATTGGAATATAAAGACATTGACAGGAAAATAAGTTAAGCTTGTGGAAGATATGAAGACATATAAGGTGGACATACTTGGGATCAGCAAGGCAAAAAAAAAGAACACCGTGAAAGTATTAAGAAGTTCTGGCATAAAGTAAAGACATTAAGAGGAAAAATAAGTAAGCCAGTAAGAAATGTCAAAGACTCTAGTGGCAGCATGGTCATAGAAGAAGTGAAAATTCTTGAAAGGTGGAAGGAGTTCTATCAGGGGCACTTCTCAGGAGAAGGACCCACTGCCCCAGAGGAACATCTGGTAGAAAATAATATTCTGGAAAGTCTAGAAGTCATTGAAGAAGATGATACAGAATATACCATCCAAAAAATTAAAATAGGTAAATGGGTGGGAAGGAATGGTATAACCCCCAAATTAATAAAATTTGAAGGACAGAAATTAATTTAATTTCTCCAATGATTCCTCCAAAAAATATGGGAGACAAAGATAGTCTCCCAAAGGATTGGGACTTCAGTTTAATTGTCCCTATTCATAAAAACACAGATTGTGAAAACTATAGGTCTATATGCTTACTTTCAGTGGCTTACAAACCATACTTCTCAATCCTAGAAAGAAAATTAAGGCTCGTAATTTAGAACCAAATAAAAAGCGAACAAGCAGGCTTTCGTCTGGGGAGGCAGACTCAAGATCACATTTTTGTTCTAAGAGGCATCGCAGAGAAAACATAGGATAGAGATGAGAAAATATATTCCGCATTTCTGGACCTCAAAGCAGCATTAGACTCTGTTCCAAGACAAGAAATATGGTATGCTTTGGCGGCAAAAAATGTCCCAGCTGATCTTATCACGGCAATTAGATCAGCTTATAAGGCAGCAAAAGGCATTGCAAGGATTAATGGTTAAGAGCCCAAGCTTTTTTCCATGGAGAGAGGAGTCAGGCAGGAAGACAGCCTAAGTCCCCTTTTGTTCATCATATTTATGGATGAAATACATAAAATTTGTAAGCGTTGTATTGCTTGGAGGGTCATCAGAAAATGGAACATGAGGAATATTATGGTACAAAGCCTACTATATGCCGATGACATCGTTCTGATTGCAGACATGAAAGACAAGTTGCAGCAGGCCCTTGTAGAATGGCAGGAAGAATCCTACCACAAGGGTATGATTAACAATAGTTCCAACAGCAAAGTCCTAGTCATATCAAGAGATGAACAAGAGGATGTCCAGCTGATCTGTAATGGGGAGGTACTTGAAGTTGTGCAATAATTCACCTATTTGGGAACAATTATCAGCAACACAAGGAAGATTGACCCAGAAGTAGCCAATAGGATATACAAAGCCAACCAGGTCTATTATCCTATCTGCAACAGCATAGTTGGGCAAAGGGAAGTTGGAAAGGAAACAAACAGGCACATATACAACTCGGTATACCCCCAACCCTCACGTATGGAAGCGAAAGCTGGATTATGCTGGATAAGCAAGTTAGCCGTGTGACAGCAGCCGAGATGAAGTTCCTGCGGAGAGCTGCTGGAAAGACAAGGAGGGACTGCGTCAGGAATGAACGCATAAGAGAGGATCTGGAGGTAGCGGAGCTAAGGACATTACTGGAAAACAGACAGTTGAAGTTGTTTGGCCACGTTTGTCGGATGGAGGAGGTGAGAGATCTGCGTAAGATTCTGAAAACTCAACCCACCGGGAAGCGGCTGAGGGGGCCCCAGAATTTCCTATCAGGAGTATATGCAGCAGATTGGAGAGAAGAGAGGCAAACCGTCCAAGAAATGAGGCAGCTTAGTAGGAATCAAGAAGCATGGCTGCATTGCCTAGAGGCTCCTTGACGCTAGTAATGGCACAAAGAAGAAGACTTAATGTCTTCAATATCAGCTACATCTGATCTTCATTGAAATAATCTGGCAGGACTTGAATGCCATATTTTCAAATTTTTTTTCTCTGAAGAACCTTTAATTTTTTTTAAAAGCAATAATTAGTTTACATATTGTTGTAGTAATGCAAATAGAATAAATATAAACTATGAAAAAATTTATAATTAACTTAAGGAGAAATAATAGCTGATAAGATTGGACCAATCAATAATTTAGTCAACTGTGTGTGGCTGAGATTTAACTGCTTCAGAAGGGCTTCGAAGGAGTATAAACTATAATATGATCTGTGTTATAGACATTATTCTGGGCAAAATAAATTAAGTTAGTGTTTAAATATTATGGAAAAATATTTTGCAAGATTGAAAACAAATGACCAGAAATAAAAATAGCACTCCAGAACGTATAATATTCCTCTGGAAAGTTATATGATTTTAGAAAAATTAATATCTAAAATATAAAATCATAGAAGATATAGTGCATCTAGGTTAAGTTTAAGTGCAGGGGAAGAAAGGTCGCAAAGCTTTCCCTCACTCAAGTTCCACCTCCCCAAGACCTCTCTCTCTCTCTCCAACTAAACTTTCCCTCTTCACCACAGCAAACACCTTATACCAGGAAAGCGTTATTCCATTTTCTTCAAATTTTGCATAAATGTTCGTTAAAGGGATTTTAATTAAAAAATAAAATAAAACAATGAAAAAAAGGATGGTTAAATAATCAAAATGAAAAAAATAAAATAAATATATTAATTCGTAGGGTCAACTGTTCACAGAACTCGATGTTATTACTTGGATCTGTAGATCTAAATTTACCAAGAATTAGCTCATAAAAAAAAACAAGAAATAGATGGAAAATATAGAACAAAAAAGAATCCGATATTATATTATCGGATATTCAATAATTGGGAGCCTTTTTCATTTACTTCTGAATGTAAACAAAGAGAATTGTCCACATTATGTATTATTTTAGAATGTGCTATACTATCTCTAATCAAATGAATCGCAGTATGTAAACCGCCAATCTTTCTGGGAATCAATGTAGAAAATAGGAAAAGATATTTTTAAAAAAAATGATAACAGAAATTTATACTTTTAAACAAAAATTTAGAAGTACGTATGAATGAGTAGAGAAGAAAAAAGAGTGGAGGATAGGCTGGAAAATGTTTTGCCACTGCACATCTCTCTTCCCCACTACTCACTCTCAAACTTATCTTAGATAGAGTTTAATAAACAATAACAAAAAAATGCTGGAATTTAACTAATTATATCAGTGGGAAAACATGTTAATTAATTGTTTTAAATTAGTATGTATGATGCACGCACCATACCAGATTTTTAATTTAACAACATTGTAAACTGATTTCAAGTTTAACAGATTCCAAATATTTTGGACTATACATATTTTATCTATAATAAATAAATTATTAAAAGAAAACAAGTAACTTTATAAACTTACCAAATGACAATAAGTCTGATGCAAATAATGCAACAGATTTACAATGATTTTGATCGGTATTACCCAAAGCTATCCCAATTGTTGCTTCTTTCAGTACGGATAGGCAGCAACTTGCAACTAAAGGTGGTGAACCAGTTCCCCCATCAGACGGAATGTGTTTGTATAATACACTATATACAAAAATAAAATAAAATACACTCTGACTAATTTACAAATATTTTGAATTTCAGAAATTGAAAAAGTACAAGCTAAATTCATTAACCATAAAAACACATTGCTACAGTATTTTTAAAAACTCTTAACTAGTCACCAGACTTGTATGTTCCATACAATTTAAAAGAAGACAAAACATCTTTTATTTTACATAGTTGGAAGATTCCGACAAATTATCGTTCATAATTAGTCAATGAAGAAAATTTCATATAAAAAAAATCTGGAAGAGATAGAAGAGAAGTATATATACAAAGAATTTTAGCAGGTAAACAAATTCAGGTAAATAAATTCAGTGAATATCAGAATAAGATATTCTATCTAATTAGATTTACTATATGGGTAGGTAATCTAGGCTTTAGAGGCTTCCAACTTATCATGGTTGAGGTATATTTATTAAATTAAATATAAAATAACAGCCGAAATAAATGTATAAACATACTTAGATGCCCAGTCGATTGCTTGAAGAGAAGTAGTGATAGAACTGAAAGGTGGAACTGAATCGTTTACTTCTGGAGGTGGTTCAGGTCTGTGAAGGGTATGCATAAGACGCAAATAACGGGTGTAGGCCTTCAACAGAAACTCGTCAGTCAATTGGGTTTCTGGTTTGAAATTTTCTCCTCCCAGGACCTTTCTTTCAATGATTACCTAAGTAAAATAATTTGTTAACATAACATTAATTCTTGAAAGATAGTATACGATGATTCATAAGCTGAAAATATTATATAATAGTTTTATTTCATAAGAATTATCTACACATAGCCAAATCTAGAAACAAAAAGGGAGATTAGAGGAAGGAACGCTGCCCACTATAGTGGTGTAAGATGTTCTAATGATTCGTTACAGTGCTAGCTAAGCAGTGTTGATTTTTCTTTTGTGAGTATAATCAAATTGCTTTGGAAAGAAAATATTATGTGCTAATTGATTAGGCAATAATGAATATGAAAATTGGTAATTGATTTAGAGTGTGAAATTCTACAAGCACTAAGCGGAAAAAAATCATTAAAATAGATGTAGTAAATCCAACCAAACTGGATAAACCACACAACTAGACAAGCTTAAAAGCACCCTATTTTTATTGTATAATCTCAAATAATCATACGAGAAAAAGATGCTGAGGCAAATACTCAAGGATAAGAATGAAACATAATTAATGATTGAAAAGACCACACAACCAGAATAAATATTTAAAATTATTTGTGTCAGTTATTTTTAAAAAAATTCTTTTTCCAAAGCAATTCATCGATGATGTACTCAACATTTTATTCTTCGAGATATCTTTATTTTTTTTAAAGTTTCTAGAAAGTTTACTTGAGCTTGAGCTGTTAACTTTCACAAGTTATTTCTTATTGTAATAGATTGATTAATGATCAGGGACTATAATCAAATTTTTAAAACTAAGATTTTAAAATAAATAATCTTACCACAATTCTTTCAAGAAATAAATAAAAGTCATAAAGTTGTTCATAATGTTTGCACACAATCCTTGTTTCATTGAGCACATCAGAGAAAAGAACATCTAAAAGCTTCAACGATAACATTGGTTTCCCTTCGGTCTGTAAAAAACGGACCTTGGCTGGTTTCTGGCCTGTTTTCTAGAAAATAAATTATTAAATGATTGTTATGTATAATACTTTATATTACAGGTATTATTAATTAAAACTTACAACTGGCATGGCAGAATTATTGAGGTTTTGTTCTCTAAAAGCATAATTTAACCACTCTGATGCTAAATCAAGGACATCATGTCCTCTGTACCACGAGCATAGTGAATATATGAGACATTGGACTTTAGAGACATCAGTAGTATCTGTTATCTGTAAATAAAAACAAATCTAATATTACTAATCGACACTATAAATAACATGGTAGTATAGATCCCTATTTCGCCTCTTAGGAGGAATAAATTTTGATGAAGGAAGTATCAAAGGAAAGGAAATTAAAAAAAAAAAAAATGTGACTAATCCCAATCTCAACCTGTAAATTTGTACAACTTTAATAAAAGTCATAGAAAAAAGGAGGTATCAAAACTCAGATATTGATAAGTCGATGAATCGAGATTGAAAAAATTGGGTTTTAAAGATTCCATGTAGGCATCAAGACGTGTTTAGGTTCCATCAAGAAGTATCGGCCCTACCTTTTAAAGTTCAAAAAAGTACAGTTTTAGAAATAAACCGTAATTCATTCCAAATATGTAGATTTATAGCTTCAGCACCGCATATCTTTGTTAATTATTTATCAAATTCAATGATTGAGCCATCATTTTGAAGATTGTCTTCTTCTTTAGGGATGAAAAATAAGCAAATCTCCAGAAAAATTATGAGGAGTTTATAATTTCAAGTCACATAATTTGAACCTTCCAGGCCCGTTTACACGCGAAGATGCTGTTGTAGTCATTAGCAGACTGTACTGCAATAAAGAAAGCTCCATGGAAAGAGGAATCCCGGCTGAGCTTAAGCACAGTGGTGATGAGTTCTACAAAGCTCTCTACAACGTTATCCTCTCCATCAGAACTGAAAAGAGGATGCCCGATCAGTGGGAGGAAGGCAAGAGAATATCCTGAACTGCCCAATTACTGTGGGATCTCACTTCTTTTTGCGCCTACAAAGTTCTTTCAAACATTTTCTTTGATGCGTTCCTCCTGAAATCTGAGAGAAAAATCAGTAAATATCAGGGGAGGAATGTCCACAATCGATGAGATGTTTCATCCCTAGATGACATTGGAAAGATCCCGAGAGTAAAGGATGACAGACCAATATGCGATCCTGTGTGAATTAAGAATACTTCTGAAGCTAGTCCACCTGTAAAGATGACTATGGATGATGGAAGGTGCATTGCTCAAAACAGTCACATCTGTTCCCAGAGTTTTTACATAAATGGAGTTAGACAGGATAGGGGGCTTAAACTGTAACTTGGCTTTGGAATCTAGACAAAACACACCATTTTTAACTGGTGGTTACTTCTTCTTCTTCTATTGCCACTTCTTTAGTGGCATCAGCATGGAGGAACAGCCTGGCCCATCTCATCCACTGATCTCTGTCACTGGCCCTCCTTCTCATATCCACCATCGTGCTACCTCTGGCTCGCCCGAGTCTTTCCATCTAGTCAGAGTACAATAGTCTGCCTCTAGGTCACCTTCCCTCTAGTTTTGCATCTAAGAACCATTTTGCCTTTCAGTTGTCACCTATCCAGTACACATAGCCAAACCACTTCAGTTGGAGCTCCTTCATGACTTGTTTTACAGTCCTTGTATTCAGTTGCTCTTTTACCCTCTCATTCCTTCAGCAGTCTCTTTGTGTTTTCCCAAGAACTCTCCTGAGGTATCTCATTTCTATTTCAGTTATTTTGCTAGCATGTTTGTTCAGGACAGTCCAGCTCTGTGCACCATACAAAAGGACAGGCAGGAATACTGTTTTAAGCAAAGCTATTTTTGTTTCCTTCTTTATCTCTTGTTTCCCTAATATACTGGTGGTTACAAGTACTTATTTTCCAAATGAACTAGACTTATTTGGGCAATCCTTCAAGTCCCTCAAGAATAGATCTTTAAAGATGGCCGAAGCAGCGGAAACTGTGGCAATGTGTATCGAGCTAGAGAAAACAAATTATATGTGAGCAGGATCTCGAAGAAATATAGTTTGGGAACCGATTATAATGAGTACATTTATGTTTTAGAACATGTATTATTCCACCAATTTGGATTAATTCATAAATTGTGCAAATAGAATATTCTTTGAAATGGTCTAGGGAACCATGAAGAAACATAGGTGTTATTTTGGTCTTAGCAGACACCTGAGAAGATTGGCCATTTCCTGGTGCATAAAATATCTTCCATACAAATCCCTTGTATTGATTGGTTGAAAATCCAGAACGTTCCTATGGCATACATAGAGGTTAAAAAAACCCAGAAAGAAATGGAAGTACATGTAAGAGATTTCTAGGACTACTGATGTCATACATGTTGTTGTTGAGAACTCCATCTAGCAATGGGAGTTGATGGCTTGACCTGTCCAATGGTGGACGTCGGAATGAGAAGAGACCTCGAAAAGGCTCGGCTGTTTTACCAGAGGTGCAGACGCGACGAGAAGTGCCCTGTACTTCTTAATGAAGAGAGTATACTGAAATCAGACTTTCATGGTTACCAGTTTTTGACAGAGCAAGCCATCCTAGGCAATATGGATCAACTAAAGGCAGAGGAACCGCTAATGCTCTTCTGAGAGTATGGAGAGTTGTTGAGGAAAGAGCAGAGCGATATGTCATGATGTTGCTATTTGACATATCCTCCACCTTCGACAGTGTTTAGTGACCCAACGTGTTGCAGCAACTGCAGAAGAATGAAGCTCCTGGCAATTTGTATGAACTTGTAAGAAGCTATCTCTAAGAAAGAAGTGTGAAGACTTCTTTTTCTTTGTAATAGAGGGACTGTCCTCAAGGATTAATCCTTACCATAGTTAAAAATTTTTTTTAATAAAGACAAATAATATAATCTTTGAATTAATAACCTTCTTAACAACTAAGTAACACTGAATTATTGAGAACTTATTAATATAACCCCATGGCTTATGCCTGCCACTGTTAAAGAGACAAGCTCTGTGGTGACATTACTGATCATTACTTACTAAAATCAATTAAATATTATTCTATCAAAAGGCTGATTGTATTAATTAACTTTATGTACCATTTATAGCTATGAAGATAATTCATTGCAATAATTATCAATAAAAAATATATAAAACTTTCAAACAAAGGAGTAACTTACCTCTTTTAATTCAGAAATACAGGCACTGCTTACAGTTGACACCCCCTTCAGTTTGGATATAGGAATCAATGATGCAAAGCTTACAGTAGCATAATAAACACATGTACCCTGCAAAATAATCAAGTAAGTTCAACAACTATGTTGGAACTAATTTCTAATCTAAATTATCTTAATTTTTCTATTTTCATAATGAGAAATATAAAGAACATCTTTTTTGTTATGTAAGAATGTATAATTCTTTAACCCCTTTTAATATGACACGAAATAATATTAATATTCATCATTAATCTGGTCAAAATATTTGACCACTGACAATTTCTACAAATGTAATTGTTTTATTACTTTTCAAACAAAATATCCTCCCGAAACAGAATGAGTTACAGTATAGAGGAATCACAGAAATAAATTAAAATTTGTAAACAAAAATTATTCACAATGGATTAATATAAAAAGTAATAACGTAATCCCTGCTCTCAATCAGCTGACCTGTTAAATTTCCATAGAACCAGAATATAATGAAGAGAAGAATAGTTGGGGTGGTCAGTCAAAAAGGAAGGCAAAAATAAATGATAATATTTATTTTTGCATTCCTTTTTGACTGACCACTCCAACTATTCTTCTCTTCATTATCCACAACAGTCAACCAATTACCAATTATGAACCAGAATATACATGTGTATTAATTAAATAAATGTTTATTTTCCTTCTCTGCTTTGCTTCTTCATTTTTTGGGATTACATAAAGTGTGAATGTGATCTGTGAACCCTATTATATATGTCCTAGAGACAGATTGTAATATTTTTCAATGAATAAGTTTAAAAAATTTTTTTGGGGGATTCACTCAATTAAATTATTTTAACTAATATAATACGTTATAAAAAGTTTGGGATAGACTTATACTTTTTGAACAGATAGCTGTAATGACATCCCAAAGACAAGAAGTATAATATAAGCGTTTCAGATTTGAGAATATCCTCATTCACCTAAATTATTAGTTAAAATAATTTGATAATTTTTTTTTTTTTTTTTTGGCATAAGTGCACTACGGCCATGTAGGCCTATAATTCATAGGATCAGATTCATTAGCAAATATTGATTTACTTAGTTGACTCTGAATATTTCAAGTAATTTAAAGAGTTGTAACATTATGGCAGGAATTCAACATCACAAAAAGTACCTGAACGTTTACTGACATTTCATTTTTGAAAGATTTGAATCCATTATTAACAAAGATTTCAATAAGATCAGTTAAAGTGAACCTTTCTATTCACACTCAGTTTGCAGAACGGTTAACTGAATAATAGATTGTATAACAATTGAAACAATTAACAAAAGGTCATCCAAATTAGGAAGTATCACATTCAATTTACTGTGATAATATCACTGATATAAGTTCCAGAACAATATAAGAAATAAAAAATACAGACAAGAGAGGAGCATAATTAACTTTTATCACAAATTGTCGTCATCTGTCATGACAAAGAAAAGAAAGAAAAATTAAACGCAGCAGAAGTCAAATTTGAAAACAAAATATTTTCTAATTTCACAATAACTTACCTTATAGTGTTTAAGAAACAACGGAACCGCATTACAGGCTAATGAATACAAATTGTCTAGATATTTCTCATTTTGGCCAATTTCATTTCTAAATGATACCCACAACACAGTAGCACCATTGATAAGACCTGCAATGAATCTGTAAAAGTAATGTAAGATAAATTAAAAAATACAGGCTAATACTTATACATCTGGTCATAAAAAAAAAAAGTGGATCTACTTTTATATCCCTAATTTTGTTACACATTTGAAACTTGGTGTGATAAAATAAGAAAATCCTGAGGGACTATAAGATAACCAGATTTAATCCCTGAACTTAAAACAAAATGACAACAGAAATGTAATTAGATGTTGATTGATTTCAACTTCCAAATATAATAAACAACTTTTTATTTATTTAATGATTACAACCTAGTATTATTTATTTAAGTTATATAGTAAACTTTAGCCACAACAACATGATATCAAATCCTCCTCACAATGTTAATCTGTTAGTTGGAACGTGGGTTACAAAAACCCATAGAGGCTACTAGTAAAGTAGGCCAAGTAAATTTTTTTCATGAAAAAACAATTCAGATTTGTTTTTAGGGTCCACTAAAACTCTTAAATATGAGTTTATTTTGAAATAAAAAAAAATATAAATTTTTGGATTTTTTTTTTTTGGAAATTTCATGAGAGGATTTCTTTTTAATGCCATTTACTAAAATATTCATAATTATTCAGGTTTCTCCTAAGTCAGTGTTACTACAACCGCTGAAAAGCTCTTCAAAACTATATCAATAACTTTTAGATTTCACTGGTTTATAACGAATAAATAAATAAAAACTCCCCAATTTTTTTTATTTTTTATCTCCACCCCTAATTTATTTGTGGGCTTCTGGTTTGTGCCATTTTGTGTATATTATAGACCCTCAAATTCATGGTAATTTTCGTTCAGATAAGTGGAACCATGTCAAAGTTATCACGACTTTTGCAATTTAAAAAAAAAAAAAAAAAAAATTAAGGCTTTAAGGAAGTTGAGATTTTTATTTTACACCTCGAAAAACTCTTAAATACGAATTAATTTTCATACCAATCGAAAATTTTGTTGCACTAAATTTTTGCCTTAATTTGCCTGGAGCCCCAATTTTTTTTTCGAAAAAAAAAAATTGATAACTTCGACATGGCTCTACTTATCTACACGAAAATAAGCATGAATTTGGAGGCCTAAATAATACACAAAATGGCTTAAACCAAAATCCTGCAAATAAATTAGGCGTGGAGATAAAAACTAAAATCATTTGGGGAGTTTTTATTTATTTATTCCTTATAAACCAGTGAAATCTAAAAGTTATTGATATAGTTTTGAAGAGCTTTTCAACGGTTGAAGTAATGTCAACTTAGAAGAAAAACGTGAAGAATTATGAATATTTTAGTAAATGGCATGAAAAAAAATCCTCTTATAAAATTATGTCCAAAAATTTTTATTTTTTGATTTCAAAACTGAATATAAGATTAGAAGTATTTATCACCGATATAGAGTCTTGGCATCCTGTACCAGCCTCCAGTTCATATCCTGTGTAGCCTCCATCCAGCTCGTCACTCCCAACATGAATCTGTCATCACCAGTCACACCATCACTCCACCGAAGATGAGGTCTTCCTCTACACCTTGTTCCGTGTATTACTTCAGCCATGTTTTGGAATGTGATTCTCAGCCATTCCAGCGACGTGCCCAGCCCATCTCAATCTATCGAGCTTTATGAAATGAACCACATCTGGTTCTTTAAACAAATCTTTGAGCTCCTGGTTTGTGCGACGTCTCCATAACTGGTCAACTTTCACAGCTCCAAAGATCTTATGCAAAATCTTACTTTCGAAGACCATTAGATTCTGCTCGTCAGTTTTGGAGATAGTCCATGTTTCTGAGGCATAAAGGAGTATCGATCAGATAATTGTTTTATACAATAGGACTTTTGTTCCTCTGGTTAAGGCTCGGATTCTAAAATATGAACTGAGACCATACTAACGATTGGCACATGGCACTCTTCGCTTAATTTCAGAATCTACATTATCATGAGTTATGAGAGATCCAAAATAAATAAATTCCGACACTTTTTCAATGGAGAATTCTCCGATGGTAATCCTTTTGTCCGGTCTGGGATTTTCCTCAGTGACCATATATTTGGTTTTTGCAGCGTTGACTTTAAGGCCCATTTTTCTTGCCGCTTCCACTAGTTTCAAGAATCCATCAGAGACTGTCTGGAAAGAGCGTCCAGCAATATCAATATCATCTGCATAAGCAAGAAGTTGCACTGTCCGGCTGAATACTGTTCCGCCCACTTGAATACCAGAATCTCGAATGGATTTCTCTAAACCTAATCAATGAGGAGACATGCCAGTGCATCTCCCTGCCTTAGTCCTTTTCCAGAAGTGAATTCTGCCAATCCTGCTCCTCCAACTTACACCATGCATCTCACTTCTCTCATGGTGAGTCTTACCATTCTAATAAGCTTTCAGCGATTCGGAGCTCTCTCATTACCTCATAAAGCTATTTCCTACGAACACTATCATACGCTTCTTTAAAGTCAACAAAAAGATGATGAGTTTTAAGCTTATATTCACGTCCTTTTTCAAGCATGATGCTCAAGCAAAATATCTGGACAATGGTAGATCGTCCTTTCCGAAAAATACACTGGTACAGGCCTAAGATGTTTTCTGAGTAGGGGAGTAGTCGTTGAAAAAGAATGTTGGACAACACTTTGTACGCAAAAGAGAGTAAGGAGACGCCTCTATAATTACCGGTGACTAGCCGATCACCCTTTTTATGGATTGGACATATAATTGATTTATTCCTAGGGTCTGGTATTACTTCATAAGTACAGATTCGAATCATGATATTGTGAAGGATTTTCAGTAATTCACTTCCTCCGCACTTAAGTAGTTCTGCAGGCAATTCGTCAATCCCTGGAGCCTTATTATTATTATTTGAGGGATTTGAGATCTGCATGGTTTGACGAGGAGTGTAAGAGAGCAACATGTTTAAAGAATGAAGGCATTACCAGGAGTAATGCCGAATTATATATACAGAAGAGGCGAATGGAGAAACGTCTCCACCAGTTTAAGAAAAGAAAATAGGAAAAGGAAGAATTGGAAAAGACTGAACTCCTTAGGGGAAATAAGCAGTATAGGGAATTCTTCAAAGCAGTCAATCGGAAAAGAAAACCTTTTGAAAGCAAATCTACCTACTGCTTGAATGAAGGTGGCAAACTTCTAACCAATAAGATGAATGTTCTTGAGGAATGGAAGAGGCATTTCTCTTGGCTTATTAACGAAGATCTTTCGAAAGAAGTTGGAAGTAACAGTTTTGTAGATTTTCCGTTACTTCAGTCAATGGAACCGCCGGATGAAGAGGAAAGTTTGAATTCTCTGGCGAAATTTAAAATAAAATAATTTTCAACCTAGTATTACCAAAAAAAGTTTCATTGAAATCGGTGGACCCATGTCTATAACCTTCCATTGTAAGTTAACACTTTATCTACTGGTAGTTATTCTATTAATTCTGCTTTTGATTGTTGATGATTATCGTTCAACAAGACTTAAGTAGCAGACTAGGTTGGTCTTTGTGAGAATGAAAACCTGAACGCTTTAATAATGCTGGACTCAAACAAGTCGGGAGCCTCTTTCTCATTAAAGACGGGTTGCTCAGTGATGAATTATACTTTCAAACTATTTCCAGGAATTTCACTGAGACAGAAGATAATTTTACTGTGGCTGCAGATTATGGGCATTTTGGAATGATGCCCTAAGTTAAAGTGGGAGTAGAGGTGATGAAAAGTATTTCATTGGGCTCAAGGCCGCTCTACCCTTCCCACTCACCATTGCTAAAAGGTTAACCTCGAACAGTTCAATTGATGCTAAAGCAACGATGAAATAAGTTATAAATTTTCCCTTTCATTAAAGATTATAAAAAATATATATATATATATATATATATATATAATATATATATATAATATATAATTTAATTTCTACCTAATACAATACCTGTGGTTTTCCAGAAAGTCAGCATTTATTTCATGAGGGGTTCTTTCTGGAGGAGAAGAGGAAGATGAAGAAGTTTCACCCTCAGATGATTTTTCTTTTTCTGAAAAGCAAATTAAAAAAATAATACTAAAAAATTACGATTACTAAAAAATTCAATTTATAAAATTGTTCAGAATGATCCAGAAACAGTACTGCCTTACAAAGTACTGAGCCTAAGACATTCCATGGGTTACAGTGTTTTTTTTTCGAGAAAAAAAAGAAATTGTTATTGTATGTGAAGTATCTCTTGTCACAGACTAATTTTATACTCTCCAGAAACAGAGCTTTATTATTATAATCGTCGTATGGGGTTCGATTTCCTCCCAATTTGTTTCCAATATCTTGTAGAGTTCTTTAAGGGGAATATTTGAAAGAGCGATTCCGCATCATAACTGACTAGGCATTCATTATCTTCAATTTTATTTAAGCTATTCATCTTATCTTTGAGTTGCATATAGTTCTTTACGTCATATTTATATATGTATAAAGTAGAATTAAGGATATTATTCCGAATGAAAAATTAACTAATATTATATATATAAAATACAATGCGAGGATTGTGAAAATAGAGCATACAACAGACAAACCTCACAATGGTTTGAACGTAGGACACAACAGCAAAAACAAAATTGCAGGTCTAAAACGAGAAAATCAAAATTAGCCACAGGATTATCATAGCATAACACGAAAAATGGACATAAATTTTATTTCGGTAAAGTGTCGGTCCGACAAAGAGAATAGAATATTAACAAACGAAGAATAATAGAATCAATATTTATTACTAAAAATCTTAAACAATCGGTAAATCAACAAACAATGTAGATAATCAAAACACTTTTTATGCTAGCGCAATAGATAAAATTAAAATTTAATCATTATATAAATAATGAATATGCAAATGCCGAAATATGCAAACACAATTCGGTTCAGCCCCTTTTATTCCTCTATTATTCGACCGATTTTCTTCCTTATTCTTTTGTTTAATAGATATTGACGAGCTTTAGTGTTATCAATAAATAAAAATATTAAATAGTATGTGAATAAAAATATAAATGGTAGTTTGTTCAAAACGGCTTATCTCCGAAAGTTCTTCATCGATTTTTTTTAAATTTTGACACAACGTCACAATAATATTTAGAAGTTTTTTTTTTATACGTTTCATTATCATCGGGCCTTTCCTTTCGAAATGGCGGCCGAAAAACGTGATTCGCTTTAGACTGTAGCTCCAATACGGCTTCAACGATTTCAATGAAACTTGGCTAAAGTCTTCCCCTTGAAACCTTTATAATTTATGTATATAACATACTTTCCCGAAAACAAGCTGCATACATTTTTATGATGAATTCATTATTTTATTTGCGAATAACTCAAAAAGTACACATTTTTTATAATAAAGCTTTCTTGATTTCCGACAAAATGAAAAAAAAATCATCGAAATCGTACTATTTGTTGCAGAGATATATCATTTATACATGTAGTACTTTTACTTTCCCTTCCAAATTCGATTTCTTTTATTTTATTTTTTTGATAAATCGAAAACTTTTAATTTAGTGAGGTAATTGGTTCTATTATTTGAAGAGATGATATCATTTAATGTTAGTGGAATGATACCTCATAAATTAAATTTAAAAATATATTTTATAGTTATACTCATTGTTAACTTAAATACTACACAAGCATTAGTTAATGGAACAGGAATGAGACTGAAGTATTAATGGGGGCTACTTTAATTTAAAGAATTTTAATTCCAAGAATTAATTATGATTTTCTGACACTATACTTACATTCGACTTTCAATGAACAACATTCCTATTTATAGCTGCATTTGCTATGACCATAATCAAATCACAGGATAAAAGTTTTGGAAAACTGTGTGTATTATTGTGACATCCAATAATTTCTCATGGACAATTATATTTGGCAGCAATTAGAGCACGCTCATTTTAAATATTAAAATTTATATTTTTAATGGCAATGGGAATGGCTATGCACTAAACAATAACAGAACATTCAATTTAAATTAAATAAATTTTTCAATTTAAAAGAACATTGTTGACATAGAAGTTCTAAAAAAAATAAATTTAAATTGCTAATTTAAATTTATTTTTTGCTTGCTTAATCATAACATTAATTTATTGTGATAATAACACACATAAATTAAAATGACAATTAAATATTTTTGAATGAGTCTATTTTGTATTACTTATAAATAATTTTAAATGACTTAAGCTCGATTTTTAATAGAAATTGAAATTTTGTTTGTATTAATAAATGAGGATTTTTGAATCGTGATTTACTCTTTATTTACTTTTTATTTAATTATATCTTTTCCTCAAATTTTTAATGGCTATGGTCGAATTTCGACCACTGGGCGAACACTAGTATACTGAAATATAACAGATAAAACAGCAGATCCCTAATCCCTTCACATCACTCCTTTTTAAAATAAATCCAGTCCTGTATGAATGCGTTTAGTGAGGACGAACACTTTTAATATTGCCTACGAAAGAGGTACATAAATTAAGAACAAATAATATTCTTTTTGTTTTTTTTTCTTAAAAATTTTAACATTCTATTTTAATTATTTATTTATTTACAATAACTTTTAGAAGTGAAAAAACGTCATTAAATGAAATAAAAGAATGAAAAACCGACAAATTATATTATAATGATATTCTATTTGAGATTCTATTTACAATATCTAAACTTTTCTATTTATATTTATTTCTTATATAACTTCATATTCTTTTTCTCTGTTTTACATTTTAATCTAAGATTACCATTTTAGTACTTATGTTATCTTATTTTCATTATGTTTACTTCATTAGTCCACACTTTGTAACCGTTTATTTATTTCTTAGTTCTTGTTATTGTCATTTCTACATATCTACCTACTTTATTTTACTTTAATGTTCACTTATCTACTTCATTTTACTTTAAGTTTTTTTTTTTTTTTTTACCTTTTTTTTTCCTTGTTTATGTTTCTCATACCATTAGTTATCTGGTTCTTTTCTTAGCCCTGATGAAGGCCTGAATTTCGGGCCGAAACATCAGCAAATGTTAAAATAAATATTATTATTTATTTTTGCCTTTTTTATTTTTGACTGATTGCCCCAACTATCCTTCTCTTCATTATTCACTACATTCAACCATCAACCCACAATTATTATAATGATACATTTTAGGAAATTTTATGAAGTTTTGTATGGTAGGTAGATAAAAAATGTTATATTAATTATAACCAAAATGCTGTTATATAAAAAAAAAATTTATAAAATAGAATTTGGACTATTTATATAACTTGTTGTTATTGAATTAATATATGTTTTATAATGATGTAGTTTGAAGTAGAACAACTGAATTAAAATTAGTTTGCAGGATCTTGAAAATGGCTCCTTAAGCCGAAACGTCGAATAAATAATACATGATGTGAAAACTGAGTACATTTGGTGACCTTTGGCCTAATACTTTACAAAAAACTTTAAATTAAATTTTAAACAATAAAAAGATGGCATAGAACATAAATGATACGACTAGAAAATAATATATTTTTGTCTTGCCTTATTATAATACATTTAACGGAAGTTTCGGGATTAATTTATCTTTGTTATTTGAAAATAAATATATTGTATAGTTCTGATATTTTATTTATGGTATGATTACTGGACTAATATTTCATTTTGTACTAACAGTCACTATTATTAAGAGTTTTGCTTGTTTATTATGTTTGCCATTTCTTGAAAAGTCTCACAACAGTATATTAACCAATTAAGCCCTCAGCATCTAGTAAATTTCATTAATAATTAAAATTTTAATTCAATTCATATTTTTAAACAATAACACAACATTCTATGTATATACCTACATAATACACACACATATATTTATTAAAAAATGGATAGTTAAATAAAATCAATAAATAAAACAATAATAAAATATATAGTATCAGATGAGTGAACAGTATCAAAATGTACTAGAAAAGAGAAAATATAATTTTCTAGTCATATCAGTCATGCCATTAAATCATGAGAAAATATAATGTATTAATAAATATATGATTAGGCAAAACAAGTACAATTATTATGTGGAGAAGAACCAAATTTTACAAATCAACAAATGAGTATCTACAAAATAATAAAAATTCCGTTCGATTTAAAGAATAGCTAAAACAAAAGTTATTCTAAGTATATTAAAATGCAACAATAGTTTTAATATAGAAAACTTCGAGTAATTTAGAATACTGAATCGAGAAGACTTTAAACAAAAAATATTTATATAAAATAAAATATAGTATCACTGAAGTTAAAAGAAAGAAATATTCAAGCAGGAGTAAAGAATAATAGAATTTGTAATGGTAAAAATATCCTCATGGACTTTACTTAAAACCCTCTTACAAGATCAAGTTTCTTAATGAAAGCTTTGCTCTACAAATTACAGTTAGCTTTGTCATACAAATTGTTTTCAGGATCTAACGAAATTTTTTTATTCAGTTAAGTATCTGATTCAAAGTGAGTTCATCCAAAAAACTGATTGAGGAAATTAACTGTGTTAAAGAGGCTTTGGAAATAAACTTTATTGAAAACAATTATATTACCTAAAGTTCTGTTGGAAATATCTTCAAGTGAACCTTTTCTCTTCTTCTTCCTTGTGGTACTCTCCTTTTTGTTTTCATTTTCAACATCACACTCAGTATCTAAATGTTCTCTCAATTTCTTCCTTATTATACCAATTATCGTAATGATTATCTAAAAATTTATTTATTTCTCAGCACTACAGAAAAATTGTTTTATTGCACAAAAGTGATTAATTCACAGCCTGAGGGCAAATACATGCGGCACTATGTTGAAACTAATATTTTAATTTTTGCCCAACGTTACTTACAAAATATTTACTAATAATAATACAATACAGGGTCATGGTCATGAAGGTTATAATATTTCTTTCACTATATGTAGGAGGTTTAGGGGAGAAAATAAATGTGAGTTTTAACATCAGAATTTTAGTTTAAAAATAAATGAGTCCCACAATAGCCCATTAACATAAGTTTTGTTCACCATAAATACAAAACCAGAAGTCACAAACAAAGAAGAAGTGAACTTTTATAAAGTTACAATGTTAATAAAAAGTATTAGCCTTTTCAGTTTTATTGGTAAGATTTCATTAAAATTTTGAGGACAGTAATTATATAAATTGACAGATATAATTACATATCATGGAATAATAAATATAATGAATAATAAAAGGAGGAAATGGAATTTTCACTTCATGAAAATAAAGCTTTGTAATCTAAAATCATTTACTCTCATGTTGAAAATCCTTCAAGTTCCTCCATGGGTTGTAGCAATATAAGATTTTCTCTGTTTTAAAATATATATAGTAAGTTGTTATAATATTCCTAGTGCATTACACACCCCTAAATTCCACTCTCGTAATTGATCCTATAAGAATGCTTTTGTTCCTACTATTTATATCAATGTTTACTTTGACTAATCCTTTAATTCCTTGAGACTTGAGGTGGCTTTGTGGGGTTAACACACAATGTCACACAAAAAATCACGATTGGTGGTCTTTCGAAACATTACTGTAATGAAGGATCCAAGCTCAAAGGCAGTCTCCGAAGAAATCTGTGTCATAGAAGGAGAGTCCATTTCTGGCATACGGGTTTCTCAGCAGCAGTGGGATAGTGTGCATGGGTTTTTCACATGCCACCGCCACCGATCATACTCTTTTTATTTGTTATTGTTCTTTGTTTTGTACATGCTTTAGGGTACTTATTTATTTCTAGGAACAATAAAAATAGGGTTTTTCTGTGGCACAATCCAGTGCATAGCTATGCGCTTTCCATGGTGGAACTGTGCTTTAATGTTCTCCTTTCATTCCAGCAGCTCTCAGAAACCACCAGAACCTTCCCTCAGCCGGACCGAAGAGCCAGAGCCATTAAGTATAGCAGGCCTTTATTATTTCCAACATCTTTGACAAGTGCATGGGTCACTCCATGCTCCCACCACAATGCCTTATTTCATCTAGCGCCTTCCTTGACATCATGCAATTCTTGTACTTTGGTGGAGAGCCACTTTTCCTAGCCTGACACTCGTTTGCCTTATGCCCACAACTGCCACACCATCTGCGTGTAAGGTCTTTCTTAAATATAGTTTTGGTGTCACCATATTCCTGACATTTTAGACACAGGAGAGTATCCAAGTAGTCCCTAATGCCCAATGTCCAGAAACTGTAAGAGAACTTTTCAATTTGCAAGAGTGCTCTTCTCACGGACAAATGAATCTCCACTACCCAGGTTTTCTTTAGATTCTCTCTCTCAATATTAGAAAAACATGGTCTAACCCATTCCTAACCCTCTTTTAGTTACCTCTTTGATAAGTAACATTGATTCACAATCTTCTTTTTGTTGTGGATTACTTCTCAGGGATCTTTCATTCTCTGAGGAGCTCTCTTCAGCAGTGTTGGGCAAAAATTATCTATAGCTAACAGATAACAGATAACAGCTAAATTAGCAGAAAGCGGGAAGATAATTTTGCAACTAAATTAGCTATTAGCGGGACCAAGACGCTAACTTTTAGCGTAAGTTAACTTTTGGCTGTTCTTACCGCTAATTATGAAAATGATATAGAATTTAAGATTGGGCCCCCCAGGGCTAGACTTTTTTTAACTTTTCTGATTAAAAAAAGTCGATAGCGATATTAGGGTCGACTGATATGTTTTGGGGTTCGCTTTTTATGAAAATGATATCGAATTTGACATTAAGTCCCCCGGGACTCGACTTTTTTTAACTTTTCCGATTAAATCGATATTAGGGTCGACTCTTATGTTTTGGGGGGAGCATTTTATGAAAATGATATCGAATTTGAGATTTGGCTCTCCGGACATCGACTTTTTTTAACTTTTTTGAATAAATCGATATCAGGGTCAACTATTATGTTTTGGGGGTTGCTTTTTATGAAAATGATGTCGAATTTGAGATTGGACCCCTCGGGCATCAACTTTTTTTTATCTTTTCGGATTAAATCGATATCAGGGTCAACTCTCATGTTTTTGGGGTCGCTTTTTATGAAAATAATATCAAATTTAAGATTGGGCCCCCCGGGGCTCGACTTTTTTAACTTTTCCGATTAAATCGATATTAGGGTCGACTATTATGTTTGGGGGGCACTTTTTATGAAAATGATATTGAATTTGAGATTGGACCCCTCGGGCCTCAACTTTTTTTTAACTTTTCGGATTAAATCGATATCAGGGTCAATTCTTATGTTTTGGGGGTCGCTTTTTATGAAAATGATATCGAATTTGAGATCGGGCCCCAGGCCTCGACATTTTTTAAATTTTCCGATTAAATCGATATTAGGGTCGACTGATATGTTTTGAGGTTCGCTTTTTATGAAAATGATATCGAATTTGACATTGGGTCCCCCGGGACTCGACTTTTTTTAACTTTTCCGATTAAATCGATATTAGGGTCGACTCTTATGTTTTGGGGAGCGCTTTTTATGAAAATGATATCCATTTACATGAATTTTGATATAGTGCCCCCGGGCCCCGATTTTGTGAACATTTCGGGTTATATTGACCTCACAGTCGACTACTAGTTTTTGGGGGACGCTTTTTATCAAAATGATGTCGATTTTGTGATTGCGCCTCCTCATCGTTTATTTTTTGTACTCTGATCTTAAATTCGACATTTTTTTTTTTTTAAATAAAATTCGTCCCCTAAAACATAATCGTCGACCCTGATATCGATTTAATCCAAAAAGTTTTAAAAAGTCGAGGTCCGGGGAGCCAAATCTCAAATTCGATATCATTTTCATAAAAAGCACCCCCCAAAACATAACAGTTGACCCTGATATCTATTTAATCCTAAAACTTAAAAAAAGTCGAGGCCTGGGGGGCCCGTTCTCAAATTCGATATAATTTTCATAAAAAGCGCCCCCAAATCATAATAGTCGACTCTGATATCGATTTAACCCGAAAAGTTAAAAAAGCCGAGCCCCGGGGGGCCCAATCTCAAATTCGATATCATTTTCATAAAAAGCACCCCCCAAAACAGTCGACCCTGATATCAGTTAACATAAACAGTAAGAAGCTAAATTAACTTAATATTTAGCGCCGCTAATTTTAGCTTTTTAGCGGTAGGTTAGCTAGTTAAAAATTAGTGCGCTAACGCCCAACTCTGCTCTTCAGCAGTAGAAGTACCAGGTGGGTGGGGCTCCTCTGAACACCTTTCAACATATTATTTATCATACACCTCTCCCTGTATGACCACACTAACAGGCTCTGTGATCTATGCACTGTTTCCAAATTACAATTTGTGTTACCCTTGTACCCCTTCTCGATTCACAACCTCGTTGGGACCACGAGGTAACTTTCCACAGTCACCTCATTCTGATATCCGTTGATATGTCTCATTTGACTTAGAACCTTTAAATTTCGTATGGACACATCCGGTACTGTTTTCCTGCAGTGTTCGTTGTTGGTACTCCGTTTCGAGATTATTTTTGGTTACTCTTACAGCTCTGACCTATTTTCAAGTTGTGGTGACCACGTGGTCTTTTAACCTATGCTCTTGTTTATAACCACGTGTTCACCTAACCTCTAAGCTCTGTGGTGGCCATGTGCTTTGCTAGCCTGTATATCGCGTGGCCACCTAGTTGTCTCCACATACCTTACTAACCTCTTAAATTAGCACCCACGTGCTCAACTAACCAGCCTTAGTTTCTTGTGACAATGGTCAGTTCTGCGCATGCGTTAGCCCTAGTTAAACATACGTCAGGTCGTCTCTTATAAAAATCTCATTTATCAGTGGCAGTATACAAGTTTAATGTTAACAATTAGTGTTATCAGTTACATTAACAATTACGTTTATACTGGACAAAAAAAAATAAGGTGAGTAATCACTTATTTACAACACAAGAGTGAACAGTGTAAATAGACCTTAGGTTAGTTAGATAACGGCCAGCCATAAGCTGCAACAGTCGTTAATACCAGTGGGCTAGATCCCTCCGTCGGAGGCAGATCTGTGCTCTCCAAGAGCGCGTCTATATTTTCGTGTTCAATAAAATTTTTTTTTTTTCCTCTCTTCACTTTTATCAATTTTTCTTTTAAAAATAAATATGAAATGCGATATTATCACATGCTAATGTCGAGTAAGGGCAAAAACACTAGGTCCAGGAGCCTGGATACTACAATTAGTTCTCCCATTAAAAAAAAGACAAGGCATTCGAAAAGAAACACTCCACCAGCCACACCAGGGAGCTCCATAGAAGAAGTGGAACCCCAACCTGGCTCCTCACAACAACCCAACAATTATGAGACAACTCAAGCTATGGGTGAAGAATCGCCGTTTTTCACTTCGAATCCATTTGAAGTGCTTTCAAATATAAACAACGAACAAATGGAAGCAGCATCCATCCCCAGAGAACCCAAACCCCCACCAATATTTGTTAGAAATATTAAAAATTTTCAATTGATGTGTAATCAATTGAATAATCTGGTAGGTTCAGGAAAATATTTATGCCAAAGCCGCACCAATGACACTAAGTTAATGCCCGACACTCCAGAAACCTATAGAAAAATCATAAAATATTTATCTGACACCAAGGCTGATTACCACACGTATCAACTGCGTCAAGAGAGGGCGCTCAGGGTCGTTATCAGAAGACTGCACCCATCTACGCCAACAGATGCTATAAAAGAAGAGCTCACGGGTATGGGATTCCATGTTCGCCAGATAGTGAACATATTTAAGGAGGATAGAGAACAGCCTGGAATAAAAAATAAAATACCTCTTCCACTATTCTTCGTTGACCTTGACCGAACACCTGATGTCGAAAACATCTACAAGGTCACACGCCTTTATTATACAAGCGTTGTTGTAGAAAAGCCCTACAGCAAGCGCGACATCGTTCAATGCCATAACTGCCAGGCTTATGGCCATACGAAACGGTATTGTCATCACATTCCTAGATGTGTGAGGTGTGGTGAGCAACACAAAACAGAGGACTGTAGGAAGTCTAGAACTTCACCTGCAGTATGCGCTTTATGCCACCAAGGACACCCAGCCAACTACAAGGGTTGTCAAACTTACAAAGATTTGAAAACACGAATGTACGCAACGCCTAGAGAAGAAGGGACATCCAGGCCACCAAGACAACCCTATAGAACAGTGAACGGAAGAGTGTCCTATGCTCAGATGTTCAAAGGAGACACTGTAAACACTCAATCTCAGGCCCTGCCACAAGAATCTAAACCTCAAGAATTCACACATCAACCTCAAGACCCATATCCCTCCATCCCTGAACGTAGGTTAAATACTCACACATTCATTTCCTCCTTCCAATTCCACTGACCTCACAAGCCTATTGACATCTTTCCTTTCCGAATTTAGATCTCTCATTACCCCCCTTATTTCGCTACTTACCAATGTTATATCCAACCTCATTCCACTGCCAAGAAATCCATAAATGTCCTCAACCAAATTCCTCTCCATTCTCCTCTGGAATGCGAATGGTATTCGGAACCACATCAACGAACTGACAATCTTATTACATGACAAAAACATCGACATAGCACTAATAACTGAAACTCGACTAACCAACAAACGACAAATCAACGTGCCCGGCTACAATATTTATCGAACCGACCATCCTGATGGAACAGCACATGGTGGCACTGCCATAATTATCCATCGATCCGTTTCCCATCATTTGTTTCCCTTACCAAGCCATAATTTCCTACAATCCACAGCCGTAATAATCCAAACACCCCTTTACCCAATAACACTAGTTGCGGCATATTCCCCACCTAAAACACCCATTTCCGAATCCCAAATAATTTCCTTCCTGAATTCCTTAGGACACCACTTCCTCCTAGGTGCAGATCTAAATGCAAAACACCAGCAATGGGGAGCCAGATCCACAAATTCCCGAGGCGAACATTGCTATCTGCACTTAATTCCCATCGCAGCAACATCCTTTCACCTAATACACCCACATACTGGCCAACAGATCCCAACCGCAATCCCGACCTTCTAGACTTTTTCCTCCACAAAGGTCTAGGATCACTACACTGTTCTATTTCAAGGTTTGATGATCTTTCCTCAGACCATAGTCCTCTAGTCCTAACCGTTTCCACATCTCCCATTCCCAAATCATCCCCACCTTCATTTATCAGGGGGCCAGTTAACTGGAACCTTTTCCGTCAAATACTGGAAGATAATATTGACCTCAGAGTTTCCTTAAAAACACCTGAAGACCTCGACGATGCAGTGCATTCCTTCACTACCCTGATCCAGCAAGCAGCTTGGACTGCATCCTCACCTGATCGTCCCAAAAAATACCATAACATAAATCCTTTACCTCAAGATCTATTGGACCTAATCCATAGCAAACGTTGCTCTAGGACCCTTTGGCAAAGAACTAGGCATCCTGATGACCGGAAATCGTATAATTATTATTCCAAACAGGTAAAAAAGAAACTGGAAACTTTTAAAACCCAATCCTACAATTCCTACCTCTCCTCATTATCCGCTAGTGATAACTCCCTCTGGAACGTAACCAAAAAAATCCTTAAATTCCAGTCCATTTCCCATCCACTTCGCCGTGATGATGGTTCCTGGGCTTCGTCAGATGCGAATAGAGCAGAGGAGTTTGCTAAACATTTATCCTACACATTCACCCCTCACCCGAACTCCATCCCAGCCACACTGCTGAAGTTGAAGAATTCCTCTCTTCACCAATTCCTCTCTCTCTACCTCCAAAACCTGTTAACCCCTCTGAGGTCAAATTCCTTATAAACAAATTAAAACCCCGAAAATCCCCTGGATATGATCTCCTCACTTCACAAATCCTCAGACAACTTCCCAAAAAAGCAATCATATTCCTTACCTATCTATACAACTGCATCCTTCGCACAACCAACTTTCCTTTGGTGTGGAAACATTCCATAATCATCCTGTTTCCAAAACCAGGTAAACCTGTTAATAACACATCATCCTATAGACCGATAAGCTTACTCCCGATCCTCTCAAAAATCTTTGAGAAAATCCTTCTCAAACGCATCCTACCCATAATCGAATCCCACAACATCCCTTCTCATCAGTTTGGATTCCGCTCAAGACATTCCACTGTCCAACAAGGCCTTCGTGTTGTGGACCATATATCCTCTGCACTTGAAAACAAGCATTATTGCACTGGTGCCTTTCTGGACGTAGCACAAGCTTTCGACCGGGTGTGGCACGATGGCTTGCTTTTCAAGCTCAAAACCCATTTACCCCAATCCTTATACCTAGTCCTCAAATCCTACCTCTCAAATCGTTCCTTTCAAGTCCGTTGTGACACCGCATTCTCCACTTACTATCCAGTTGAGGCTGGTGTTCCACAAGGCAGTGTCTTGGGCCCAGTTCTCTATATCCTCTTCACTTCCGATATCCCTTCCAATCCCGATACATTTCTAGCTACATTTGCTGATGATACTGCCATTCTATCTTCCCACTCAGATCCTCAAATAGCATCTCTAAACCTACAATCTCACCTCTCTTTGATTGAGCAGTGGTGCAACAACTGGCGCATCAAAATCAATGAATCAAAATGCAAACATATCACTTTTACCCTGCGACGCAGATCCTGTCCGTCAATCCTTTTTAATTCAATTCCACTTCCCTACTCAGACACAGTCCGTTACCTTGGCTTCCTTCTTGACAAAAGACTAACTTGGAACCCACATACCAGACTTAAAAGACAAGAACTTAACCGACGATATGGCCAGCTGTATAGATTACTAAGTAGGACATCCCATCTTTCGATTGAAAATAAACTTTTAATCTACAAGACCATACTGAAACCTATCTGGACCTACGGACTTGAACTGTGGGGAACTGCTAAACATTCGAATATCAAACGCATCCAATCCTTCCAGTCCAAAGTACTTAGAACAATAGTCAATGCCCCATATTATGTCACAAACAAGACCCTACACCATGACCTTAACATCCCATTTGTCCTCGACATCATCCCAACCAGATTCTCAAACTTTCACCAAAACCTTATCCATCATCCAAATCCTCTAGCTCAATCCCTATCCAGCTCCCTTCATCCCTACAATCCTCCACGAAGGTTAAAACGGCAGTGGCCCAGAGATCTCTTGTAAATATGCTTCTGGAGTCCTGGCAATGGCCAGCTTCTCCACTCATGTCCCGAGCGTCTGTGGCTCTAGTGCCCTCTTTCAGTCTCCATTGGCTTCTAATACTAGTGATGCGGCTGGAAAAGTGGCACTGGAATCTCCTGGAGTCTTGCTTTGCCTTCCACATGTGGGGGAAAAAGCCTGGCTCGGAGATTCTTGGGCGAATGTATATATTGTATATAGGTATGATTGTGTTTATAAGTTTCTTTTTATGTTATTGTTTATTTTTTTTTCTTTTATTTTCTTTCTTCATCAGTATTATTTATTTACTTTTTATATTTATATTTATTTCTCTATTATTTGTATATATTGTTTGAATGAGAACTCTTAGCCCTAATACTTATAGCCCTCCAGTGGCTGATTGTATTATTATTCAATAAATAGAAAAAAAAAAAAAAATTAATAAATAGATAAAAAAAAAAAAAAAATTATCACAAGTGGATATTTTTAAAAACCCTAACTAACATAAGCAGCGGGCTCAGACCTTTACTATGAACAGATAGACAGAGTTAATACAGTTTTGAATGTATTTACTGTGAATAGCTAGAGAGATTTAATGCAGTTTCAAGTAAAAAATACTCCACTTTGGTCAAGAAAACCAAGCCTCTTTGCAACATGACATTACCCCTGCACGTTGTTATCATTTCACCAAGGAAAAATGATATCAAACAGTATCTTTGTTTCTAAATGCTTTGCTTCATTCTGGGTATATCTCTGATATTGCACCTTCCGATTAGAGTTTGTTGAGATTAATGGCTCATTTTTTAAAAGGCCGGATCTTTGATATTTACAAGGATGTAAAAATTGGATGTGAAGAGTTCTTTGCCTCAAAACCAAAGTAGCGGTAACAGCATCAAATACAAATACTCGCAGAATGATGGATGAAAGTAGTTGAAAAAGAGACTTTACTTTAAACATTAATATTCAATTATGTTTAAAAATTTTAATACAAAATAAAGCTATACTCATGTACAAGGATTTCTGTAACAACATGATATATATCAAATGTAAGTGACAAAATTAATTAAATATCTCGAGTTCAGCATCACATTAAACTAGAGTTAACTGTAACTAAAAATTATTTAGACTGGAAATAAAAGAATAAATTAATAATAAAAATTGTTTACCAAGAAAGCTTGTTCGACAGAAAGAATAGCCTTCGAATAATGAAATAATTTTTTTATGGCTGTGAGGTTCCAGCTCATCAGGCGAATTAATCGATTGATTGTTTTATCAGTGCCTTGTCCTCTAGTATAAAACTCACTCATAATTAATTTTACAATAAGTTCACCAACGACTGGTCCTTCATGCTGAAAAAAAAACAACTCATTATTTAGCTATAAAAAAAAGTGAAACAATCAATTTTATAATCGTCAGGGAGTTTTTAATAACAAATTTTTTTATGTATTTACTTCACTTTAAGAAATGTTTCAGACTTATATTGTCTACTTTGAAATACTTTATTTTTTATGTAGAATGTTTTATTATTTTAAATTACAATTGAATGTTCATTGTAAGTTTTTTAATTTTGTTTATCATAAATATAAGTTTTTTGGTCTCTTTTGCTTCCTGACTAACAAAGGTAGGGAAGCACTGCATTCGTGTGAGAAGTTAAAAAAAATTTTGTGCTCAGAATCGAAAATGACCACTCGCATTTTACATTTCAGACATCAAGGATCAAATTTGGTTCAGTATCTGTCTGTCCATTTTTTGTTCCATCCATTCTACTAAATGAAAACATACTTCAAAATACACATCACTACTGTTAGTGTAAGAGATCATATGTAATAATTTTCCAATTGTATTCTATTGATGCTAAAGGTAACATTTCGTAGTATGCAACTGATATAGGTAGCATGGTACTATGGAAAATAAAATATGCAATTACACTAATAAATCATAAAGAAATAATTAATTTTTATGCTCTCCTATATATAAAACACTCAATTTTTACATACGACTTTTTTCACCAACAGTAACGATTTACATCTTCAGTTCGTACATTTTTTGGATTTTTTTTTTTTTAATCACGATTCATCATTCATCAAATACGCGATTTTCATATGTAGAATTCTTTCACATATTAGTATTCGTTGATGAACAAAATTGGTGGATATCAAACCTACAAATGTTAAGGAATTACTGTATTTCCAAAAATAGCATCTCCCAGAGATTTTATTCTCCTAAAAAAATTATAGACTTTGAAATATAGATATTGTTCAACCAATGAAAACAGTGAGGAAGCTATACTGGCCTTACTTGCCAGATGGTTTTTTATAATTTTTTTCCTATATATATTTAAAAAAAATTATAATTCAATCAATTTATCATATCAAATTTATTATGCATTTTCTTTCATATCGTCTCATAGACTATCAATAACAGGATATAAAAAAACACATACCCATTCGCGCGCACACACACACATAGATGTAAAAGTAACTTTTAACTAAAAAAGATCAGTTGTCACTATTCTTAATGGTAATACTTAGAATATTAACTTTTTACTCTAAATACATCAAAACACATTATCATTCTGTGATATACTTGTATATCATTGCTAATGAAATATTTTGATGTTTTTATAGCCTAATCATATTTATACATGATAAAAGAAGACATGAGAATTTCACTCATAACAAAAAACATACTCACAGCTAATCTTACTACAAGATGTTTCAGAGGAACAACTTCCCAATAACGAAGTCGTATGTTAGCTGATTTTTCTTTTATTTTCAGAAGCAGTTTGACAACTGCTTTCCTTACTTTTTCATTTTCATCATGAATTGAGAGATACATTAATGGCAACAATGGTTCCAAAACAGCTGCTGATCCCATATTTGGTTCTTCAGCAGTACCTGGTGAACCTGAAATAAATTGAACACCAAATACATAAATCCAAAATGAATATAACATTTTACAGTTAATTTACTTTATTGCCAGGTAAATTCAGTCAAAACCATGACTTTAAATAATAAAACACACAAATTTATTAATATTATTCTTTTGATGAAGGACAAAGGAGGTAGGTTCATGAAGAGGAGGGAGGAAGCTATTGGTGATAAAGGCATTGGACATTTGCATTCAATAAGGCTCTATTTACCATCTTAATTTTACTAATATTTTAAACTTTAAAAAACTTAAGTATCACTTTTCGAGTCGGAGATCTTCTACAGTCCCTTAATACTATAAATCAAAACCCTCCTCTCCCCATCCAAAAAAAAAAAATTATAAATAAAAACCAACACTCAATGATCAACTCAGATTATCTCTTTAATAACAAAATAAATCTATTAAAAAATACAGAAATAAAACTTACATTAAAAGAAATATTTAAAAAAGGGAAAAAGTTATTTATTGAGAAATTTGGCAGTTTCTTCATAGCCTTCAAACTGAATATCATTTAATCTTGATTGTTAAACATTTTTATTTATGTTCATTTTGGATAGAGAGAGAGAGAGAGAGAGAAATACTTTATTTTCATATAAAAGCGTGCTGCCAAATTACATTGTGTTGCTAGACATACAACACACCCGTTACTCCTTCGCCAATCAGTAAAATTACTTACAAGAAAAGGTGACGGACGTGGGGTCACTGATTTCAATGAAACTTTTTTTTAGTGATACTAGGTCGAAAAATAGTTGGCCCATGTCCGAGGCATCTTGCCAATGCGCTCTAGAAAGCGAGAAAAGAAATATTTTATACAATTTTATTATTTTTTTATATTAATGTTTTTTGAATTTGCTCTGAATGGATTTGTAGGTTATTATATATCAATCGGTTTTTTTTTTGGTTTTTTAAAATATAAAATAAGAAACCAATATTGTTAATTGTTTTAAACGAAGTCTAGTGTACAATAAATTTTAAAAACCCAAAGAGGCTAGTAGTAGATATCAGTTAAGTAAAGTAAAATTCATTTGTTTTTCGATTGCAATAATACATTCAAGAAAATTTAACAGTTGTAACATCTACTATAATGCTATACACATAAAAGGATCTCATAACAACTAATTATAGAAGGCAAAATATTGAGAAAATAATTTAAATTTTTCGACTGACACGGAAAGTTTTATTTAAGGGTTATAGAGACGTGAAAAACGATCATTTTTTTTTTTTATCCCAAAAAATATATTTCATGGTATAAGATGTACAATACATGCTTTATTCTTAATTTTGGAACCAATCTCGACAAAATGACAGATTCTGTGAATTCAATCTTACTTTCCACACCAATTCGATGTTTTTAAAAAAACATATATATTTAGTATACAGCTACATAATGAGTAAAATATTGAAATAATTAGTAATGACCTATCGAGTAAAATGGGTTAAAATATATTTTTAAGGAGAAAAAAGTTGAGATTTGTATTTAGCACCTCGAAGAAATCTTGAATGCGAATTTTCATAACAATTTATAAATAAAATCTTTTCTCAAAATTTCCACCAAGCTGGAGCCTTTGATTTTTTTTTCCGAAAATCACAAGTTCTGATAACTTCATCATGGCTCCAGTTATTCATAAGAAATTTTTTTAGGGCTTTATAATATACAAGAAATGACACAAATCAGAGGTCCATAAATAAATCAGGCTTAGAGATAAAAAATAAAAACGTTTGGGAGTTTTTATGGTACTAATTCACTAGCAGGCAGGGTCGAAACCTCACTTATGTTATCTAATGCACATCACATAACCTCCCTCTTCTTAAACCACCAAACCTTTCAGTTATTACATTGTTTATTTTTCAGTTATTCCCTTATTACGTTCACTTATTAAATTCTTTTTGGCCTGTTTGTGTTTATTTTTCATTTTTGTTTTAGTTTATTTTCGTCAATGTTCTTTAAGTGTTTTTTTATTATTTCATTTTGATCTTTTATATATTATATGATTATGGGGCTCAACTAAGTGAAGAAATAAAATACATAGAGGAATTGTCAAACAACACCTCGATTCATATTTATGCGAATTTTTGTGGCGGCGGGTTCACAGAGAACGAGTTCCGGGTTCCTCGCTATTTTAAATAGCATAAAACTATTTTGCCTACCAAAATAAATAAGACGAAGTGAAAATAAATTGTACATATGTTCTTTAAGTGTTTTTTATTATTTCATTTTGATCTTTTATATGTACATATCTTCTTTAAGTGTTTTTTTATTATTTCATTAATATATGTGATGTAAAATAAAAGGTGTTTTTTGTTATTACATTTGTTTTTGTTTCTGTTTACACTTTCAATAATACGAATATAATACAATAATACAAAGATACGAATTACGAGAAGGCTTATCACTGCCTTATCGGAATTATCAGTGTTCAGGTTATAAACATTGGCAGATAGCAGTCAGTCCCAGCCTGCTAGTGAAGAAGTACCGTTTTTATTTATTTATTCCTTATAAAGGCATAAAATCTGAAAGTTATTGATGTAGTTTTGAAGAGCAATAAATAATTTGTCTTTCCAACGGTTCAAGTAGTGTATGAGAAAGTGTGGTGGGCCATGGGTTGTTTATTCCTAATTTAAACGACATAAAAAACACAACTTAAAATGAACAGTCTATCCAGATTTATAAATCAAAATTAAACTAGTCTATCCAGATTTATAAATCAAAATCAAACTAGTGAAAAATAACATATGACTAAGTACGCCTAAGCAATTGATGAAGTTCTACAAACCTGATAATAGCGATGAAACATATTTTCATTTTTTATTTAAATATATATATCCAGTAATATACACTTCAATAATATAGAGATAAGTACTATTGGCATAATATCGTGTTTATTTATTGTAAAGTTTGTTTAATGTTATTATTATTATTATTGTTGAAATTAAATTTCTTATGTATTGGATTTATGAAGTATTAATGTTTGTTTTTTGAAAACTCTATTTGAACAAATGAAACAGTGAAGGAAGAAATTGCTAGAATGGATGTATAAATGTATAATAATACTGTAGATATATTATTACTCATTTATTTTAGTTATAAATGTAATGAATAATTATTATTAACCAGTGGTCGTTCGACCATAGTCATTAAAAATTTGAGGAAAACATATAATTAAATAAAACATAAATTCAATAAATAAAGAGTAAATCACAATTCAAAAATCTTCATTAATTAATATAAACAAAATTACAATTTCAATTAAAAATCAAGGTCAAACAACTTAAAATTATTTATAAGTAATACAAAATAGACTCATTCAAAAATATTTAATTTCCACTTTAATTTATGTGTGTTATTATCACAATAAATTAATGTTATGATTAAGCAAGTAAAAAATAAATTTAAATTAGCAATTTAAATTCACTTTAAATCTATTTTTATTCAGAACTTCTCTGTAAACAATGTTCTTTTAAATTGAAAGATTTATTTAATTTAAATTGAATGTTCTGTTTTTGTTTAGTGCACAGCCTTGCACATTGCCATTTAAAATATAAAAATTGTCCATGCAAAATTATTGGACATCACAATAATACAAACATTTTTACAAAACTTTGACCGTACGATTTGATTATGGTTAGCTATTAATAAGAACGTTGTTCTTTGAAAGTCGAATGTAAGTATTGTGTCAGAAAATATTAAATTAATTCTTGGAATTAAAATTCTTTAATTTAAAGTAGCCCCCCTTAGTACTCACTCCAATTCGTGTTCCATTAACTAACGCTTGTCCAGTATTTAAGTTAAGAATGAGTATAACTATAGAATTTACTTTTAAATTTAATTTATCAGTCAACATTCCACTAACATTCAATGATATAATCTCTTCAAATAATAGTCCCGATTACTTCATTAAATGTAAAATTTTCGATTTATCAAAAACCAAAATAATGGAAATCGACTTTGCAGAAGAAAACATACTAAATATTTAAAATGATATATCTCTACACTAAATAGTCCGATTTCGATGATTTTTATTTTGTAGGAAATCAAGAAAGCTTTCAAATAAATATTGGTATTATCAATAAAAAAATTTGTAGATTTTGAGTTATTCGCAAATAAAATACTGAATTCACCACAAAAAAGATTTATGCAGCTTGTTTTCGGGAAAGTATGTTATATACATAAATTATAAATGTTGGGAAGACTTTAGCCAAGTTTTATTGAAATTGATGAAGCCGTATTAGCGCTACAGTCTAAAGCGAATCATGTTTTTCAGCCGCCATTCTGAAAGGAAAGGCCTGATGATAATGAAACGTATACAAAAACACTTCTAAATATTATTGCAATGTTGTGTCAAAATTTAAAAGAAATTGGTGAAGAACTTTCAGAGATTAGCAGTTTTTAACAAACTACCATTTACATTTTTATTTACATGCGATTTAATATTTTTATTTATTGATAACACTAAAGCTCGTCAATATCTATTAAACAAAAAAAGAAGGAAGAAAATCAGTTGAATAAGAGCTGAGTAAAAGGGGCTGAACCGCTTTGGGTTTGCCTATTATATAATGATGATGATTACACACAGACCTCGACAGACAGAATTTTATATTGTCTATGTATTGTTGCTTGTATATATATATATATATATTTTACTTCATATTTTTTTTAAAAGTATAATAAACGCGTTTTCATTCATTCATTCAATATAGAGATAAGAACTTTTTAACAAAATGTTTTATGTAAACACACAATAATAAAATAAATATACCTAACAACAACCATAAGCTAAAAAATGATACTAACCATTAACCATCATCTCGAGACCTTCGAAAACAGCTTTGCGTACAAGGTAAGTTGATCCATCATTTGCCAAATCTTCCAAAAGTACTTTCATTATCGCCCTTACATGTGTGACAGAAAATAATTCCAAACTCTTTGTCAAATGAGCGCACACTCCCTAGACACATTAGAAAAATCAATACAAATTACAAATTGAAGTAAACAGTTAATATATAATTAATAAACACATGAAATGCAAGCTGTATTCAATAAATTTTCCAACAAAATTAAGAGAATAAAATCAGCTATAATGAACTAATCCATTCAAAATGCATATCAGTTAGGGAGTTGCTATCACATGAAATTCGATCAATGTTTTTTACACAGTTAAATAATATATATTACATTGCAATTAAAATAAGTAAGAAATTTAAATTTACAAAAAAAAAAAAGTGATCGTACTAATCAAACTTCTTAAAGTATTTAATTTTTTAAAAACATCAATGAATTATGCTCATTATCTCTCCCCCTCTCCTTCTATAACTATCATTCCAAAAATTTGAATAAATATTTCAAAATATAAAAAATTCATTTCTTCTCATTTTCTAAAAATTATTATTTGAATAATAATCCTCAGTTTTATTTAAAAGAAGAGGAATAGCTCAGTAAGTTAAGACACTTGACTTCAGGTTTGCATCGATTAGTGGCAGATAAATTCGAATTTATATTCGAATCAGTCATGGTTTAAATTTTGGAACACTCATCTGAGGCGTTCTACAGAGGACCAAGCTTCTATACTGTGGGTACCCGAACTGTCAAGAAAACCTGACGACTAAGCATGATTCGCTGGTTAAGGAATTTTTCTTTTTACAATTTAAAAGGACAATACCGAAGGAAACTGGAAAGGTCCTTTATGAGTGATCTACTTAAATAAACATGTAAGTAAATTTTAATATAAATTGCAAATAAATTCACCAGAGAAGGGGTGCCACTGGGTATAACCTCTATCCCTGTATAACATATCTGTTTTTTAATTTCTTCAGTCCATCTGCTAATTGTAAGCCATGTGCTTGATAGGTTTAGATCAAAATACAAAAGTAAATAAATTAAAATAAGGTCTTCATGAAATGTTATTGAATTTAGTTTAGTAACTTTGTGATAAAAAAACTACCAATGCATTGATAAAATTAATGAGGCAAAACATTAAAAATTACAGATTTTTTTATAATAATAATATATTAAATTTCCTAGTGGTTAAAAACATTTTAGATCCGAGAGAAATGTAATGAAACTATTACCTTAAGAATATTTTACCATTAAACCAAATAAGTCTAAAATTATGATAAGTCCTAGTACCTTTATAGTAATAACACGGACAAAATGAGATTCATCTAAAAGCAAGTCTTGTATTTCTTTTATTTGACGATCCATATAATTAGCATTATCTGGTTCTGATAGGTAGGGAATTTCTAATGGAAACACATCTAGGAACACCTGAGCTGCATTGCATCTTTCCCAGGGATCATTACTCTGAAAATAATATTTTTAAAAAAATAAGTAAAATTTAACAATCACTAAATCCAAATATGACACATTATGAATAAACGCGAAATTATTTTTAGTTGAACCAAATAAATAATTAACCGAGCTATTAGTCTCAATCAGATTCTTAGAAAAATTATTCCTGAGGACATATGTATACAAAAATTTGCAAAAGTATACAAAAGTTGCACCTTGACTACTTTTTAAATAATAATTATTTTCATTAAATCTAAAAATAAATAAACAATAGTTATAAATATAAGAATGTCAATGTTATAAAAGTTTGATTTAATTAATAACCTTACTTTGAGTGCCCTCCATAGGATTGGAGTATAAAGTCTATTTATGACATCACTAAATTTCTTCAATCTTCTAGACTGATGTAAAACTGAAAGAATAGATAATCCACTGGCACCAGCTTTTGGTAAATCAAGAGTTCCACGGCTTATTTTTATAACTTTTAACATTATATCCTGAATACTACTTTCAATTTCCTGAAAAATATACAGTTTCTATTTATTTCTGATCCACTTATACAATTAAACAGAAAGAATCCAGAAAAAATGTTTATATATAAAAGCAATAACTAAAATAACTAATTCTACAGTCCACACATCACAAAAATTTTAAAAAGGAAATTAAATTTTATTTTGGGACACTTAGTTCTCAGACAATAACTAAGACGAATAATTACAGTATTATATGTCTAGCATAAAACAATAATTACAAAATAAGTAAATTATAAAATTATGAAACTAACATAAAAATTAAAATCAAGCGTAAATATATATATAAATATATAATGTAATGCATTATAAAGTAAGAGAAGCTGGATAGGCGTAGCAGTAATTTAAGTAAACAAAAAATGATTTAAATTGTTTGCGCCGCAGATGTTTCAGAGTTAATCAGGGCTAAGCAAAGACAAGACAACATTATGATGAGAAACAGAAAGAAACATATACTTACTAGCATATAAAAGTGAGTAGAACATAACATTAATAAGCACTTTATTACTTAATTACTTTGTTACCATTACTTTATTACTTCATAAGTTTATATATCATATTTGGTGGAGAAATGATTGACTGATAGATATATGATTATTAGATTATTATAGTAAGAGAAACTGGTTGGGGGTTGCAGTCATTGAAGAACACAAAAAATTATTTATTGTCTTTGTGTTGAGAGCTATGTTCAACTATTAATTATTTAAATAATTATTTTTACATAAACCTATCTAATTATTTCCACAATATTTACATACTCTAATCTAATTTATTAAATATTTTCAAGTATTTATTGTCTATTCACATTTTGTAAATATTTTATTTAATGTATGGACACAATGGCATTTACTTTGTATTTATAATTTATTTTAAAGGGAAAACAGTCCCAGGATAATAAAAAATATTTTCATTTCATTCAATTGAAGAAGAGTTAGACATCCATTCACTGGGACAAATACTCAAGAAAAGGAAGAAAAAGGGAGAAAAGATTTCAAGAATTGTAGTAACACCATTTAAATTGATAAATCAATAATACAAATATAAAATAACACCCACCTCTCTTATATTATCTTCTTTTGCCATAGTCCAAGCAATAAAATAAGCATCTCCATAGCCAGAAGCAACTTGTTTATTCAGCTTAGGTGCAAAATTCAAAATTATATCATGAATTTTCTTAACAAATGCTACATTTCTACTCATTAAGTGACCAATGATATTATGACCTTCTTTAAATTTTATATAATTTTGATTTGAGACGGTCAACATAAGTTTATCAACAAGATTTTTATGAGTTGGATCTAAAAGATTTATACCTTCCAAAAATTTATGCATAGACCAAACATGTTTTATATCAACTTTACGAACTCCTTTCTCACCCTCAATGTTAGCTAAAGTTAAATCAAGAAAATAAATAAGAGTTATAGATCCAATATAAACTTCATTTTCATCAAAATCAGTGAGTTCCATGAAGCGTAAACTAAGTAATGCTATATGATTTTTAAGTTTTGCATCTATTGTATTCGTCGGGTGATCAATGAGAAAATAAACAGCACTGTTGATAATAGCACGGAAATTAACAGAATGAGAATAATCTTTAAAATCTAAAATAGTTTTTAGATAAGTTGTTATAGCAAACATAACTTTAGCATTCTTCTCTTGATCTTCTGTATCATAGGTAAGTATATTTTCTGTTATTGATTTTACATATGTCCTCAATTCTTTTAAACTTTCTTCTATATTGTTCTTCTTTTCACAAGATATGTGGGGCTGAAAAAATAAAAAATAATGTTAATAAATAAAAGGGGCACTACTAAGCAGATGTAAGAATAACTTAGGAATCACAGAAGACAGATGATAAAAAAGAGAGAGTGCAGGTTAAGAGGATGAGACATAATCCTCAGAAGAAATAAGTTGATTTGGAAGAGAAAGACAAGAATGAAGATAATAAGGAAATGAAGAGAAATTGGTGAGGAACTAGATTACAGTTGGCCTACAGAGAGAAAAAAAATGCTCAGAATAATGCCAGGAAAATTATTTAACCGTTACATAACTAATTAGTATCAGTAGGGCCCAGTTTATTATCCTCAAAGCTCACTATGCTAAAATGGCCCTATGGGAATGCACTCAAATTCTGCATAGCCTTCCGAAGGTTGAAGCCTACTTTGATGACATTATTTATTATAGTACAATTCTTGAAGAATGTATCAGGAACTTAATTCCTTCTTTGAAACGTCTCAAGAAGCATGATCTGTAATTATACAAAAGCAAATGTTTCTTTAGAAATGTCTAAAAAGTTCCAGTGGCCTCAAAAATGTTATGTTTCAAGAATGTAGATGAATAAAGACGTTTCTTGGAATTGGTTACATTTCATGCTTGCAGAATTCAGTTTGAAGCCACATATCTACAGAAGGACAAAAACAATTGTTTCATCGGCTGTCACTGAAGTTGCATTCTTAAATCTTAAGAGAGAATAGAGCAGAGAAAGGGTTCTTATGCTGCTCAAACCGTTGAATCATCTGACCCTTACCACTAGATGCCAGACCTACTAGTAGTAATAGGCACCATCTCTAACCATGATATCAGTGGTATGGATCTACCTAGCATAGCACATGCTATTAGATCTTGATAGAGAAGCTTTGGCTATGATCTACATTACAACCCATTTTTGATATTAATTTTATTGCGGATAATAAAGTATTATCTCGTATTTTACCACCCAGATCGTCCTTGGCCACAAAGTCTTGCTTATCTCTTGAGATAATTTTTTTTTTTTTCAGTAGTTAAGACTCTCCAATGCAAGGAAGGCAAACATAACAAAAACGGTCGGTCTCGTTCACCAGTATTCTCAGTTAATTGTGCACCAGTGATAGTTGCGGATACTACAGTTAATGTGTTATTTGGTGAAAAACTAATGGATTAATCCATGTAAAATCATCCAATTTGAATTAATTTTGTAACTTGAAATTTTTTATTTTTATAATTTTTTTTACCAGTTATTCCATATTTATTTAAGAGTTCAAAACCATAGTTTAAAAAAAATTTAAGGTTCACAGTTTTTCTCATTGGCCCTTTTTAAATTTGCTTTTAGACTTAAGAAATGTCTGCAACACTGGTAATTTTGTATACATCAAATCAAAATAAAAACTTTTTTTATACATTTCCATTCATCAATACATCACCTAAACAGAAAGGAAATTGGTTTAAAAAAATCATGGAAATAGACTTAAAATAAAACATTTAGGACCACAAAAGTGTAATAATGGAAAGACCAACCATAATTTTTTTTAATATCTAGCCCTGTGATCTAATTGAAATTTCAATCTTGAAAATCTAGTCATTTATTTAATATATATGTTGCATAATCGGTCGTTATTTTCAGCATTTTTTGATGTTGAATTTCACAAAAGAGGACAGACTGTGAATAAAAAAATTGATACAGTCTATACACCTCTTTATGGTATATATGTGTGGTAAGAATTTGATCACTGAGACTAAACTCGTTATTTAAATGATAAGTCCGAATCATTCAAAATGTGTAATTGTGACACTGAATCCAGTTTTAGTTTATCATTCCACAAATTTCATGGTAGGTTTATAAGTCCCGAAAGCAGTGGCTGAAGATTAGACACTTGGTTGATCCAGTAAGAAAAAATTGTTTTGACATTGCTTGATGCCATTAGTATCTCCTGTAGAACTCTATTTGCAAAGGATTCAGTTCCTATCAGCCAGCAACTCCTGTGAATTTTAGGTTGTTCAGACAGCAAATGCCACTGGCCTACCTCTCTGATTACCTGCATTAAAATAGTTTACAATATAATTGAAAAACGGACTAACTAAAAAATCTTAATCAACTTCACCAAAAATAAATGATAACTACAATATCAATTCAATCTTATTTGCGTACCAATTACCACAAAATTTAAAATAAATAATTTGCAGGATCCAACTATCTTTCAGTCATGTTTTCTAAAATAATAAAACAGAGTTGACGTAGAATGGCTGCAAACAGAGAAAAATCAGTACAGTTTAGGACTGTAAAATCATGCAGATAAGTAACTTATTTCCACAATTTGAGCCTCATCTAATTTTTAACAGTTTGAGACAAACTGTTTTACAAAGATTAACCTTTCTGACAAGCATGTCAGAAATATCGTTTCACAAGGTTCAGGACTTGATTGAAGAAGTAACAAATCCCCAAATTTCTGATCATGTTCCATCCCTCAGAACCTCTTCAGTACTGACAAGGGCGACTTTACAGCATAATTAAGTGTTTTATTCTCATACTATGAACTAATAGCGTTTGCACACCAAAAATTTTCAAAATATTTTTAATAGAATTCAATAAAGATATTAAACATTTATGAGACAGTAAAGATCTTAAACATTTATGAAGATAAAAAAAAAAGGCAAAGGTATGAAATAAACCACAAATATGAGGCATGATGAAAAACAATGATATTAATCACAATGTTGTTCACCTTCGATGACAAAATTGTTTTTGTTTCTGGGAGAGAATCTCCTACAGATAATAATACTGAGGTTGTTTCTTCAAGCATATCCACTCCTGGAGTAACAGCATCAGTATTTCCCCTTCGTTTTTTCGCTGCCATGATTTAAAACTTTGATTATTAAGATAGTTAACTTATGTACGATTATTAAGAGATATACTTGTAACAAAGGTCACATTAAGAATTGTTAGTTTACAAACTCAATAGGTAAACAATAGACATTCACGATTTCTGTCAACCTTTCGCGGTCATTTTTATCAAAGGCTTTTGGCGGATAGGTGGCAGCAAAGAGATATAAAATTGTCCCAATGTTTGATCTGGTAAAATTTAACTTATTTAAAGTTTAATTCCAAAGCCTTTCGAAAACTTTAATTTCTGGTATTAAGAATAGTTAAAGTGAATAAATAAACCTTTTTTTAAATGTTCTGTTTCCGCACGGATGTTATGAAACATTTCAATGTTTGCATTGACAGCAACTAGAGACATCTTTACAGATGTTTTAAAGAAGTCCATTTACTGATTTTTTAAAGTTATTGATATATAGATAGAAAATAACTTTATTCTGGGAGGAACTCCCTTGAGAATAATAAAATAGTACAAAATTAAAAGATTACATTTGGCCGAAATAAAAACAATAGAAAAAGAAAATATTGGGTAAACCTGCTATACACAAAACAAATAAAACTGGGACAAGACATTTAAAACTGTGTACAGTGATAAAATAGTATAAATATACATATATAAGAAAAAATACATTAAATTCTTCTTTAAAATAACCTCTGTGTTTCTACTGAGAAAAATTACAGCCGAATTTGGCAATATATTTGGCAGTACCTAAATGCTGAATGATATGTAAATACATCATGATCATTTCTTAACGTAATTGTAGGTAAGAATTTAATTGTATATATAAAAAAAATAGTAATAAACTAAAAATAGATGCATTCAGTGGCATCGAGATTATAAAAATTTTAAATATCCCTAGCAAAGAACAGCACAAACATTTGATGAATGATATGAAATCAATGTATAATGTCAAAAGGTTGGCAGCTATCTGACTGTTTTTGTGATAGGAAATGGAATAAGAGGGTTTTGAATATGGATATGGAGGATATATGGCGAATTTTGATAGGGTAGGAATTCCAAAAATTGAAAGAATGAGCAATAAAGGAGTTTTGAAATGAAGTAGATATGTGAGAAGGAATGTAAAGGTCAGAAGGTCGAGGTCTTGTAGGGGGCGGGGTGGCCGAATAGGCTAAAGCGTGTGTAACAGCACCGCTAGTTGCCTGGCAACCGGATAACAGAGATTTGAGATGATATATAAAGTACGAGTTCGCGTACCGGTGCCGGAGGGGATTTTAAATTTCCCCGGCCCGGGAAAATCTCCCGTATAGCCTAAAAGGCGAGGTAGGGAAGAACAAAAAAAAAAAAAAAAAAAAAAAAAAAAGATCGAGGTCTTGTGGAAAGGGAATGGACTGAGGGACTTGAATTGGAGATTGTTGGCGTGAGAAGAATGATTTGCAAGAGAAACGTACCTAGGAAATATTGTCTTCGTCCGCCACTGAACATATCAAAGTCCTGACGTCTCGGTGGTGAGCCGGGGAGGGAGAAGAAAAGGTCCCAATTTTTGGATTTTCGCTTATATCTCGAAAACGGTGCGTCGCAAGAGACATTTTTCGTATAATAAATCAAAGTTTATAAAATTGTCTAAAACTTTTATTTTGTGGGTTTTATCCGAAGCCTTTTTCGAGCTACACGCTCGGAAAAAGGTGAAATTTCGAAAAAAATATTTATGATTAATTATTAATCATTTTGTCTCAAATTTTTTATCAAACATTCCTTCATATCTTTTTTTTTCTACCTGCCTTGCCTTACAGGGGGGTTGTAGTAGCAGTGGGGTATGCCACTACTGGCAGTATAGGTCGATTTACTATTAGACTTGTTTGGGTGCACAAGCCCACGCTTTTCTTTTTCTCCATTCTTCCACCTGAAGCCGGTCCTCGAAGCATATGCAGCTTGTCTTAACTTCCATCTCTTCTTCCCAAATTAAAATGTGTAGAGCCCACAGCATCTTTCCACCCGTATACGAATTCTCTATAATGTGGGTAATTCTCTCTGCTCATTAGCTGGGGGAACATGGTCTCTGTCAGTGTATATATTTCCGTCTCTCTCAGGAGTTTAGCTCTTAGTGCCTCATAGGCAGTGCATTCGACGACCACATGTTCGTCGGTCTCCGGAACGTTGCAGTTGGGTCATATCAGATAAATATTCTTCCCCTGTTTAGCGAGTTTCGCTCGGAAGCCCTCATGTCCCGTGAGGAGTTGAGACACCCAGTAATCCTGGAAGAACCATCTTGCATCTAATCGTGACTTGACCACAGGGAAGTACTTTCTTAGGGTGGCTCCCTTCGGAGTTGCTATCCATCGCATGTTCCATTGGTCAACTGTGTCCTCCCTGATAATTATTTTCCATTTTCTTGGGTCTTCTTTAATTCTTGTCTTTAGATGTTCTGGTAGATCCGTCGCACCTCCTCTTTTCAATTTTGAAGAGCTAATAGTCTTCTCACAGGAGGAGATCGAGAGGTGTCCTCCCTGCCAGTACCTGCACTGACTCATGAGTTACCATTCTACAGGCTCTAGTGGCCTGAAGTAAAGCCAATCTCTGAATCGATGGTAGCCTATTCTTCTGTCGGTGCTAGAAGTTTAGGTTCTAGGTTGTGGACGCAAATCTCAGAACACCCAAAACTACTCCTTTCTATATAGTCATTGTAGGTATCTGAGACCCCTGAAGCCGTCTCCGACACGACTGAGTCCATTTAGGGCCACTATGATTCTAGTTCTCATATAGTCCAGGTGAGGAGTCACGTTGAACTTTCGACCAATTTTTATGCTAAGGTAGGTGACAACCTCAGTTGGACATATCCTTTCTTTTTCTATACTCAATATATGATTTTCCGTGTCAGTCGTGCCCCTCGATAGAATTGCCTGGGTCTTTGTTGCAGCCATCTTCAACTTCTTCTTCGCGTACCATCTTCTTAGAAAACTGACGCATTGTTCAGCTTCTGCTTTCAGACCGGCTGTCTATGCTATTTGAGTCCACCACGGCAGCCAAATCGTTAACATAGGCTGTGACAGAGAACCGTTCCTCTTCGAGCTTCTCCAGCAACTTTTCAAAGACCAGCTTCCACAAGGCAGGACCCAGAACAGATCCCTGCGGGCAGCCCCTCTCGACGATGTCTTCTACTTCAAAGAATCTGCCTCTAATTTTCAATGTCCGGTCCTAGTGGTTGCTTCTCACTAGGTCATACAGGTTACTGGGAGTTTCATACTTCTGGAGTTGCTGGAGAACACTCGGCCACCACAAGCTGTCAAATGCAGAGGGTATGTCGAACAGGAGAAGCATGGCATACCTCTCCGCTCTTTCTTATACGTCATGACGCACTCGCAATATGACATTTGCGGTTCCCTTGCCTTTAGTGGATCCATATTGCCGTGGATGGCTGAATCTTGATAAGACTGGACGAAGGCTCAAGACCACCAGGTTTACCGATTCCTGCTCATTACAGGGAGGAGACAAATAGGCCTGTATGATTTGGCAAATTGCTTGTCCTTATCTCTTCCTTTGTAGAAGATTCTGACAGCAATTTTCTAGCTTCTTGGAAAGTATCTCCTATCTAGGCAGTCGTTGAAAATCACAAGCAGCCTATTCTCTAAATAGCCTATTCTTGAGCATTTCCACATCAATCGCATCTAAACCTGGGACCCGCTCAGTCTTTTGCCTTTTCACGACACTACGGAGGTCCCAAATGTCCCATGATAGGCACCACTAGCGGATCCAGGATTTAATTTTGGGGGGAGGCTTCTGATATTTTTTTTATTACTGATATTATATTTATTACGACAGATTTTTTTTTCATAAATCTTCATAAAAATAATTTGGAATAAAAAAGAAATTAATTAACTACCCATATGAAATGGTGTCTATATGAGTGGTTCCTGAGGTCCTATTAAATGTAATTAAACGAACAAGAATACTTTAAGAGATAGTTTTTAATATTTTTTCGTGTAAAGTATGGTTATATTTTAACATTTTGGGGGGGGGGCTTCAGCCCGAAAGCCCCCCTCCCTCCCCCCCCATAGATCCGCCTGTGAAGGGCACATGTCCGCCTCAGGCGGGTATACCGTGGTTCTTCTCACAAATGTATGGTCATTATCATCCTGTGATAGATCATACCTGGGATATGTCTCTTTAATAAACATCTTTGCTGTTTCCTCCAGAGTGGCTGCCTGAGTGCGCTCTTACTTCAGGACTGCAATGACTTGCTGTGGGGTCAGTTTTCCAAGTGCCACACTGTATGGGATACCCCAGGGATTCTTCGCTGACTCTTCCTGGACGAATTCATCTCATGATATTCGTTTCTGTGAGCGCACCTCATTCCGGTACACCCTAGCTTTAAACTTGTACTCCTCACGAAGTGTTGCACGCCTCTCTTCGTTACTACATCTCTGATATGACCGCCGGGCCTTGTAGAGCTCTCTTTTCAAGGTGGCTAAGGCCGGCGACCACCATGGGAGAGGTTGTTCTCTTGCTTTGCGTTCCTGGAGGGATTCTTCTGTGGCATCCCTAATGACTTCAGTAATCCTGGATACCGTGTAATCAAGGTCGTCCGTATTATCAACATCCACGGGGTCCCACTCTTCATCCACTAGCTTTCCCTCCATTGCTGACAGGAGGAAGCTCCAATCTTCTCTTCGGGTCACATATCCTCTGTCTATACCCTGGAAGCATCTTGCGTCCTGTATCAGGTCAAATGCGTTATGGTCGGAGCTCGCTTCCGATATGAGGATCCAGTCGCCAATATGTCCTATCAACTTCGGGAAGGCCAACGTAAGATCTATCCAACTCTGTCCCCTTGGTCCAGAGAAAGTTGGATTGGCAGACACGTCATTAACCACTAGCAGTTGTGGCTTCTTACAATGAATTCTCCATGTGGAGTTGGTTTTCGAACAGATGATCACATTCCAATATCTTCCTGTGATCGCTTCCATTGTGGATATACCCTCTCCTATATCACTTCCGTTCGGTTACAGCTCTTTTATGATTTTTCGTAAGATGTAATTCTCAGAAAAAGTTGTTCTTATCATATTCTTGACCCACAATTTTTGTTCATTTGTCTAATAAAAGTGTGTGGCCACACTTATTTATTATTAAATAAAGTAGAAAAAAAAATCATGTTACTTCAAAAATTTAATGTTGTCTTTTACAGATAAGTCTCATGATAATTTTATTCTATTTTGTTACATTAAATACATACAATTATCATTGTTCTTAATAACTTGTTAACATTCACAACTTTATATGAATTCATGTTTTCATCCACTTTGGACATCAGGGTCTAGGCAGAGATTGTTTGTCCATGGCATCTTTACCCTGAGTAGTGGTACACTGTGGGCCAGAACCCTCTACCTATCCTGCACACCTTCCACATCCCTATAAATTGCTTATACCCTTGCAACTATTTATCTTAAAAAATCCAAGTCCCCCCCCAAAAAACTGAACACACTATATCTCAAAATGTTGGATTGGCTACTTGAGTTAGTTTTTCGGTCACTGAAATTCAGCATTCAGTTAAATTTCGTCATTATTGACATTTTATTAAAACTGAATAGTCAGAGAATAAAAAAACATGAAAAAATGGTTTAGGCAATAAAAACACTGGTTAAGTCATTTTATTCAAATTGATGTTGAAAATCAAGTCGTTGGTAAACAAATCGTCAACCATAACAAAAATTTCCTTGAAATAAAACATTTGGACAGTACATTTCTCATTCTAAATCAGTGATTAATTTTTAAAATATTTGAAATCTTCCTTAGAAAAAGCGTTTCATCATCAAGTGCCTACTTTCGTCTACCAAATCATTCAAGATTCATAAATGGAATAGTTATAGGGCTATTATAATACAGTTTTTGGTATAACTTTTGTTTGTATGTCTAATAATAATGCGTGCAGCCACACTTAAAATCCAATTATTAAATAAAGGAGAACAAAATAAAAAAAAAAAATCATGTTACTTGAATTTTTTTTTTTTATCTACTTTATTTAGTAACTGGATTTAAAGTGTGGCTACTCATCTTATTAGACAAACGAAAATATAAACACTATATAAGTAATTTGGAGCAAAAACTCTCAAGTTCAATTCAAGATCTCGTAACTGTTATTAATCACAATTTTTATAATTAAGAGATATTGGATTTAAAGATACATATAATAATAAACAACATTTAGTAAATTATTTAATCTTAATTTCACATTATAAAATATAACAATAAATTCAATATTTGTAGAAGATAAAAATAAAATCTAATCGGAATCTTTAAATGAAACCAAACACTACTAAATGCTTAAATCAAAATGTTGACATTATCTAAGGTATCTAAACATTTCTACATTCATCACATGTGTAACTTAAAAATACAATCATCATCTTATTTTTAATAGTATAAACTATTTATAATTAAAATAAAAATATAAAAAAAATAAAAGAAAGCATACAAATCATAATGAAATAAAATGAAGTGAATGAAAAATGAAAAAAAAAAAAAAAACAGTCAAGTCTTTTAACTTACAATAATATACATTTCACTTAATAAATATAAACCTATCTAATAAAGATTTTTGATATAATCATCAAACAAATAAACTGAGAGCCCAGCTTGGTTCTGCATCTTGCTGTCTTTCTTAGATGTCTTGATAAGATTCATCAAATCATTGGAATGTCCAGCTAAATCTCTGATGATTTCTGTGTGCTTGCTAACAAACTTATTTTCCAAGAATGATATTACCTGTAACAAGCAGATGTAAATAAATTTAACCAAAAAAAATACCACCTAAACACTATTAATTTCATAAGTCTTAATAAATGTAAATTCAATTATTTCATAACTGGCAGGGTAGAGCATAATTAATCCAATATAAATAAATAATACCATCAATTAAATTTAATTTAATAGTGAAGCATTTATTTTATGGGGAAACAGATGGTCCAGTGTGGCAGTCATCAAATAGTGGAAACAATTTATTGAGCCGAGATTTTGATCAAACTATGCAGGTTTTAATCAGAGCTATTAAGAGTAGTTTCAAAGGGAAGCCTTTTTCTGTCACAATAGCTCTGACGAAGACCTGCATAGTTGGGTAGAAACATAGGCTTAATAAATAGTTTTCAATATTTAATTTAATTTATTTTATGACTGCCACCCAAAACCAACTTTTTCCTCCAATAACAGTCAATTAAATATCCAAATTTATTCTTTTCTAAATCATTAAATAAAAACGTATAAATACTAAAACCATTGACAAGTGAATGAACAATGCAAACATTATTAATATTTTGTTAAAATAATATTTATATATTTAGAACAAATCACCCCTGAATAGTTAAATTTCTTTGAGGACAAAAAATAAAATAAATTACTAATCTTTTGAAAGAAAATTTAACAAAATAAAGTCTTCTACAATTATTTTAAAAGATGTTGAAAATTTAGTAAAACAAGTCAGTGATCTACAAATTACTTTCTTACTAATCTATTAAAAAGTATTTATAAAAATAAAGAACAATACACAAAATTATGAATGTAATATTCTGAGATTGAGAATTAATTAAATATATACAATTGGTACTTTAATGACAGACAACAAAATTCTTACTTCTGCATCATGAATATCTTGATTATTGTGAGACCTCTTTGTAACCAGCCCGTGTATTTCATGAGCTTTGTGGGCAAGATTTTTATACATATCAAGGGCTAATGACAAGCTTTCTGGTTCAGTCAATTCCAAAGCGATAGGTTTCAACTGTAAAATGAATAAGATAAAGTCATAGTATATTTAAAGCAAAATCTAATATTAACAGATATTATTACATTAATTACTTACGGTACTGTTAGATACACTTTCAAGCAGAGTTCTACTGTAATCCATAGAACCACCTCTTTTTGTCATATATTTGATTGTATCAATAGCATCTTCCCAAGTATCATCGGAAAGTTTTTTGAACATTTTGGCAAAACCTTCTCGTTGCCTTTCATAATTGGCAAAATTTGCTGACTAAAAAAAAATAATCATGAAGAATATTCTTTGATCTATTATAACATTTACAAATAATTTATTACACATTATATAAATCCTACCATCAATAAGTAATGGTGACTGTTTAAAATATGTTGAAGTACGAAATCTCTCAAAGAGCCCATTACAGTGTGAGCACCAGAGAACAGAGCAGAGCAAGGGGTATATTTTTCTGAAGAAACATAAAAAATAAATAAAAATAAACTCCACTTAAAATATATTCTTAGATAATATTTTTAAATTACGTGGCAAAGAGCTGCATTGTTGTCGGACTGAATAATGACACTGATCATCGGCTGCATAAAGCTGAACAACCAATGCCAGAACACCTACTAATACTAGTTGACGCATTGTTTAAAAAACCAAAATCTGCACAAAAAAACAAAGAATTGATATTAGATTAAAAAAGTGTGCTAAATAACATTTAAATATATACCCACATAATAGATAAGTAAAACAAATTTTAAATCTATTATTCTAAATGATTTTGAATAATATAAAATTAAACAACCTTCTATACATAAGTTATGTGTTTTGAAATGGAGTGAAACAAAATACAAAATGAACCAACATAATTTAATAAAATAAAACATGATTAGCATTATAATAAAAAAAATGGGAGAATTGTTAATTGAATAAATTAAAATTCTAATTATAAAAGATAATAAAAGGGAAAATGTTATCTTTTTAATTTACTCTGTCAGTTTATATTTAATTGGACAATACCTATTTCTTATCATCGGTCTTGAGGAAGATGAAGTCATATTAAATAAATTAAGTCATACTTTAGTTTATTAATGTCCCACTCTTTAGAATAAAATGAAAATAATTATTTTGTTCATTGCACTAATAAGAGAACACATTATTATTATTTTTTTAAAATACTTTGGGGTGTTTTACAAACATGACATAAATCTACTACAATGTTTCAATTCATATTAATTAATTACATGGTCCAACTCAATTTAAATATAAGTAAGAAGTAATTCATCAAAAATTGAAAACAACTACATACGAATGGTACAGATAGTCTATTATCAAACGAACTTGTACGATTATCATGTAGTATTTACTATAACAATTAAATTATTTTAAACACTATTAAATATTTTAAAATGAAAATCATATCGTTACCTGATTAATTGAACACTCCCGAAACTTCTTTGAAGGACTACGAAGTGACAGAGAAATATAGGAAAGATAAAGGAGGGGAATATCGGCCATGCGCATTGTGTTTAAAACGCAGTATATTTACCAAGTTGGACCAATAGGGTTTGTTTTAGCGGAAACTTTGTACTTGAAATTCTGTGATGATACAGGATTTGTCTCTCTTATCGGGACCTGTACGAGTATTTGCTAGCTTTATCAATTGTTTTTAAGTCGCCTTCTACGCCAGTGTGTGTAAAGGTTGACAGTGGTAGGAGTATTGTTCGTCATATCTCCATATTTTCATTCTGACAACGTAGAAGACAAGTTATAGATCAAAATGAAGGTCTTGGTGTTTTTCTTTGGTTTGATGACATGTTTGTATTTGGTGAATGCGGACACCTGTAAGTTTATTTATTAGTTATTAGATCAATTATTAGTTATTATAAGATCTTTGTTGTAAATTGTTTCCTGTGAAATTTCTTGACTTGGGATAAGTTAAGTTGAATTATATTTTGATTTTATTCAATGACATCGCAGTGATATCATTTTTTGAATAAGTTAGTTGTCCCCTTTTTTATTTTTTACCAGCAATGTATTAAAAGTAAGCAGTTCTAATGATTGGCAACTGACAGCCTAGTATAAAAATGAATTTAAAAATTTTATTTTCTGAATAATATAGTGGTTACAAATGACTTAAGTCTTTTTTTTACTGAACTTAAAATATATGTGGGGTCCTGTGATATCTCATTGAATGAAGTCCTTTTTATTTACTTCCCAAGAGAGTGATCATTCAGTTAAAGGATTCACAATGGTATATCCTCAAACTTGATTAATATACACACAATACAAGGTGCCTATTTTACATTCAATTATGTATTTAGGTTCTTTTTAGTAGTTCAATGAATTCTAGTTATATTAAGATACTCCTAAGAGCTATTGCTTTATGATAGTAAAATGAAGTACTTTTATAATTATCAAGATTTGTAATTTTGGAAGGATTGTTAACTACGAGTAGTTCCATTAAATAGATAAATATGTGTTGAAAAGTGTTTTTCCTGAATGGAGCAAACCCATTAATATTAAATGAAACATGATCTTTTTGAAATAAAAATCTTTATAAGGTTGTTTAAATAACAACATTTAATTGTTGATGTATAGTTCAGAACTCTTCCAAAATCTATAATAAAATAATTATATATTTCTTTTCATTTAATGTCGTGTCACCATTTTTAAGAATTTCACCTTTGTTCTGGTTGATAGATATATTTATTAATAGTTTTTAGTTTATAATTAAGTAGATAAGTTAAAACTATCAGAATGGTAAATTATAGATTAACTCATATTTGTTTATTACTTACTTGGTACATTAGTATCACTAAAATTTTCTAGAATTGGTTTTCTTAGATTCTGAAAAGATTTGTTAAAAATTAAATTTCAATGCCTGAGCTATTTGACATACAAATATATGTGTTTAATTAATTTGTAATGTTTTCGTCTACCTAGATCATTTCCACATGTTTCAATATTGCCTTCAACTTTAATTGTACTGATACAAACCATAGTTATGAAAAATACATCAGCAGTCTTTCTTTAGAAATAGTTTTAACAATATCATGAAGTTATCCTGTATTTGTTGTAACCTTAAGATGGACTCTTACAGAGTATATGAGTTGTAAGTGATATTTACATTATAAAACAAAAAGTTGAGATTTCATTAATTGGAGTTTTGTTTGATTTTGTATGGCTTACATAACATTGATATGTTTATTTATGGACTTATTTTCTTATGATTAAGTTTTTATAAAGTAAACAGAATGTTTTATTTTTGATTTTATTCTAAAGAAAAATTCAATTTTTTTATTAGGTAAGCTTTCGAATAGTATGGCTAAATTGTCAGATATGGTTGATGAGTGCTCTAACCATATAAGAGGTCAAATACAAAAGGAAATTGATGCATCAATGCATTATTTATTAATGGTGAGTCCTTCAGAAAGAAAATATATTCCTAGTTGTTCATGGGTTTTACCCAGTTTTATCATTGTTTTTTCTTTCTTCTTAGGGTGCTCATTTTTCTCAAGATCGTGTTAATCGCCCTGGTTTCGCTAAATTTTTCTTCCATGCTGCTAGTGAAGAAAGGGAACATGCTTATAAACTAATGCAATATTTGTTGATGAGGGGGCATATGAAACACAATCTTCTAGAAACTATTCAACTTAAAAGTGTTGTAAGTATCACATTTGTAATTCTAGCAAGTTAATTTCTTAAGTTAGTTCTTGTGGGTCTGCTGGATTCTTATAATAACTTAAATTATTATAAGACTGCTTTAGTACAAATCTGTAGTAACTTTATTCATCTTTGAAGCTGCCAATTGTGAACCCTTATAAGAATGTTAAGAAAATAAAATTGTTAATTGATCTCAAAATGTTAAAGTTAAAAATTTACTTGGTATGTGGTTATGTATTTGTGATAATATTTGTGTTAATTATTTGTAGACGGCCGAAACGAAGCCTTGGGCTAATGGACTTGAAGCCTTGAACAAAGCTCTTGAACTTGAAAAGTTTGTCACTAATAGTATATTAAATGTCATGGAAGTTTGTGAAAAAGCAAAAGAAAAGAATGATTATCATGTAAGTTTTATTCAAATTACTTGAAAAAAAAAATATATTCATTTTATCTTGTACTTCATGTATGAGGCATTCCAGAATAATAATTAATGAAAAATAATGCATATCTGTTTAATTCAGTTAGTTGTATTGAGGAGTTAATTAGACATTGCATCAGTTGAAACTATTTGAATCACTCTGTTTTTGCCCTTGGTGTCTGCTGATTCATGGTCAGCTGCTTTCTTAAATGTTCTTGGTTTGCTTCCTGCTTCCTGTTGAATATTTGATGTCAAATTAATCATTTAAGTGCAAACTTATTCTTATCTGCAATGTATATAACTTTTTAGTGTTGATATTTGTTTTTTAAAATTATCTTTTTTAATATCACTATTGAAATCATAAAAATTCAATTAAAAAAAATAGTTCCCTTATTGAAGTCTCAAATTAAGAACATCATTTTTAATGTGTTGTGTTGTTTTTACTTCACCGAATTACTGAAATTCAGATAATAAAAATATAGATCGACTTTGGCCCTAGATTCATACTTAAAATATTTAATAAGGAAATATATAATTTTTAAAGAATTGAGGATTAGTTTTGATTGATGTTTATATATTTTTTTTCCTTGTCATTTTATACCTGGTTTTTCTATTTCAGTTCTTGTGAAGTCCTTGAAAATACTTCGGTAAACAACTTATTTTTTACAGTAATAGGTTTTGACTATTTTGTCATTCATGAATATAAAATTTATTCTTTAAAAAAAAATCATCCTTAAGAAGTATTTTAGGATTTGATAATAGTTTAATAAATAAATTTTGTGTTCCCACAATTTTTCATTAAAACTTTTCTATTCATACAAGACTTAATTAAATAATACAGAATTTTGTCACTTACCCAACTGCTTGAATGGATTTAATATCCTTAGTAGTTTATACCACATTAGAAAAAAAAAGATGTTTGTTACATCAAAAGTACAGTTCGAACAACAGTTGATGGTCGAGTCTTCCAAAACAGCTATCTTAATTAGGTTTAATTTTTTTTATTAATTGTGAATAATCCGATTTTTATTATCTTGCTTAGCACATTATACAAAAAGAATATTAAAAAATTAATCTTATCAGAAAAAATTTAATAGCTTTTTTAAACAGTTAGATTGCATTGTCTTCCAAATTGTCTTCATGTTCTTCTAAACATTTCTTTTTTGTAATTAATATATTAACTTAATAACTCAGCATTATATAATTTTGAAAATTGTTACTATTTTCTCATTATGAAATACCTTTTGTTTATTGTTGGTATTTTTATTTATGATTTCTTTTATTTATTTAATATTATTGTTGAACAATTAATATGTTTGTTCTTTCATAGTTTTCATATAACAAGCCACTAGATAAAAATAAAAGTTTTTAGGATATAATGTTATTGTTATGTTACAATTCTTTTAAAAATTAAACATTTTATTTCTTATTAATGTATGCAGAACTTTAATTCAGGTTATAATGATTTTTTTTATTAAAAAATAATCACTTCTTAAATTATTTTCCTTTCAGTTTGTGTCTTAACTCAGAATTGTTATTTATCTCTTCCTCTTGTAGTTCAGGTTATATAATGTAAAATTTATCTGCTTTTAAGTGTTTATACAGTGATTGTTATGTTCAAAGTTCATTAAATACAATAGAAGTTCAAATTCTCATTGTCTCCATTTCAACGAGTTCATTTTCAGTTATCACAAGATAGCAAACAATAAGATGGTCTGTTTAAGTCGGTTTCGTTTACTAATCAATTAAAAATTTTGATGAAAATGTGAAATTATTGATAAATTAACTAAAGTCATGGACCAACACAGTTGTTATTCTGGAATTATATGTTTTTAAGTTATATACTTAAAAAATAAAAAGCAAGAATGAGTGTTTTTTAAAAATTACATTTATTCAAATATAATAGATTATAGAAACATAACAAACACCATAATTGATGAAACATATCAGAGACTAAATATACTTTTGGTGGATCTTATTTTATTTTATTTTTTTTTGTATCAGTGAATTCTGATCTTATTCATCAAAGAAAAACTTATTAAGTGCAGCAAAATAATACAAACCTTATTATTTGTCAAAAATGGGTAAATAAGTGTATAATGTTTTAATAGATGAAAGATTCATATAATTACTTGGTGATTTTATTTTCTATAGTGTTGCTTAATGACTTTATTATTATTAATAATGAACTATTTTTAAATTTTATTTCTTATTATTGTGCTGTATATTAATTGATAATTTTTTTAATGAAATGTAATTATGCTACTTTAAAATCCTTTTCTTAACTTTATAATTAGCATTAATTATTTAAATTTTAAATCACATTGGGGACTACCTAACTTTTATTATTACATTAACAACTCTCTATCAGTTGTGTTGAGCGTCCTTTGAACCATTCAAGGCATAACAAAGAGTTTCTATTTAAGGCCATACGATCATTCACCTACCTCTAAGGCTATCTCTTATGATATTTTAACAAGTGATATAAATGTTATCGAAGGTTTTTGTCTTTTATTATCCATCGGGACTCATTAAAGTTTTTGATATTTTTGAACTTAAATTGTTTTTAATAACTTATTCCTTATTGTTGCAAAAAAAAAATCCTTTCGTTTTGGTATTTATAATCTTTCTTTTTAGTATTCATATTAAGATTAATATAATAACCTTCTATCAATTTATTACGTACATTTTCTATTAGACTATATTATATTACATTTGAATTTTAAAAAATCTGGAAATAAATACAAAACCCAGAATGTGATTATGTATCTTTTTGTGACTTGAGTGTACTAGGATTCTGTTCATCGAAATTTTACAACCACAATTTCTCCTTTATTATTATGATTTTTACAGAAATGGTTATGATTTTTTTTTTTAAATACCAGAAAATTACAACTCAAGAAAAGTTTTTAGAAGATATTACTGATTAGTATATATATACATTATTTTTTTTTGTAAACAATTTTAAATTTCATAAAACTTGTACTTATTTCGTTTGTTATTCATTATATTTTTCTCTGTACTATTAAATCAATATTAGTGTACCTAGGCCAGTTATTCAAGGCCGAGCTAAGGAAAAGTGGGAGAACAGTAAGAGAGAGGGGATGTGGTTGATTTGACATCTCCTTTAAAAATGATGAGAACGTACATTCATGCAACTACATTCTACTTCAAACCAAACCATATTTTCAATATTTTTTAAAAACTCTTAATATTTCAGGCTGTCGATTACCTAATTAACGAGTTCTTAGACGAGCAGTACAAAGGACAAAGAGACCTTGCTGGTAAAATTTCCGAATTAAACAGGATGGAGCATGCTCAAGGTTCACTTGGTGAATTTTTATTTGATAAGAAGCTGTTGAAAGAAGCCTAGTTCATAAGATATAAGTTGTAAATAAAAATTGTTATATAAAATAAAATATGATAGATTAATAAATATTTTTATTGAATTTTTAAAATTATTTCTACTTGCAACAATTTTAAATAAGTAGTGTTATATCCATTTCTTTGTATGAAAAGTTGTATTTTTAAAATTCATGTTATTGTACTGAGGGTAACGAATGTATATCAAGTCTTTTGTGAATTTATACAATCTTTGAATGTTTATGAACTATCTATTTTTGGAAATTTAATTTTGTTAATTCATTGAGTATAATGGTGTTCTATATTTATAGTTTCAGAGAACTTAATTTTGAAGTAGGTCGCTAGATATCTCTCTTTTTTTATTTTCATAAAATACAAATAAAGAGTAGTTTATAAGTTATAACTTTGAGATGTGATATTACTTACAGTTTTGTTTTCTTTTTTTTGTAATGAACAATAAAAATGTAGGATTTCATAGAATATGTGGTGATTTTTTTTCCTGTAAGTCCTTTGTATTTTTAAGGTTTATTACCAAAACAATCATCACTGTAGGAACAACGTTACATATCTCTACTTTCAATGAGTGTTTAAAGACAATAAATATATGTATAGTTAGTTTTGAGTGAATTTCATTCATTGAAGTAGTATTGTATAAATATAATATTGGTGGGAATTTATGATTATAAAGGTTTCTTAGAAAATATTGATATGTTTTTCTACTGTGAAAAAATGCTTATTAACTTATTGTTTAGCGTTCAGAGAACTTTTGTTTTCTTTGCTTATAAATTATTAACTATGGTCTCATAAATGTTTGAGTGGGATTTTTAATTATTTCAGAGGGAACCTTCTCACATACACCAATAAGCTTAATTCTTTTCCATTCCTTTTCTTATAAATGGCACACAGCTTTTATAAGATTTGATTCAAAATTCAAGAAATATACACTGTTAAAACCTAAGAAACATGTAGAAGCTAGTGAAATGATAAATATATAACTCATATTTTTTCACATTTATTTGGATTTTGAATTTTAGAGTCAGTCTGTTGGAAAGCTGGAATAAAGTGGTGGGTACTATAGAAAACCACAGAAACTATGGAAAAGGTATCAATTAATTCTCAGTATTATTCAATTTAGTGCTGGAACAGGTCGTTTCATAGGTCATTCTTACTGGAATAGAATCAACTCTAGGCAGTAAAATCCAATGTTAACCATTATTTTGTGTTGACGGGTAGGTAATTGTCAGGCAATGATTCGAAAGTTATTAAAAGAAAAATGATTTTCATGTACATAATGTCTACCTGTAAGGAAATTCTGGGGATATGTTGGGGTTCTTGTATTGTAAGGAATTTGTTATAAATTTTATGGAAGTCATCATGAGTTCTACAATTTAATATGTTCCTTGAATAAAAACTGGGATAGAAACTTAAGCAATTAAAAGAATAAATGAGATCGTTTAGTGGACGTATCGCGCTACTTCGACCTCTTCATAACTTAATTCTTCATTTTAATTCATTGGAGAAGGTTGAAATGATCAACCCCTATTAATTCCATACAACCTTACACGAAAGTTTAGTGATATGGATAGTAATCCTTGCTTACTTGCGTAATATTTCGTTCAATATACGGTTTCCCTTGGTAGTTTGTCCTTTCTTGTCTCAAAAGTGGCACAGGTCGAGACAAAATGTTCAGTAGTTTTGGAATGCCACTACACGAATACACGGGATTAATTTACTAACTTTAGCGCTAATAAACTTAATACATTCGTTTACAACTAATTCCAACAACTTATCACAATGCTATAGTGTATTTCAATAAAATTAGAAAACTTATATTTCCAGTTAAAAAATCGTGATTTCAAATGTGATAAATATTTAAATTTTACTTTCTGAAGATATTGTCTGTTGAAGTCTTCGTTCATTTTCGTTCACGATTTTTTTTTTTGATAATTTAAAATACTATTTTTGATCTGTATTTGGATAATGTTCGATTCCTTGTGGTGATCCAGGATCAAACGATTCGATATATCGACATTAAATGTGTTGAAACATGTCAGTATCTACAATTTGATTTATATTTATATATAAATTTTTCCATTGCTGATAACATCTCAAGAGCATTGCATTTTGAATGCAGCATGTTGTCGAGGTCATCAGTCGAGAGTGCATGTGTAGACTGATAATTGATGTTTGGTTTTATATAAATTAAAAAAAAAAAAAAATTAAATTGTTGAGGCAGGAATATATTTATTTTTCAATATTCGGTTTCTAGTGAAGAGTATTATCAATTATATTAATTTTTTTTTGGTTTTTATCTGAGTATTATAGATAAATACCTTTTGTTAATGTCTGAAAGATCTTTCGAGCCTATTTTAAAGAAAAACATGTACATTTATCACTAGTTGCCCAAAACAAAGGACATTGTAATTATTAATTATTCGAAGAGTTTATATATTTTTAGGTTGAATAAATACCGTTCGATCTTAAATATAATGTAGATTTAGAGTACTTTCGATGATCATTATTTTGAAAGTCCCCTCTTTGAGTTGGTAGATAAGTGTAAATTAAATGATGGTGATGGAAATTATATGGTTTTTAGCCTAAAAGAGTCCTTCAAATGAGTCACATATTTTCACCACGGCTCTTACAATAAAAACCACATCCTCTGGACTGTTAGAAACCAGACCAGGGTTAGGGTTAGAGGAACTAGACTTCGTCTTGTTGGAATTGGAAAAGGATACAAGTTGGGTTACAATTTGAAACCCTCATCTTATCTAATATAGATTATAATATATTACCGAGTATACGGTTTTAATGAGAACCCATGAGAGTTGTATGCCTGATAAGCATACAGTGGTGTTGACCAATGGCTCAGAAACAATGGGCTACCACCAAGGCAGATGAAGGAAAACTACTTACATTTGAATAGAGGATCCTCTGGAAAATCTTTGGAACTGTTAAAGAGAGGAATGTATAACGCAGAAGGAAAAATCGAGAACTTTAGGAGCTCTATAACGAAGTAGACTAGTTGAGGCTTTTAGAGGCTGACCAGAGTCCGGTCTTCAGACTCCAGACCCAGTGGTGGGTTGTTGCGTTCCTCCAGATATGATGATAATGTATTAGAATATAAATAAATTGTAAATTTTGAAAAAAAAAATGAAACGTTAAAATAAAAATAAAATTTAATTATACAAGAAAGGTACCCCCTGTCCACCTAATAGACCCCATTTTACAACTTATGCACCAGTCCATTTAATTGTACTACTCCTTGTTTAAATCTTATAATTTTAATTTACATCTATTCTAGTCCATAATGTATTATTTTTTATCAACATTTGGATAATTCTTAAATTAAACGAAACCACAGTTCATACAAATTTTTAATTGCATTAAAAATATATATTATCCATCGCGCCTTATTGCCAACTTATATTATTATGAAATTATAATTATTCTGATTGCCATTTGTAACCGTAATATATATACAACCTGTACAGCTTCATATAAGTAATAATAATAATAAAAGGTTTAGCGAACACGAACGACACCACTAATCGCTTATTACACACCTCCCTCCACCGTTCGCCGCCCAAACTCAGTCCCTTCAGATCGGCTTCAACGCAATCTTCCCACCTTCGCTTCGGTCTACCCCTAGGACGTTTACCATTCGATACAGCAAATATTAACCTTTCAGGAATTCTTTCGTTACTAAGCTTAACAGTTTTACAAGCCCATTTGATTCGCCGCGATGCAATCACCTCAATTATATTAACCAGATACAGTTCACGCGATTCGGCGTTTTGTAACCGTTTGAACTCTCCGGTTAACTCATTCTTCTTCGGTCCGAATATTTCACGCAATGCTTTATTTTCAAAAACCTTACTTAATGTAAGCGGACACGTTTCGCATCCAGAAAGAACTGTAGGTAAGATAATGATTTTAAAGATCCTAGTTTTTAAAGTCCGGGACAAGAGGCGCGAGCTAAGTAGTTTTGTCATAGACAATAACAAGCATTTTCCGCCTTCAGCCTAATCTTAATCTACTCTTCAATTTCGCTTTTTTTAGTTAACGTAAACCCTAGGTACCTAAACTTCTTTACGTGTTCAAACAAATTACCTTCTATATCGATATCACCGACAAGATCGCCATTTTTGCAGCTAACCATATATTTTGCTCATCCTTGTTTATTTCTAGCCCTAGTTCTTTACCGGCTTTTATTAACGTTGTCGTATTTAGTTTAATAGTTTCCGTGTCTTCGCTTAATACCAGGATAGAACCAGATTATCCGCATATCCAAGCACGGGCGTTGTTCCATCCAGATTCAACCCTTTTTCGGTACGCATTATCGCCCTAATGGCATGTTTTAATGCCAAATTGAACAGAACAGGCGAAAGGGAATCACATTTTTTTAAAACAGTAGGAACCTCAAACTCTTCGGATAAATTATTACCGATTTATATTGAGTGTTTCCGTCAAGCACATCCTGCCTAGATTTACTATTTTTTTTTTGGAATTTTCAGCTCGATTAGAATATTATACAGTTTCTTGCGGTCAATAGAATCGTAAGCCTTTTTGAAATTGATGTACAGCTTATGAACAACACCGTTGTAATCTAATTCTTCTCCAATATTTGCCGTAAAGAAAATATTTGATTAATAGTCCAACGGTTCCATCTAAATCCGCATTGGTACTCTCCGATAATCTTCTCGGTGTATTCCGTGATTCGACTAGTCTAGATTAAAGTGAATATTTTATAACGTATCGGAAGAAGTGAAATTCTTCGATACTTATTACAATACAATCCGTCTCCGGACCCTTTTTGTGAATCGGAATAAGAATAGATTTTTCCCATTCTTCAAGTAATTTCTCATTCTCCTGGATCTTTTTAACCAAAAAATGTGTTTTATAAACACCAGCTTCCCCACATGCCTTAATTATTCAAATAGGAATATTATCGGTTCCCGCTGCTTATAAGATTTTATTTTTCCGATAGCTGCTTCAACTTCTTTTTTT